TAAAAGTCATATAGCACTATTTGATGGTCTTCAAAATAAATGGAGCAAAATCCTTGCTTTTGGACAAACTATAGTTGTTCTTATCAAAAAAAAAGAAAATAAATAGCCTCTATTTTGCAGACCCTTATACAATTAATGCACAAAATCTTTCTGATCACCAAAATGATTTTAGAATATCTTGTACTTAATATTGTCCAGCTTGTATTCAAAATATCTATAAGATATAGTATAATAATTAAATATTGTATTTGTAAAATTGCTATAATATAGAATACATCTAAGGTACAATTGTGCATTATGTTCAATTAGCAACAAACTTATACATTGGTAGGCTATTTCTACACAAGGTAACAATTTAAATTTTGAATATTTTGAATATAATCTTTCTCTTTTTTTCTATTAAGAATGATATAAATGCTTGAATTACTAGTCTTTCTATCCTATCATCCTTATCAGTAGATTGATATATTGACAAAACAAAAAAATGTGTAGATAGTTGTACAAATTTTTTACTTTAAATCCTTCAAAAATATCTCAAAACTTTTCAAAATCAAATTATATGACTTATTATTTTTTCTTCTCCTATTCTATACTTCTAAGAAACTTATGCAAGTTAGCTTAGATGCCTTCAATGGACTTACATGAGAATATCGAAGATACTTGCTACTACAGATTCAATCATATAAAAAATATTTATTTAAAAAGAAGGTAATATTAGAAATTAATTTATATAGCATAGACTACTAAAATTGATAAAAATCACAATGATCTTTGGATGCTATAAGATAAGAAATTAGAAACTGCATGAATCTTCAAATTAGCTATTGACAATAACAAGCTTATATATATACATAATTTAAAATACCAATACCTAAAGACTTCTCCTAGACAAATTAGAAAGAAGAGGCAAAAGAACATAAGATATAACATCTTTTCTATTGGATCCGTCCACTACAATCTGCCTCTTTGATAAACAACTAACATCATCACTAAGGCCCTTATGCTTGCTTTCACTTGATTTTCCAATGTTTGTGGGGCTTTTTGGAGGTGATATTTTTTCATATGACTCCACTATAAACTCTAGCCTCTTTTTTAAGCATCTTCTTTGGATTGTCATCTCCAAGTGACTTTTCTTTTCTTTAGTTAGATTTTCCATTGTTTATTGTCTCTTCTATAGTTTGAAAAATAAATAAAATATTTCAGCACTAAATTAAGCCTTCAATATTATATACTAGGTTGATAGAGCAATTATGTATTACCTCACAACTATTGTATAAACTTGTTTGCACTTTGATATAAAATTCTTTTGAAACCTTAGGATTTGTTTACATCTTGAAAACTAATTTTTCTTAATTATATTGGATGTAAGAGCAAATAGTCATTAATGTCATTAATGCCATAGATCTACTAACTCGGCCAACTTTGCTTCTTCTCTAGTGCCCTTCAAGTGCTAATAAGTAAATATGTATCTTACATTGCAATCAAGTCCAAATCTAAGTAAGAATATTAATTATTAAGTACTTTTGCTAATATTAAAATTAGAAATAAAGTCAAGAGAAGTAAAACATCAAGATTATAATTTATCATTGGTAAACTATAGTTTTTCTAGTATGCATGTGATTGAAGAATTCAAGCATTTATAATAAGATCATAAATAGAAGGATGTGAGAATGTAGACATAAAAAATAAAAATAAAAATAAAAATAAAAAGATTTTAGCATGCTTAGCACAAGTACTTGTTACTATGATTGAAGTCAAATGAAGCACCACTAGTACCACAATTCTTTACTCCTATGTATCAAAAGTCCTACTTGCTTGAGGTCTCCGAAATTGGTTTTTCTAAACTACATTGTTGTACTAGAGAAAGTTTGCCTCAAGAAAGTATTGGGTCTTTAGCTACTATTAATTGTTCGAAGAAGTTGTAAATTTATAAAATATAAATGTTATTTATAGTTCATCTTTAAGAAGATAATTACATCAAATACACAAGTCTAAGATGTACAAGAGTTTCCAAGAAATGACTAGATATGTTAAAAATCACTTCTATTCTTATTAAAATTCTTTTTGAATATGTATAATCCTATAACTTTTAATTTAATCATCCAATTAGATTCAAAATTATCCACAAGTTAAATTATATCCTTAACTACTTTAACACAAAAATCCAATGATAAATTCATTGCAAGTCTTTAGATACTGCCTAATTTCTAGAAGGTACTAAACATATCAATTTCTACATACCAGCACACTAATTCCATCATATCTCAAAAATTCAATACTTAATTACCATGAATTTTATATATACAACTTTTTAACATAGTCATCTATACTTATCAAAATTTATGAGCCAAAAATTCGTCAAAAAATTCAAGATATGGTCTAAACCAAAACCTCCATTAAAAACAAGTCTTTTAAGAAATCTTTATTTTGAATACTAACTTCCAATAACTCTTTATCCTTTGTTCTTGATTGAAATATATTAATTTCTTTACATAAAAAGTAGCTCTTCAAGTCAACTTTTGAAACTCATTTTTTGATTACAAAATGCCTTTTTATAACTCTCTATATGCTTAAAAGAAAAATAGAAGATACCAAAATTATATCCTAATTTCAAATAACTATATTTTTTTCATCAAAACTCCAAATCACATATTTTTTTCTTCCAAATTCTATTTCAAAACATAAGCTTTTTGAATCCAATCTCTAGAATTTGAATTGATTTCCTTTCCTTGAATATTCTACCTTGCCTTGAATGGACCGCCCTAAAATGGTCCCAAATTCTATTGTAGTTTCAAATAAAATCTTAAAGTCCATTGGATATGACTTTCAACCAATGAAAATGAAGTCTTCTATCATTCATCTTATCCACCTATATGAAATGGCTTAGAAATCAAAATATTATGCTGTTGATACCAAAGCTCTTTTAAATTCCTTACTAAAAAATCTTATAATTTCTATTTTTAATTACAAAACTTAAAGTGTAATTTTAAAAAAATTAAATAAGTACTTGATTTTATTTATATATTTATTTTATTTTTTATTTTATTCTATTTTTAATTATAAATCAAAATTTCATAATATTTCATATTATTTTTGTATATTATATTACTTTCTAGCATGATAATATTAGATAGAAGAAGAAATGGACCTTAAAATTGGTAAATGCCATGGATCTATTGACTAGCTAGAATCAAATAATTGACGATCTAAATTTGCTAGCACAAACACATATCATAAGTGAATTTGAAGAAAGTATGTATTAAAGAGTTTGTATATAGATAATTAGAATTTTTACTCTAATGTATGAAAAAGTGGAAGGAGAAGTCAAAAAAGTGATTGCCACTTGTTCTCAAAGCTATGCCCCTTAGAGATCACTTAATCACATTTATATCAATAGACACTAAAGATTGATAATGCCATGTAAATTATTACATCAATAGACATTGAAGATTGATAATGTTGTATAACTTATTACACCAATAGACACTGAAGATCAATAATGCAGCGTAATTCATTGCATGAAGCAAATAGGCAAAGATGTCAATGTTGATTTGAATTTAGACACTATTCTTCTACCATCCAAGGATGATAATCTATTCATAGTCTATTAAAAAAATAAAAAAACCTTTAGTCTCTATGAATTAATTATCAATTTTTTTCTCTATTAAGTTTATGTCTTATAGTCTAAGACATAGTTTAGTGGTATAGAACTAAATTTCTCTTATCAAAGTAAGTACTATTCAAGAAAGTAAAAAAAATTGTTAATTGAAAGAAATAAGCATTTACAAATAAAGCAAGTCGAGTTGAGCGCTTTGGTTTTAGGCATGTTTTTTTAAGAGAGCTAATCTTTATTGTTTTTTTTTTTTTTTTTTTTTTTTTTGAAGTATGTTGCTGAAAATAAGAACCTTAAGAAGGGATCTAATGATACAATAATATAGTCAAGGCATATGGCGAGGCTCTTTAAAAAGATGGAATCTATTCAATGTTGTAAGTATGAGATTATAGGTTGTATTTCCAACAGATATTATTGCCCAAAATTGTCAATTTTGAGAGGGGTGTTGATTTGGAGATGAATTGAATTTCTAACATGTTGTTTCTAAAATCTCAAGAATGCAATTTAACTATAGGTTATATATTGTGAGCTTTCCAAAAACATATTATTTTTATCCAAATCTTTTGTAAAGAATCTATTACAAATTTTTGACCACTATATATGCTTCACTTTTACAAAAGAAATGTACACTTATATATAACATTATAGAAGAACTACATGAAGAAAAAAAAAATCAATATGTATATATAAAATAATTTTAAAAATTAATTATGGATGTATTAAAGAAAAAGATGTATAATTTGTGTATTATTAGGTATTCTATGTATAATTGGAAATGTTGTTCAATCTCAATTCAGACTTCAAGCCTACTCTCCTTGAGAGTTTGCAGTGATCGCTGAAATGCACAAGGCACAATATATAAGCTATTTTTCTTCCATTTTTCGTTTCATTGGTACAAAGGGCGTCGCTCCTGAGTCAAAAATTGTTGCTCTTGGCTCACGGAGAATTCAAAAAAGGTCACTTATACTTATGTGTTGCCAATCACATACCCAATCCACGAATACTCCAAATAGTAAGTAAAAAACAACGGGTTTGCTGCCAATGTCTTTAGTGTGGCTAGGATCTTGGCAGTAGAGCTGGGTTGTGCAACAAACACCTGGTTTTGTTGTAGAGCTATTTTAGGTGTGACACGTGCTTGTGTATTATTGTAAGACTGGACTAGTCTTTGGTGAGTAATGTGTTTGTGCGGTGCTATAGGTTGGGTGGAGTGGAATGGTGGTAGAGGAGGCTTCAGCACGTCATGGATACGTCAAGTTTTACAGTTTGCCAAAGTATCACTTTGGAGTGCACAAGCCAACGTTATTATCTTTGTAGAAGACAAAATTGTGATAATTGATTCAAGGCATGATGTACAAAAATTTGAATCCCCATTTTCATTTTTTGCTTGGGAACTTAGACATAATGCGAGGACTTTGCAGAGGACAAAACTGTGATAATCGATTCCAAATTTGCAATCAACTCGCTTGCATCAAACCCTGCACAAAATGGCACCCCATCAAAAATCATTGGTGTTGAATCCGTCATTTCAGTGCATTAAATTGTTCGCTTAATCCTTCTCTAACATACTAATCAAGCCTTAACCTTCTCTAGCACACACTGTCATAAACTGTGGTTTGCGGTGTAAATCGCGGAGTAGTTTATGAAGACCAGAGGTTCTGTCTTTGGCAATTGAAAAGCTGAATTTCCGTTCTCTGCATTAGCTCGCCAGTGCTGACGGTAGAAATTTTAGGACACACCCTGCGTGCAACTCATCATGCCACATGCAGAAATTGATCCTAAGTCACTTGCAATAAGCATGCTTCGCTTAGAACAGTATCACTTTTTTACATGTTTGTATGTGTTTTTACGAACACACACTGCGGACAACGAGCTTCTTTCATGCGAGCTTCTACCCTTCCATCTTACTGAATGACTTGAGCATCAAAACATTTAGTTTGATTGACGGCTGCAGTAAATCAAACTAGACAGCTAAGCATTTCACAACTCCGATTCAAAGCCAAATCCGGTTGTTTGTTTCTCGCTGCATGCTTAAAACATTTAGTATGGTTCAAAGGCACATTAAATTATTGTACAATTAAAAATCGCCTGTATTGATGAGCGTCGGATGCTATTCTTGCTATTTTACAGGGAAAACACGTCGGATTTCCTCACATTTGCAGGGAATTAGATAAACAGAGTTCGGTTTCCACGTATCTAATCTTAAGGAATATACAAACGAAGAGACCACTAAAACAATTATAAGTTAGACCTCATTTTAATCGATTCTGCAGGATTTCATGGTCTGTTTCAACTCCGAAGCGTTTGTCTTCCACTGACGTCCTGGGACAATCCAACATTCTTGCAATTCAAGTTCACATTAACTCCAATTGTTGCAAATTTACAACTGTGATCAACAATTATCCCCGATGAGAAAACAAGGTTGACTAGACGAATAGGCGTGTACAGACATCTAATTCTTTGCAATGACTTCTTCGGCAAGCTTCATGCATAAGCGATAATGATCTATCTGATGTACAGCAGGCCATAAACTTTGCAACGACTCACAGCTAGAGAAAGATGAGACGGGTGCTATCCCATGCGGATGCCACCTTCCCAAGCATTCTAAATCCAAGATCAATCTTCGATCCTCCAAGATCCGCAATGGACGGCAGTACCTGTTGACAATGAATCGACTGTTATATTACACACTGTGTACTACGCTGCTGACAAAACTCAACCGTTTGCTCTCGTTTGCTATTGCATGTTTTATGGCATATACATCCGTACCCTATACATTGATAAATTCAGGTCTCCAACTGGAAAGAATCGTGACTAAGAACACTAGAAGTATTATAAACATGACGTACTTGCGAGAATCCCTCGTCTAGTATCATTATAATAATTTGCTTTGAGCCAACCTCATGCCCAGCCAATAATAGTTTTTTGCCCCGCCTTGCAGCTTTCCTTCACATTGAAACTTTGGAAATCATGATTTAGTAGTTCAGGAACTATCCGACAGAGTGAACCTCCTATTTAACTCACCTTCTACCAATTTCGAGGAACTATGACAGAGTAAAGAATCATCGAACCCCAACCAACTCCTGATTTACCATGAATCACCGTATGTCCACAATCCTGCAAAAATTAATTTGTTACAACACATCTAAGAATCCTCGAGTCCATATCCATCGAAGGTAGCAATTTTTTATCTACGTTAAAATCATCTATACGTCATTGCAATACTGCATATCTGCAATAGCTAGAAAACGAAAGAGTTGACTGTACCATTAGAATACGGCTCGGAAAGTCCAGGAATGCGACCAGGTAAGGAAGTCTGTTCAAAGGCGGATGTATCCTCCGAACAGAACGCCAGAGCTGCCACTGCTGCTGCGCTCAAACTCAGACCAGTCAACGCTCCTCTCCGGGTAAGCACAGTCCCATTACATGTGATCTCTACATTGCCGTTGTTCCCTTGAATCCTCATTCTGCCCTGGAACCTGTCCCGAATTCATGCACACTACCAGCACAGCCCTACTCGCACGGCAATTATTCGCTGCTCAGTCCTTGCCCGTCACCGAAGTGCTCCCTGAGGCATCATGCGCACACATCAATTCAGAAGGCCCTCGCTCTGCACATTCAGACCTGGTAGTATCTTAATTCCATATTCGCAACAATCCTCAAACATCGAATCCTTCCGGCACAATCCAGGGATTATCAAACTTCATCGAGACAGGAATATGTGATGCACGTATAGAATGCTCTTCAAAGTGATCCTCCGATGAATTACCTGACGGGATTGAACATTGGAACCTATTGCACACAGAACGCTCAGATAGAACTGCGACGGATGGCGCACATGAAGGAATGGAGGGAGGGCTGTGGACAGATTTGTAAGGCTTCCACCGCGGAGCTGCATGAAGTTCAGACGGTGTGTGAACGAGAAGCTATTTCGTCGACGTTCCGTCGCTGCGTCGGTTGAAACCCGTGAAACGGGTCAATGGAAAACCTCTTCCAAGCCTCCACCAATGACCTCGGACCCAAGCATAGCACTACTAGATCAAATTTTCAGGTTGAGTTTTTATGATTTAAGAAAATAATAATAATAATAATAATAATAATAAATTTAGAAAAATATAAAAAAATAAATATTATATATCTATCTATGTAAAAAGGTCAACCAACCTATGTTTGGTTAGAGCATCATAAAATTCCATTGGAGTAGTAGAGTGGTTAAATCTAATTATTGCCAAATTACCAAGTTACTAGGATCAGAAGATGTGATGGGCCGAGTTGGCTATGGTAGCAGTTCTAATGAACCCGACCCACAACTAGCTGACCTAGCATTGTTTTTAATTTTTAAATTTTTAATCATAGTGAGGAACATTGATTGGTATATTGTGTTATTTTTTATTTTTTTGATTGGTTGCCAAAAACGTACTTGATGATGGCAAAGCCAATGGTTTAACCACTAGTGAATATATATATATATATATATATAGCATACCATAGCATAATTTGCCATGTCACTATGAATTTGGATATACAATTATTTTAAAATATTGTGGAATATGTATTTTTTTATTTTATTTATAGATACATATATGTGATTGATCACAATTTTTATTGATCATAACTTTTTTTATTATCTTAGTTTAGGATTTGATTTATTATAGATAAGATTTATCTTGGTTTGATATCTAAATCAGTCAATGCTCTAAACATGTCAATGCAATGTTTAATATAAATCCAATGTTTAAAATAAAACTAAATTATTTCTTGTGTACTTTTTGCATTTAATTTTTATACTAATCAAACTTAAAAAAATAGAATAGTTAATTATTTCATTGTATAAAATTTCTATTGTTTTTATTTAATATAAAATTTGACTTTTTAAGTATATTAATATTTTATTGTAAAGAGCTATATAATAATATAACTAAAAATTTAAAACATGATATATTTAATTATTTTATAAAAAATTATATTATAAATTTTGTGATTTTATACATAACTTGGTCTTAGATTGCTAAAATTTCACATGATTAATGAATTTTTTATTCTCCAACAATTAAAATCTATACTATGCTTTTGGAGGATAAAATAAGTAGCAAAGTAGAGAATATAAAGCAATAAGAATTATTTAAGGCAAACTAAGAGTTTATCTTTAAATATTGTGTAAATTCTTATAATTTCTGGAAATAAATTATTGGCATTTTTATTTTTAAATTAATCTTAGAAATCAATGCTTAATATCCACATAATCTTTATGAAATTTGACTTTGCTATAGAATGGAAAAAAATAAAATATTCTAATTATTTACTAAATTTTTATTATTTTAAAATTAAAAAATATTTTATATAAAATATTTCTTCTATTAATCAATAGCATTTGTTGTAAGGAAAAATATTAATTATCAAAGATTATTTAACATTAGAGGTGGTGTATTAATTAAGACTATAATTTCATAGTCTATGTTGTATGTTTTTGCTTTGGCAATCATGTGGCTCTACTTGCCACATGGCCATGCTTGCTATATGAATTATATTAATTATCTTTGTTAATTAATAAAACCTAATAAAAAAATATTATTAAAAATAAAGATATAATTAGTTATACATTATAGAATAGAGTTGATTTTTCAAATTTTGATTAATTATTAGAAGTTATTAATTGTGGATAAATTGATTATTAGAAAAAATTTATTTTTATGTATATATATATTTATATTTATTAAAGATTTTGTTTTAAATGTATATCCAGTAATAACTATTATCCAATATAATCATATTTAGTCCTTATGCAATAATTATGTGTATTATTTTAAAACTATATAATTTATATTATCTAATTAGCATCTAAAATTTTGGATTATTTTCAAAAATAAAATTATCTAAAATTATTAAATACATAAATAAAATTTTAAAATTATTTGGTATAAATTTTGAGAATAAAATAGTTACATATGAAATTGAAGCCTCTAAAGAATTTGTAATAAATAGCTAATAGATTTTATTAAAATTTATTTTATTTTGAAAGATTAATAAATTGGTATTAAATTTCTATAATAATTTTATTAGTCTCATATAAGCTATTGGTGAACCTTTAAAGAAGAAAAATGATAACAAATTAATGATGCAAAGACTATAAATTAAATAAATAAAATTAATATGATATATAATTTTTTAATTAAAATTAGTATTAATTATTTTTTTACTAATAAAATTAACATAAAATAAAATATAAATCTTAATTGAAGTATCTTTTATAAGAATATTTGAATCTTTAAAAAAAATTATTTATGTAAAAATGCTCAAAATAAAAAATGACAATCTTTTAAAAATATAAGAAGATAGAGTTGAAATCCAAAGATTTAGAAGATATACATATAATTTCTATATTATTTTTATAAAAGCAATTCTATTGATGTTCTAATATTTGAAAAAAATAATAATTTATGACTTTTATTCTTGATAAATATTTATGGACTTGAAATATGAGTCATTAAAGAATTTAAGTAAAAGTTCTTATTATAGTAATTATAAAAAAATTATTAGTAAGTACCTCAATAATTATATAAAAATCCAAAAATTAGAATGAAGTTAAGAAAATAAAATCTATTAATGTTCCTTAATCCCTTCTGACAACATAAAGACAACATTTGCCAAACCTCACTTGAAAAAAGAAGTATAACAAGCTTTGGCACATTGTCAAGGACATGAACTTCAAAGAACTAAAATGTCAATACACTCTTGTGTCACTTGAAAAGACTAGAAAATCATTTAAAGATGATACAATATTAAACTATAATGGCTATTACCAAAGGCAAAAAGACTAGAAAGTCTTGAAATAAGACTAAGGACTAAAAAGATATTGACAAGAGTGAAGAAGGCTTCACTCTTGCCTCCATATATATTCTTAACTAAAAATTATGTGGCAATGTCTTATTGGATATTTAAAATATATTGACTTTGTAAAATAAATATCTTAACTTGCAAGCCAAGTTTTTTATATGTGTGCCACATAATTAGCTTATTCCACAAGCTACCAACATATGGTTAATTTTTTGACCAAGTTTCTAATCTATCAATCAACTACAAACATATTTAAAGTCACAAAAATGTCTATGAAACTTCTAAGAAGCTTTACAAAAAAATATTATGAAATAAATCTTCTTTTATTTACTTCTACTTAATTATATAGATAAATATTAGAATAAATATGTATATCTGTGACATTATTCTTCTTTCTAAAATTGAATCCCATGAGAAGTGATCATCATATATTGAAGGAATATAAGATGCAACAAATTATATTTGCCACATACTTTGATTTTAGTTCTCTTTGAAGATAGTTGATAGGTCCTCTTAGCCATCAATAGTATTCTATATCATGGTAGAAAGACCACCTTTTTATTTGATCATTATTAAGACCTTCATAATTCCTTTCAAATAAATTATTTTAAATATTATTAAGAATTGTTTCAATTTCTAATAAAATTACCAAATATCCAAGTTTATTCCAAGGTCATGATATCAAACATATTATATCTTGCCATCTATTTAAGGAAAGATATGTTGTTCTTCATGATCTTCATCTTGATTATGTCATTTTGAAGGTTGTGACAAATATAATGTCTTATTTGATAAGTAAGCAAGTGATAAATCTTGAGTTGAATCTCCTAGTTGATTCTCCATTTCCTTGATATGACAAATATACAAAAGTTACAAATAAGAGTAGAAGATAAAATGCTATCTTTTTAAAATCTCGTTTCTTTTATAGCAAAGATTTACTATTCTTTATCTAGATTTCGATGGATGTCATTGATGAAAAGCCTCAAACTTCTTTGTTGCATTTTCAAGATTCTTTGTTGGCTCTTATGTGCATTCATTAATATCATATCCATACCAATGAAGAAGATATTCTAATCTATTTTGGTAGTGCCTTAATCTAAGACTTCTTCTATTTCAAATTTTTTATTATTATCCACTTTTATAGGAAGAAGTGGCATTTATCTTCTTTTTAAGATATTCACTATCTTATATGGCTCAAGAAAAAATATGTGGAATATGAGTTGAATCTTCATAGATCCTAATAGATATGATCGATAAGCAATATGATTGACTTATTTACAAATAAAAAAAAGTTCAAGCCTACAATATTTCAATTTGCCACAAAAATAAGTAGTCTTGATATTGTGACAAAGTATCCATACTTTATATTTCTAAATTATTGACAAAGAATTGTTCAATCATCTTGATGATAGTTGATGGTACACCTCATATACTGCTTTAAAACTTAATTCACCTATTCCGTTTGTCCATCAATTTAAAGATGAAAAGCCAAAGTGAACTTTATATCTATCTTTAGGAACTTAAAAAAAAAGATTTTCTAGAATCTTGATATAAATCGAGTCTTCTTATTTGATATAATATCTTTAAAAAATTTATAATAGCGATAGATGTTGTCAAGAAAAAATTTAACTATTTTTTTAATTTTTCATAGATTTTATAAATAATATAAAATATGCTATTTTAGTAAAATAATATATTATTATAAATATAAAATTATACAAAATTGAAACTAGAAGATTTGTAATAAAATCCATAGAAACGGAAGATTATAGTTTTTTCAAATAGGTAATGGCTAAAAAAAATCCATAAGCTCAATGACGAGGAGTTTTAAATCTTGAACAAATATTAGATGATTGTATAAAGTCTTTAATTGCCTTTCATATTTTAGGCCACCAAAAATATCTTAATATTAGTTCTAAAGTCTTATTATATCCAAAATATCTAGCTGCTGAAAAATTATGACAAGCTTGAAGAATATATAATCATGCTTTGCATTCTAGAATATATAATCATCTTTTAAAATAGAGTAGATTATTCTTAAATTCAAATTTGGAAGTATAATAAGAGTTAGAAGAATTTTCCTTGATATCATAAATAAGAAGATTAGATGACATACTTGATTGAATTTGCTTGAAAAAAGTTGAATCAACAGACAATGTTGATTTTATTGTAGAAAGATGAAAATTTTAAAGCTTTAAGAGAATCATTTTTTGTTAATTAAACCTACATCTTTTTCTTTTGGTATAAGATAAAAATGTTTAGAAAAAGCGTTTGACAAATCTTATTATTTTTTGAGTCAATAAGTAATTTTAAAATCAAATATTGATAAAAACATGTTCCAATGCACTTTAAGATGATTTAAAACATGTATTGATATGAAATATTTGAGATTCTTGTGATTTGTATATATGATGACTGGACTAGAAGCACCTTTTAGATAATGATGCCATGCTTAAAATGAATCTACAATTGTAAGAAGCTTTTTGTTATAGATTTCATAATTAATTTCAATTGCTAAAAATTTCTTGGAATTAAAAGCTATGAGATGGACATAGAAATTTGTTATAAAATAATATCCATTTATTATAAAATAACATACATAACAAAGTCTAATATATCTATTTCTATAAAGAACACCTTCAAAAAATCAATAACATATAAGATTGGTACAAAAATAAGTGTTGTCTTCAAGACTTCAAAATATGCTTCAATTTCTTTACTCTACTTAAGTTTGTCTTAACATGTCAAGCATATAAGAGAGGCCACAACTTGAAAAAAATTCTTTATGAAAATTTAGTAATAATTGAGAAATTCCAAAAAATATTATACATCTCTGATTGTTTTTGGAATCTTCTAATCAATGATAGTTTGAACCTTCTTAGGATCTATCATAAGACCACTATTTGAAATAATGTATCCTAAGAAGTCAACTTAAGTAGTATAAAATATATACTTTTCTATCTTGGCATATAATCCTACATCTCTTAATTTTTGTAATATACAATGAATATAAAATTCATACTTTTTTGTATTCTTAAAGTAGATCAAGATGTCACCTAAATAAAATAATAATAAAACAGTCAAAAAATTCACAAAAAATATCATTCATTAAATGTTGAAAAGCAATTGGTGCATTTGTGAGTCCAAAAGGTATGACATTATATTTGAAATGTGCATATTTACTTTGAAATATAATTTTTTATTTGTCTCTTTCTTTAATGTGTATCAAATTGTATGCTCCTCATAGATTTATTTTTATATAGATTTTTGCTTGATTCAGTTGATCAAGAAGTCCTAAAATCAAAGATAGAGGATATCTATTCTTGATGGTGATCTTGTTGAGTCATTGATAGTCCACACACATCCATAGATATCCATCTTTTTTCTTCACAAATAAGATATGAGCTTTAATTGGAGATTTAGAATAGCATATGAAGTTTTTAGCCAAATTTTTATCAATGTGTTCCTTGAGTGCAGCTAACTTGTTCAATGATAGGCTATAGATTTATTTAAATGGTAATTGAGCCCATTCTTGAAGATCAATGGAACAATCATAAGGATAATACTTTGAAAGAATATCTACATTTTTTTTTCAAAGACATCTTAATAATCTTAGTATTGGCTTGGAATATCACCTGAAATCTTTTCTCTATCAACAATAGGTGTGGCATATATAACAAAAGTTGATCCTTCTTTTGCAACATTCGTGAAAGTTCTTGCACCTACTAATAATGATTTGAATGTATCAAACTTACAGATTTTTATTTGCCTAGCAAAATCTTAGACTAAACTATGGAAAAAAATCAAGATTGCGAGAAATCTAGTCTATTTGAGAATTATACTTTTATAACCACTATTATTTTAAAATAATTGAGTTAAAAGAATATCCAATCATATTAAATATTACTAAATTATTATAACGACTAGTTGTTATTTCTACAAGAATAGTTTCATGTCTAATTTTTCTAAAAAATAATAAATAATAATCTATTATTTCTATATGCACATGTTTGATTTTCTCAAATAAAAATATATCTTATTTTTTGACAAAGTCTTTGTCTATAAAATAGGTTGAGTCTCTTGAATCCAAAAAGGCTAAGACTTTGTGATTTTTTGGTCCTAAACAAACTTCTATTCTAAAACAAAGTGAGGGATCTCACAAGAAAATATGACCTTTACTAGGAGTTGCATAAGATTTCAACAACATGGTTAAATCATAAAGGAGTCATAAATTCATTTTCATCAAAGATGCAAACCAAGAGAGACCACTTCTAGATAGAAGAATTCCTATAAATCCAACTTGAATAAATCCATCAAAATATCAAAAGAAATGGAGCTTTAGGTAGAGATTGACTTGTTGTAAAAATCCTCAAAATTTTAATCTTGTTCCATTAAATTTCTTGAGCATATTAATCTTTGTCCCTATTATACTTGTAAAAGTAAAACTTTTTATATTTGGTTATGAGGTTGATCTACTTATTTCCTTCAATTGTACAACTTCTTTATACAGACTCTAAATTTCTTTCAAAGGTGTAAGATTAGTGTTTCCTTGCCTGACACTAGTGATGCATAAAATTTCCATCTTAAGAGTGTTGACAAGTTCGTGAAGATGTATAATAGTTACAAATCTATTTTTACTTCCACCAAGGATAACACCTATAATTTTTATTTTCACTAAGTATAACATCTATTATTTTTCCTTCCATTTCAAACAACTTGACAAATATACAAATCAAATTAGAGAAGGATAATCTGCAATCTTTAATATCAAATAAAAATTTCTATGAAGAAGGATAATCTACTATCTTTATGAAAAAAATTAGTATTAGAAAACTAAACAATTTGTTTAAAGGTAGATAATCCGCAACCTTCAAATACAATAATAGAAGTAGAATAATCCACTCACTTCTAAAACAAGATAAGAGCAATAAGTTCAAACTATTGTCAAACTATCAAGGACATGAACCTCTAAGAATTAAAATATTAATACTTTCTTGTGTCACTTAAAAAGACTAAAAAATTATTCAAAGATGATTTAATATTAAATTAAAATGGCTATTGCCAACAACAAAAAGACTAAAAAGACTTGAAATAAGATTAAGAACTAAACAGGCATTGACAAGAACAAAGAAGGCTTCACTCTTGCCTCCATATATACTCTTAACTAAGTGCTATGTAGTGATGTCTTATAAGACCTCCACAACATGTTGAATTTGCAAGACATATATCTTTAATTGCAAAGCAAGGTTTCTATATATATGCTACATAGTTAGCTTATTCCACAAGCTACAAAAATGTGGTTAACTTGTTGACTAAGTTTCTAACCTATCAATCAACTATAAATACATGCAAAGACATAAAAACATCTATGAAGCTTTTAAGAAGATTTTCTAAAAAATGTTATGAAATGAATCTACTTTTACTTACTTCTACTTAATCATATAAGTAAATATTAAAATAAATATGTAAGTCCATGACACACATTTCATATAAAAAAATTATATTTATTAAAATTGAAGTATAACTTAAATAAATAAACATATATATATAAATTCAATAACAAAAACAAAAAAATATATTTTAAAACATATTGTCTTATGAAGCAACAAGACTTGCCACAAATTATGTGGTTAATTGAAGCTACCAAAGAAATTGGATGTTCATCCAATGTTTAAAAGAATCTTATTGAAAATAAGGTTTTTATTTCTATAATCCCATATTTGTGTGGATACATTTCATACAATACATAGAATTACCTAAGATCTAAGACTTTGATAAGTACTATAAAGAAGTAGGATTAGGAACACAATTTTTTAGGTCTATTCTAACTAGAAAGAATATTGCTTCCAAATATCAAATATTTATTCTTTTGTGATGATTCTATAACATCAAAATACCTTAAAGTATTTTACACCCTTGAATCAATCCATAGACCTTGTGAAAAGCCGCCCTTACACAAGCCCAAAACCAATCATATATCATATAGAAAGATTCCAGATCCATTCCAAACCTACCAATGATTGGCAAACTATACAAACATGAAGTTAGTGCTTTAATGTGATGGAGGCGGTGGTTTCATGTGTTTTTATGGATAGTTTTGGCCAAGTATATGTATTGGTTCAAGGGCTCAAAGTGTAAAGCCCTTTGAAATTTTACATCAATTAAACCACTATGGATTTTGTATTTTTTTCTTTTCTTTTCTTTTCTTTTGGAGCACATCACAATCTTATTTCTCTACCAAAAAATATTTTTTTCTGAAGCCCCCCCCCCCCCCGAGATAGCTGAAAAACAATGTATTCTGACGGTAATTGTGTAAACAATGTTGTCAAACCATTGTTCAGATGTCCTCTCAATTTGGTGGTGAAAGCTGAGATGAAGGAGAAGACGAAGACCCACCTCCTCTTCAGGGCCGCGAAACAGACAGTCGCTTCTAACGTTTGACGAAACGGCTCGTCAGTGTGCAAAAGTGGATGACATTCGTCCGCCAGTGAACAGATATCTGAAGTGGGCCACAGTCATCCAGGGTGTCACCTCCGTTTCTTTTCAAGCCCTAAAATGTTTTTCGATCTCTATTGTTCGTGGCGAGCTCACACAGACACGGATTAGCGAATATCGCGAATCCGGAGAAGTGTGCGAGAGAGTTCGTGGGAGAGGGGACGCAGGAAAATAGTGATGCATCTTGTGGTAGCCGGGAAGGCGGGGTGTCCATCGCGTGGGAGGAGTTTGTTGTTGGAGGCGTAGGTAGAGAGGCGGGGAACGATGAGGTTCGCGGTTGGGCCTGCTTCATTGGCGTTGCAGCACGGCTGTTGTAGCAATGGTGTGGAGGGGAGGTTCAGGGAGGATGTGGCAGCGTCGGGGATAGTTGGAGCCGGATTTGGTGCCGGTGCTTCCTCAGCGAGAGTGCAGATCAGTTGCGGTTCGGGTTCAAGGGGTTTAGTTATGATCGGGAGTGGCCGGGAGGAGAGGCAATTGGCGCAGAACAGAGCGGGACTCATTGGTGGAGGAGGATTGCAGGGATTGAAGGGGAGACAATTGGTGTTGAGAGGGAGAGAAAGCGAGCATGGGAGGCGATGTCGGGTAGTGCCGCAGGCTTTGTTGCAGTGGAACAGAAGACCCGAGCTCGTTGGGGAGATTCCGAGGGTGGTGGTCATCACATCAGGGAAAGGAGGAGTGGGGAAGACAACCACGACTGCCAACCTTGGGATGTGTCTTGCGCGTCTGAACTTCAAAGTCGTCGCTATTGATGCGGACGTCGGCCTTCGAAATCTCGATTTGCTGCTTGGTCTAGAAAATCGAGTGAACTACACAGCAATGGAGGTTCTTAATGGAGAGTGTCGACTCGATCAGGCGCTGATTAGAGATAAGCGATGGACAAATTTTGAGCTCTTGTGTATCAATAAACCTCGGTATAAAATGCCTCTTGGTTTTGGAGGAAAAGCCCTTACGTGGTTAGTCGATGCCTTGAAGAAGAGACCTGAGGGGCAACCTCATTTCATATTGATCGATTGCCCTGCAGGTATTGATGCTGGTTTCATCACTGCGATTACTCCAGCTAAGGAGGCAATTCTTGTCACTACTCCTGACATCACCAGTCTGAGAGATGCGGATCGAGTGACAGGTCTTCTCGAATGTGACGGAATCAAAGATATAAAGATGGTGGTGAATAGAGTTAGAAGTGACATGATCAAGGGGGAGGACATGATGTCAGTGCTTGATGTGCAAGAAATGCTCGGTCTGCCTTTGCTGGGTGTTGTCCCAGAAGATTCGGAAGTTATCAAAAGCACCAACAGAGGTTACCCATTGGTGCTTAAGAATCCGCCAACACTAGCAGGTTTGGCGTTGGAGCAGATGGCTTGGAGATTAGTGGAAAAGGACAGCATGAAAGCAATCTTGATTGAAGAAGCTCCACAGAAACGAAGCCTTTTCCCTTTCATGGGTGGCAAGAATTGATAATTTAAAGCTCAATCAGTGCACTGGTTATTAGGAAGTTTAGAGCGATTGCACTGTCCACTGTAGAATCTTAATCAACTTTCATAGCAATTCAGATCATAGCAGTGCCTGGTCCATCCAACTCTGCGAAATGGTGGAAAAACCGAGGATCATGTAGAGGAGGCTGGGGTTGCTACTTCGCGAATGTGACCTGGACTTCAATGTCCTGATACAGAATCTGCGGTGTCCATTCCTTACATCCTTTTTTCGGGTTGATTTGCTTCAAGATAACAAAGTGTTGAAGTACTGAAACTTTGACAGTTGGGTATTGTAACAGTATTGTCGTTTATTAAGGTGCACAATTTATTCATATTTGAACTGGTATTGTTTCTTTGATGACTCTAGATATTTGCTCATCCTGTTCGCAACGATAATGAGGTCCTATCTGAAAGTATTCCCTGATGATTTAGGCTGTGCCCCAAAATGTCAGCATAGTGTATATCTTCCTTGCTCATAATTGAGATTCAGGCAGAAAAGTTGCATACCTCAGTTTTATACAGTTCTACCTATGTAAAATGCCTACTTTCTTTCTGCTTAAGCGTGGCGGCATTGCTTACAGATTCTCGATGTTAATGAGAATGCACGTATGTGATGGTAGTTTTGAAACAATTGAAAACAAGAACAAGCTGCTAACCAAAACATGCAGGATGCAGAGTGATCCTTGTTTGTTGTAAAAGAATGTCGAAGCAATGTTTGCAATACATGATAACAAAATAAACTTTCGATTCTTTTGTACACACAAAAAGATTATATAGAAAAGAAAATAATAATTTAGGAAGAAATCAATTTTTTGTCTTTTGAACAACTTTCTGTGCTGCGAAATAAATATCTTGTTGATAGTGCTTTAATGACAATTTAGTAGAAAAAGTCAAAGCATGTGTAAGGCATACACCAAAACGTGAGGGTACTCAAATCTTAAAGGAATTTTATTAAAAGAGATGGTATTTTTTAGTTGTGCTTACTAAAAGTTGCAAAAACATTCTAGGACTCGGATAAAAAATTCAATTGATGAAAGGAATCCGTAAGTAGGAAGGTAGAAAAATGAATTAGCTAGAATTTGTCGATTGAGAAATTTTGACTGCAAAATGTTTATTTAATTTTCTAAAGAAAACTATAGTAATATTTATATACCTTAAAAACATTGTTGGGGACCTAATTTTACAGTATAAAATCTAAAAATGTATTTAATAGAAAACCAGTTTACAAAGACTACAAATTTCAATTTTCAAACACATTTTTTGAAAGGCCATGTTTTAAAATGGTAAGCTATTAGAAAAAAGAAAAGAGATAATGCTAAAAATTAAATACTTTTCAAGATTCCGTATACAAAAAAAATCTTTGTACATCATAGATTTCAATGTAAATAAAATACAGTTTTTGAAATGCAGAATAAATACATAAAGTGTATCATTTGACCAATTTATTAAAATACATGGTTGGAGTTAAATTTGAATGAACCCAACTTTTGAAAAATACACAGTACTTTAAAATAGAAGAAAAAAAGAAAAAAGAAAATCACAATGATTTTACAAAATTCTATTAAATAAAGATACAAAAACTCAAAAAAAATGTTCATTTAAATTAGATATATTGAAAAACATTGATAAATATATATATATATATATATATATATATATTTAAAAAAAATTAAAATACATACATCTACAAAGATATATCAATCTTTTTTTATGTTTTAATCATTACATTCTTACATGTAATCAATCAACAATATGAAAGATATAGACCATTATTATTTTATAGTAAATAAAAATTAAATAGTATAAAAATCATAAACTTATGTTATAATTAGATTTAGATGCTAAATATACATATCAAAAAATAAAATTTTATAATCTTGAAAAAAAATTAAAATTACAAATATTGTAATAAATAAATGTAAAGAAGATTTTTTAAAATTAGAAAAATTAAAAACTAAACTATAATAATTTTGATATATACTAATAATATTAAACAATAACTAATCAATTTTTAAATCACTTTCAAAGGCACAAATAAAAATTTCAATAAAAAAAATATGTTTAGTAATAACATTCTGATCATGGTTAGCATTAGATTTTAAAAATATAAACATATTTTGTTTTGTAGTGTATATGTATATGACTTGTACAAAGGAGATAAAGAATATATTTTAATATTATGTATTACAATCTTAACTTGTGCATCTACATATTTTAAACAAAATTGCTTACACTAACCAACATACATTACCTACATGTTGTTAAGTATTTTGTTTCAATTTTATTATGTGGGAGTTAGTTATATTCTAGAAAAAATTAAAAAAATTAAAAAATAAAGATAGATGGTCATTCAATGTTCCTTATTGCTATCCACTCCATGGTCTTGTTGCAAAATGAAACAAAGAAATAACAATCCAAAATAAAAACAAATAAATGTATCCAATTTGGGACATGTGCATACAAACCTCTCCAAACTCCATCATATTTGCTGTACGTCCATCTTGACACAACATCTGAACAGGATGTGCTCAACACATAACTATAAGCAAAAAAGTTATGTGTACACCACAATAACTTATGTATAAAAGTTGTGGAAATAAGTTGTGTACACCACAAAGCACAAGTACCAACAAAACAAACAAACAAACAAACAAACAAAGCATGGAAGGAGCGGACATCGCAAAATTGCATGGGTCCAGACCCCATTCACGATCCCAACTTCTCTGAAATACTAGAATGATCTCGAATAACAACAATAACAATAATAAGAAGAATAATAAATCAAAACTCCCTTTTTACAATTATCACTCAGTTCCACGCAATCATTCAGCCCCTGCTTTGGAACCCTAAAACAGGGCACGGCCTCGCACATGCGCCTGCCCAACTGAGAGAATGCAAATCTGACTAACACGCATCGGCGCAGTCACTGTTGTTGCTGTTGTGGTGGTGGTGATTGCGAGGATCTCGCAGGCAGGGAGCGAGCGAGGGAGGGATTGGCACCGGCGGGTTGGAAGCAGTGCAGGAGGAAGTGAGTGAGTGAGTGCGATGGCGACAGGAAAATGCAACTGAATCAATCCGTTATGGTTTCGTTGCGTGGGACGTGAAAACGTGGAAAGCTCATGTTACGTCAGTGGAGTGGCAACGTGCAAGCAGGTCGCAGGACTTGGTGCGGAGGAGGAGGAGGAGGAGGAGGAGGAGAGAAAGAGAGAAGGACGAGTGAGTGAGTTAGTGAGTGAGTAAGTAAGCACGAGGTGAAATTGTGTCGAGGGGGAGAAAGTGAATATAAAGTGGAAGCATCAGTACTGTAGAATTAGTTGCATGTACTCTGCAGAAGGGCTAGGGTTTGATTGTCATATGTGGCCATGGGCCTGGACTGAGCAGAGAGCTTGGACGGGGGAAGGGGGGATGTGGACTCATCGCTGGGAGTCGGAAGCGATGAGCCAGCTTGTTGCCGTGGTCTTCGTCTCGCAGTCGTGGAGCCGTGGAGCCAAGTGGAGCCGAAATTCTCGTACTGTTTTGTTCTTCAGCTCGTTTTTTGGTTTTGTCTTGTTTGTTTTCTTGTTGGATGAGTTGCTGAGGTTGGAGTTGTGCTTTTTGTCTGGGTGTAGGGGAGGACGTAAACGTGGTCTGGGAGTAGATCCAGGTAGCTTGAGTGGTTTTTTGATGGTTTGTAGCGTGGCTGCATTGGTGTATAGTCACTGGAGTCTGCATATGGTGGTTAATGACGTGCGAGTGGTGGTTTGTACCGCGCTTGTGAGATCTGTGTGCTAGTTTAGAGGCTTATTTGGTGTGCAGTAGTGCTTGGTGTTCTGTGTACTTTTTGTGTCGACATCTCAAGGTGTTTCACTCGGAAGACTTTGTTGGATCTTCGATGTTTGGAGTCTGTCAACTGTAATTCTAGAGTGGTAGTGACATTGAACCTTTTCGTGACTGAGTAGCGGTCGTATATTCAAATAGGTCGGGTTGTGTCTCGATACAAGGAGATTTTCTTTTTCCCTCTCTCTCTCTCTCTCTCTCTCCTACAGTCGGATCTGAGTATGAACCCTATGCTCGACAGAGGCCAATTGTGATTACTTCCCAGGATTCTGTTGGCACTCTGGTCATTGGTGGTATGTTATTTCAGTGTGTATATGTTCGGGTGATATAGAGCTGGCGATCTGGGCACTGTATCTAGAATCTGGCACTGCGAGGTTTCTGATCCTCACAAAAGGTGAACGGCCAGCTCGTGTTAAGTTTCAGTCTCAGTTCGATCGAGAGGCGAGTTTTTCTTTGCGATATACACATGTGCTGTCAGGACGAAAGACAAAACGAAGTGATGTAAGTTTGTCTTTCAAGAGGGACGAAAAGCCGGGATATCATTTGATGTAGTCGTGAGGCGCTGAATAGAGGGGCTGATTTCCCTAGGTATGTTGAGGGGTGGACTGTATTTATTAGGTGCGATGTTATTCAACTTTTGATTATTATCGCTCTAGCCGATACGAGTAGGTACGAAACAAACGTGTCTCGTACCTACTCGTATCTATTCGTTACAATCATGAGACCTTGTATATTAGAAGTATCTGCCCCAAGTAATATACATCGGGCGGATTACAAGGTTGCACTAGTTTGAAAGTCGTAGATCATATACGAAAATGTGTTTCTGATGTGAGCTTTAATCTTTTGCAGAATTGCATTCTCTGAGGCCAATCATGAAGGGAGTTCGGTGTGCACCAGTGTGGTTACTGTTCTCAGTGTTGATGTTACGAGCTCTGCACGTGGATGCGTCAATTCACACTTACAAGAATGGCAAGTTTGCGGCAGAGAGCAATGCATTCATCTATTGGGGTGGAAATGAGGGTCTTTATGCCTCATCTAACCACGTGCAAGGGCAGGGTGCTGCCAACGGGAGATCATTCATTTCATTTGAGTCTGTCACTTTCACACGAACTGAGGAAGCTGCGAAAATGCACGAACCGGGAACCACCAATTCTCAGGTAGAAGCTATTGTAGTGGAGGTTAAAGACAAAAACAAAATTGGTGACCATGCTTTTCCTGGGAAGTTAGCTCTGTGTTGCACTGCAGATCTTGCGAGAAGTACGGGATGTAAGGAAGGTAGCGCTATAATAGAACCCGATGCTCAAAACTGGCCTTTGTCGATTGTGACCCGATTTACAGGTCAACATCTCACTGCATCCATGATCCACCAGAAGATTAACATAACGAAAACCGGAATGTACACGCTAATTTTCGTCGCCTGTGAACGTGAATTGGAAGGGCTGACTGTAGAAGGAAAAACTGTCTGGAAGAACCCTACGGGTTACTTGCCGGGACGAATGTCGCCCTTCATGACTTTTTATTCATTTATGGCTCTTGCTTATGGGTTATTGGGTGCGTTCTGGTTTTTCCAGTACATGCGAAACTGGAAGGATATACTTCAGCTTCAGAACTGTATCAGTGCAGTGATTGCTTTGGGGATGTCTGAGATGGCCCTTTGGTACTTTGACTATCTCAATTTCAACATGACCGGATCAAGACCAATGGGAATCACGATGTGGGCAGTCACGGTAGGGGCTGTGAAGAAAACCGTCTCCAGGCTATTGATTCTGGTTGTTTCCATGGGATTTGGCGTGGTGCGCCCTACTCTAGGGGGACTTACCTCAAAAGTTCTCCTTCTGGGAGGGACTTATTTTTTGGCCGCAGAGTCCTTGGACGTAGTTGAGAACGTCAATACAATCAATGATCCCCCTGGAAAAGAACGATTATTTTTGGTCTTGCCAGTTGCCATGCTTGATGCGTTGTTCATCTTGTGGACATTCACCTCTTTGTCTCGAACTCTGGAGAAGTTGCAAGCTCGAAGAAGATTTGCAAAGCTTGAGCTTTACAGGAAGTTTACAAATTCTCTTGCAATGGCAGTTGTAGTTTCTGTGGCATGGATTGGGTATGAGCTTTACTTCAAAGCAACTGATCCATTCGGTGAGCGATGGCAGAGCTTCTGGGTCATTCCAGCTTTCTGGTATGTGCTTGCATTTATTCTTCTTATCGTAATCTGTGTTTTGTGGGCTCCGTCACAAAACTCTACACGTTATGCCTATTCTGAAGAAGTTGGGGAGGATTTGGACGAAGAGGAGGTTGCACTTACAGCAAGCACGACGGCAACTAAACCATCTCTGATTGTAGAGATTGAGAAAAGTGGTGTTAAACCTGATTCGAAGGAACGGAAGTCAGTCAACACTGATGTGTTTAGTCTGGATGATGATTTAGAAGAAGACAAACGAGATTAGTTTAATATATGAATACCCTGCCTTTCTGCGATTTCAGAGGCTCCAAACTACTGCTTAACCTTGAAGTCAGATTGAATAGTTTTGAGTAAGGTTTTAGGTTTCTACGAATGAACAATGGTAGATTTTTTGTCTAGTTCTGTGGCTAGTGCGCATGGAAGTTTTCTGTAGCTAGTTTAAGATGTCGAAATTATCTGTTGCGTATTTAATTGTGTCTCTGTCTTAGATGGCTACATTGAACAGTGGCCTGCATGCATGTAAAAAGGATTTCAGATCATGATGGTCCAGATGAAGTGTATTATACCACTAAATTAGTAACCCTTAAATCGTTTGCATGTTCTCTTTCATCAGTACTTGTTTGTTAGTTTGTTTTGTCTTTGTGCTTTTTTTGCTTTTTTAGCTTGAAACAGAAGGGGTATACCACTTTGGTGACTAATGCAATATTTAATATATCAGACTGATTTAGATTGAGGGCTTCAACTTAAGACATAAGGTTAAGTGTTCTATCTTACCTAAGTAGGGAAGTTGAGTGAGGATGTAGTTTCATTTGATGGAACCTCTTGTATCTAGAATTGCTAGGTGCTTGTCTTTTCATCCCTGTGTTTCCAAACTTCTTCAGAGATCTTTGGGTTTATTCTATCTTTTATTATTCTTAAAAAGTACATGGACTCTTTACAAAAGAATATTTTTTTAATTAGTTGCAATAGAAAGATGTAGGAGGATTGCTTCTTCTTTGTACTTCTCTCTTTTCTATATTATTTTATTTGTTTACTTTTTAAATGATTGAAAAATCTTTGGAGAAAGAGATAGATCTTTAATAAGCGTCAACTCAATCATATCATCCTAAGCATTGGCAAATAATTCATTACTAGGAGATTCAAACATGGCACTTTAGCACAACCATATAATTGGAATTTAGCACCTGATTATTATCAGAATCACTCGAAATCTTAAATAAAAATATCACTATTCAAACTTTATTACCATCTTTAAGTTTGTAAAGTATCACTTGATATTTTGATGATGTATGAAGTAATATTAAATCGATTTAATATTCAACATCCATCCTATTCTTTTGTAGTATTTATTTTGCCTCCAAAGAAGTTCTTGAACCTTGAAGACAAAGGCAAAGGAGGTCATTTTGAAATAAATGAGTATGCAACGATTGTTAGTTGGTTGGAAAATCCATCAAATTTCCAAAAACTGTATAGTTCTACCAAGACAAAGATATGGGAGAAGTAAATGATCAAGACTAGAGCTTTGGTGTAGTTGGTTGCCAAAGTGAAGAAGGTATTGAAGAGCAAGTCCAACCTTTCGAGGGCAAACATGTTAGATCAATTATGTACTTTCAAAGCAAAATTTGTGGTGGTGTATGATTGGTCAATGAATATCAATACTGCCATTGATGATAAAGATCAAAAATATTAAGACCCTATGGCAGTATCAGTAACCAATTCACCAAGTTTGTTGCTCAATTTGAATTTGTTACATGAGAAATCACTACCTTAGGATACTTGGGAGGCTTCACCACAAGACAAATTTGATGAACCAAAAGAGGTTTGCAAAAAGAATCATAATTTTTTATTCTCTTCCATTTTGCTTTGGTCCTTGTCCATTTTACTAGTATTGTCTTTTGTACAATGTCCATCACTTAGCAACACTGCCATTGTTACTCTAAAAAAAAAGAACCACTTATTTGTTTCAAAGTCCAAAGGAAAATTTCTAAAGAGGTGTTATACAATGGTCAATGCATTTGCGGAGTCATGACAACAAAAAATTGATGTAGTAATAGAGTGCTTTGTTCTACTAAAGTAAGAAAGTAAAAGAGCTAAGACTTGTTTATAAAAAGAACTAGAAATGAAGGAGAAGTTAGTAATAGATAAGAAGGTGTTTAAAAGAAAAAAATTAGTTGTAGAACAAGAGGAAAGGGAGGTGATTTGAAAATGTGATACAAATAACAAGTTCTTTGATCTTGTATAGTCTCAATTAATTCAAGAAAAGTATGTATAAGAAATAGAATAAATCATAGCTCTTGTAAAGAAAGCATATGAATAAAAAAAATGTTTTGTGACTTGAATTGTGTTTATTTTTTTATGTCTTGAATTTCATGGTTTGCATTACAAGGTTATACTATTGACAATCCAAAAACTTGATGCATTGGCACAAATTTCATGACACAAGATTAGCAGGAAGAGAGGTAAGGAACGTGGCCTTGGATGCATGGTTTAGAATTCCTTAGATGCAAGGTTATAGAGGCCTTGGATTTTGGAGAATATGTCTTTGTGAGCTATTGCAAAAGACAACAAAATTCAATAGATTATGTTATTTATCTTGAAATAATATATTATATTTTTTACTAAATTTCTAATCTTTTTTTTTTTTTTTTTTCTTTTTTTGATAAATTATATTTCAAACAAAATAGCTAGTCTTAAAAAATTGTGGTATTTAGATCATTTTCTATATAAAATCCAAAACTCAGTTAAAAGAAAAAGAAAAAGAAAAAGAAAAAGAAAAAAACTTGGGATCTAATTTTGATTATAAGAAAAGTAAAATCAGCTCCAAGTGCATCAAAAGACACTTATAAATTTTTTAATTACTACCACAACTAAATTACACAAGTAAAATTAAGAGTAATATTTCACCAATGATATTTCCTTGATAAGTCCTTTGAGGCATTCAATAACTTCTATGTTTGCTAATTGATGCAGCACTTGGTCATAATACAAGGAAGTATTGAGTCAAAGGGAGAAGGAAGGTATATTGATATAATCTCCAAAACACCTCATGTATCCTAAATCCTACTATACTATATTCCATAATTTTTTTCCATTGTCAATACTTCTTTCATATCAAAATTATTAATAATAAATCACTTCTCTCAACATATTTATTTCCATCTATCTACATATTAATTAATTTAAATATACAATATTAATATAGATATATATGATTTATAAGATATAATTATCATATAAGACAAAGTAAGCTTTGCTTACCTATTACTATGCTTTTCAATTTATTGGAAGACTCAAGTTTCTACAATACATTGATGAATAATATAAAGGAGAGAAATATTGTAGCAAGAATCAAAAGAATTATTTTTATTATTACTTATGCAATACACAAAGAACATCATATATTAACAATCTTAATGACTAAAGATTCTAAATCCTAAACCTGGTTGCAATAAATTAGTCTAAATCATGCATTGAAAAAACATCCAATGCATAATTATATGCCATGACTTTGTTCGAAATTTTTTCTTTGAACATAGTTGTCTCTTTTGATGTATTAACAAAAAAAATTGACGACTCTCAGCCAATCTTAGTGAGTTCAATTGCCCATATGTCATCCAAGTTGACAAATACATTATGCAAAATGTAACAAGCAAAAATCCAATCCATAATAAATTTCATATTTGTTCTTTGATTGACTTGGATATGAATTTCTTTAAGCAAAGTGTACTTTTCTTTTAGGATCCCAATGTAATATATATTTGCAACTTGTACTTTACGTAAAAAATAATTAAACTCCATATTGATAAATCATTTGATGGTTAGAGACTTATAGTTAGGGATAACCATCTAGTTCATATTATATACGAAGTTTGCCAACAAATATTGCAAATGATCAAAAGTTTTTTTAGGATTTTTGAATATCTCTATCTTCTTCAATAATATTGCATTTGTACATGATCCAAGCCAATGAATGATTACACTAATAATATGGCAATCAAGGTCATAAAAAATTTAAGTATTAATAGAATATATCTTCTTCTTATCAAAGAATAAGTCTCCATCATTAAGGCATTGATTCAATAAAAATTATATTCCTTCAATAAGTCCAATGCAACTCTTGAATCCTAAAAGGCTAAAAGACTAACTAATTTGAAGCTTTTTTGTAATATTTAGCCATTGCAAATACTGCTATTCAAGTGAAAGAATGGCCTAAAGCTCTTTTGACATTCTTGTGGTTTGGAAAAATTGGACATTAGATTCATACATAAAATAATTCAAAATCTAATTATATGATTTGAAAATGATATTTTGAGTGAATAAGAGCTGATGATTACTTCATAAGCCATCGTAAGTTCTTTTGCATCATCAAACTTAAAGAAATCATCTTGGAACTTATTTTCAACTTTTTGGTACTATTCTTCAAATATTTCATTAAATTTCTCATCAATTTTGAAGAATAGTGCCAGGAATATTATTCCATTTTGTTCAAAATTATCTCAAAAGTATAATTATCATATTAATGTTGAGGTATGTCCATCTATTTGTATTGTCAAGTATATTTGTTCATCTACAAAAAATACATCAAGTGGTATATGATCCAAATGACAAAGCAATTATAATTTTAGAATATGCTGAAAGACAAAAAAATAACATTAATTTTATTTTTTGAAACATGTGTAGCAATTGCAATGGTAATACAATTTACATACCAATAGTTTCCACAACATTTTATTTGGCATAAGAGAAGAAGGATGTGGACATTAAAAAAAATGTAGATTTGCTATTGAATGATTATATTTTATAAATCTTGTAATTGGAGAAAGATATTATTTAAGGCTTTTGTTAATCCACATTAAAGGTCCAAAATCATTTAAGCACTTAAAAACTATTCATGGAATTTTCTATCTCACATTTAAAAGTACAGCTTTAAGATTGCTTAAAGATGATAGAAAGTAGCAAAAATATTTATAAGAGGCATCAAGAATATAAACTAGATTTCAATTGAGGGCATTGTTTGATGTTTTGATATTGCAAGAAAATTTATTAAATCCATTAAATCTATGGAAAAGATTTTAGAAAAGCATCTTTGATAATCTCAATGTCCATTTGTAAAGAAAATATAGAATTAACAATCCAATGGAAGAACATATTAAGAATTTTAGACCTTTTTTGTTACATAAGATTTTGCAAGACTCCAACAAAATGCTTGCATAGTTTCTTTCAATGCTATTACTAAGAAATAATGTCAAGGATATGAAGTTCAAAAAAAGAAATCCTCAAAAATCTCTTATATCATTCAAAAGAACTAGAAAGTCACTCAAAGATGAACTAGAAAACTAGAAAGACTTGAAACAAGACTAAAAACTAAAAAATTATTGATAAGAGTAAAGAAGGCTTCACTCTTGTGTCTATATATACTCTTAATTAGGAGCTATGTAGCGATATCCTGTAGAACCTTCAAAACATGTTGACTTTGTAAGACACATATCTTAACTTGCAAGGCAAGTTTTCTATATGTAAGCCACCTAATTGGCTTCTTTTTCAAGCTACCAATATGTGGTTAAATTATTGACTAAGTTTCTATCCTACCAATCAACTATAAACACATGTAAAATCAAAGCACCATTTATGAAGCTTTTCTAGAAAATATTATAAAATAAATCTACTTTTATCTACTTCTACTTAATCATATAGATAAATATCATAGTAAATATGTATGTTTGTGACAAATTATTGGAATACAATAATTAATGAAAATAAATTTATTGCTAAAGAAAGAGTATAGGACATTCAATAATTAAAAACAAATTAACATTAATATATTCCATAATTGAATCTTGAACAAAAAAAAAGACATATGATGATATTGTGGCCTTTATAATGGAAGAATATGGATACATGTTTTTTCTAAACAAACTTGCAAAAACTGAAAAGACATTTGTCTATAATACTTTGGCAATTACAGTTTGATTGATGCAAATGATTGTCATATATATATATATATATATATATATATATTGTATCATCAAGAATTATTGCATTGCTACTTGAAGAAGGAAGAACTGCCCATTCTACATTCAAGATTCTACTAGATTGTAACAAAGACTTTTTTTTGTTAAACTAAGAATTTTGACCATGCTGAATTTATTTGCCAAATTTTGCTTATTAATTGGAATGAACTTCCAAAACAACATTATTATTGTCTTGACATAGTTGATTATTCCTTTAGAAACATTTGAGATGTTGATTATCTATTTGGAAGGGCTACAATAGTTTTTGGTGGAGATTTTTGCCAAATATTGCCAATCATTGTAAAAGGAATTCAAGAAAAATTTGTAGCAATATCTTTTTGATGTTCTATACTTTGACTTCAAATAAAAATCTATACATTAAAAGAAAACATGAAGTTGAATTCAGGAGCACTTCAAGTAGATATTGAATTTGCTAATTGGCTTCTTTAGGTATATAATGCATACACGCATTGCATATATAGATGGTAGTGCATTCAAATTCTTTATGGTTGTATTATTATTGACTAATATTTTTATTTGCTACTTGCCACATTAATAATGGTACAAACTTATTATTCAATAATATAGCTACACTTTCTAATCACATGATTGTTAATCAACAATTGATGTTGTTAGTAGATGTCATTTATCCAAGATTGCCAAAAGATGGTGTAGCAAATGATGCCTTCTTTAGAAATATAATCAATTTATGTGCATAGAATAATGATATAGAGGATATTAATGAAAAGATTATGGCCATATTTTCCAAAAAAGAACAAGAATATCTAAGCATTGATGGAGTTGTTGTTGAAGATGGTGTCGACAGAATAATGTTTATATACTGGAATTCATCAAGTCGCTTAATCCATTTAGAATGCCCAAATTAAGGCTATCTTAAGTTTGGGACTCTGATGATGCTACTAAGAAATATTGTTCTTTGCTAAAGACTTTGCAATAGAATCCAATTGATAATTACATGACTAATGGATCGAGTTCTTGAAACAAGAATTCTTCGAGGAAATTTGCTGAAAATTTAGTGTTTATTCCACAAATTACATTAACTTCTACAACAAAAGAACTTCTATTTTTTCTAAAGAAGAAGTAATTTCCAATCCGTCTTACATTTGCTATAATAATAAATAAATTCCAAAGACAATTAGTGAAATATATTAGTTTGGATCTACAACAATTTTTTTTTATGGTCAACTTTATATAGCACTCTCTTGATGTACTTCCTCCCATTCTATCAAGATTCTTCTTCTTAGAAATGAAAATTTAAATTCCAAGCTAAATATTATTTTTCTAAAAGTTTTAATTAAATAAATATTAGTAATTTATTTATATTATTAATTTATTTATAATTTATAATTTATATTTTATATTTTATTTTTTTATTAACTTTAATACATCTTTAAATGTCTTAACATGCTTTTATGATTTTTTAATATAATTTAATGTTTTTTTATATTTTCACAAGTAATTCCTTGAATTAAATTAATTACTTTTTTTGTATATTATTTATGACAAAGGCATGGATTTACTTATCCTACTTCATACCTGAAAGCTCCATTGTATATTTTATTTCTTTCTATTTATATTATATTATATTTTAATTTGATAAATTAATATCCAATTATTATTCTATTTTTACAAGATGATACCTTATAGATTATATTTTTTAAAATCTTTTAATAATATTTGCAAGTTAAATTATTATTGTATAAGCTTCAAATCACATTTTGGTTATATAATTTATTATAAAATATTTTTGTATAATTGAGGTATTTTAAATTTTAAGATCTTTACAACAAACAACAAATGCACATTACTTAATAAAAAAAGAAAACAAATATACATATATATATATATATATATATATATACTTATAGATATAACATTTCTTTAAAAAAATCACATAAGTTTAATATACCTCATGCTGTGATTTGTGTGTGGATGCCCATTCAAGAATTGCGCCACTAAGAGCCTACAAATGGCTTACAACGAGAATAAATGAACTCGATAGCGTTCGTTCCAACGGAGATTTCAATCAACAGGCGAACACTTAGAAGCTGTCGAGGGAGGATGGATCGAGGGAGTTCATAAACGAATGGTGCTCATAATATCCAGTGAAGCAATCACTGCACGAACGTTGACCAAAATAAAGAGCCAGGGAGCGAGTGATCGAGAAGCAGGTGTCGACCTCTGCCGCTGCTTGGCCATCACACACTGGAATATCGAATACCAGTAACTGCACACAGCAAACCGCAGCTAACGACCGCGCGAGGTTAGAGGCAAGGATCCGACGACAGGCAGTTGGTCAAAGGCCGCAGGACTGTGCAAAGACGACGGACAAGCAAAGCACGGGCGAGGGAGCAGAAATTTTCTGAGAGCAAGGCAGCGCAGGGCAGGGGAGAGATAAGGAGCGGTAGCTGGCCTCCGCCATCGCCAGAATTAAGCAGTGAACAAGTGGAGGGGAAAATGGTGGCCGGGTGTACGCGGGATGAACGTGAGGACGTGAGGGCGAAGGGTGAGGCTGGCTGTTCCGTTGTGTAAAGGCCCGGCCGGGCCCGGCCCGGCCCCTGCTTTACCTTTGTGTGGACACCAAGCCGTCAGCCTTTCTGCGGTTTCAACACACACTGGACTTACTTCGAGTGATGGTCAGTGTTGTGGAAGCGGCTGGATCGTGCTTGTTCTCAAGTATCCCTTGTGAGGGGAGGAGTTGCAATTTGGGATACAGGCGTAATTCGAGCTTTCCTTCATTCCGTGTTTCTCCTCCTCCTTCATTTTTTTCTTTGGTCGGAGCTGCTGATACAATGGAATTGTGGTGGAGGTGAAGGGTGTGGGGGTTAGGAGAGGTGGTGGAGTTGGAATGGTGCCGAGGATGATAAGAAAGGGGTGGTGGCTTTGTGTCCGTGAATTCGGAGGTGAGAGGGGAACCATGTAAGGGCATGGCAGATTCGGGAGGGTTTTGGAGGGGAGGGGGGCGGCAGAGAGGAGGAGGAGCAGTCGGAGGAGGAGGGCTAACATTAAGTGGCGGGTTGGACCAGGATGGATTGGGCTGTAGTAATGGAGGGATGTGGAATTGAGTGTGGAGGTGGTGTAATCAGGCTTAGCGGCCATGAGCAGCTTACATTCTCGAGGGTGGGTTCCGGGAGGTTGGCGTCCGCTGCTGATGGTATGTCGTATACCATTTGCAACTCGGGAAACAGGTGAGGTAGTGTTTGTGGTAATTCAGTGATCTTGACCCCTTTCCGATCCGTGCGTTGCGGAGTGGAATATCAGGAATTTAGATAGCGTTAGGGTTGCTGACGGAAAGAAGCTTAGATGATGGCGAGGAAGGTTGAATGGTAATTTGAGTGTGAAGAGAATTGTAGTGTCAGGATCAGCTGAGCTAGCGCAATGAAGGAGTTACCAGGCAGAAAATCTGGAGGCGTAACGGAGGTCTCTTCTGCTCAGGGTCGCTCGCCAGCGAAAGCAGCTCGGGCCTCCAACGACGTAGATTCCGGGGGAAGCGATAGATTTTGTGGGGAGGAGATTACGGTAAGGCAGTGGCTCAGCAGGCCCAACCGAGAAGTAGACAGGGTGCAAAGTCTTCACGTATTCAAGCAGGTGCTAGATTTCGTAGACCTAGCCCACGGTCAAGGTGTTATGTTGCGGAACATTCGCCCGTCCTGCTTCCTGTTGTTTCCTTCAAACAGGGTTGCATTCATTGATTCTGCCAGTACTCGAAGCAGCTCAGAACAATACTGTGAGAATTCTCCCGGTAAGGGGTCCCCCTCCCCTGAAAGGAGACAGGGTGATGTTGGGGTGGAGAGAAATCAGGCGGAGCTCTTGGTTCGCCCTCCAGCTGGAACAGTCACATCAAGGCCCACATCAAGCAGCCGTGAATCGGAGCCCCAAAGACAAGATAGGGCCGTGTCTGGTCCCTGGTTGCCAGACTGGAGAGAAAGTACAGGATCTGAAGGTGAGAGGAGAGCAGTATCCAGAGATGGAGTGCAATCCTATGAAATTACTTCCTCTTCTGGTAAGCAAGTGGATATGAACAATAGTGACGGGCTACTTCGAAATGGAGAATATTGTTTTCCTCAGAGGCAGTTGTTGCTTATGGAGCAGGCATGGTACACTAGCTCGGAGGAGCATGCAACTGGCACGATCACATTTGCCTCTGACATTTACAGCTTAGGGGTATTTATGTTCGAGGTACTTCTGTCTAACCAACCTCAGCTGGTTATTTATTATTATAGTTTCACTTTTCAGCCTCTAAGAATTTCATTTTCTTGCATCTTTTAAATTTAAATTTTAGTTTAATTTGTAGTGTTTGGTTTTGTTATATTTAGGGTGGTAGCAGCACTCTAGAGTGCTAATGGACCTTGGTGTGGTCGTTTGTCTTACAGAATAGTTAAGTAGTGATGCATGAATTTTTTATTCCTATTTGCAGTAATCAACAAACAAGTGAACTTTGTACGTTGTCCTTAAAATACTAAGACATAGTTGGTGAATGAAATGTTCTAAGTCGAAGTTTGTGTTGATCACGTTAATGTGTATTGAGAAGTTAGTGATTATCATTTGATTTAACTTTTTTATTACTGTTTTCTTTCAGTTATTTTGCTCATTTGGGTCAGAAGTAGAGCGTATGAGAGTCATGGCTGATCTGCGGAATCGTATACTTCCACCACGCCTGTTGTCAGAGTGTCCAAAGGAAGCGTCTCTCTGCCTCTGGTTGCTGCACCCTGATCCATCTTGCAGGCCAAAAGCGAGGTAAGCTTATGCATGAAGGCAGTCTCTCGCAATCAATGTTTCAGAAGGAAGCTTTATGCTACCTCTGGTTATTGCAAAAAATACTCGAAAAATTTACGTCTTATGATAGATGTGTATTACCCATAAGAAAAAAGTCGAAATAGCAGCTGGTTGCTGCCAGTTCTAAGCCATATTATCTCGGCACACTCGTTCTACGTATCATTTACGTGCTACTGCTTGCGAAACTCGTCTGTAGATATTGTAGCAGATGCATTTAATGAAGGCTGATAATGAGTTCACCATACAAATCGAAGTGCTTCAAGATGGCAGCAGATGATATGCCTGGTATTTTATCACTTTGGTCTCGTCTGCTTCCAAGTCTGGGCAGCATTTGATTGCTTTTTGTTGTGAAGTTCTTGTTCCGCGCTCAAAGTGTGCCTGTGATCGGCAGGATCTTAATAAATTCCTTCACCTCCTTGTGAATCAGATTTCTTTTCTATATATTTGACTTCTTTGACATAGAGTTGCGTATCACACGGCTGTTATGTAATCGATAATCGCAATAACTCATTTTGCATACAGGGATATTTTTAATTGTGAGATCTTGATGGAAGCTGGGGACGCAATAGCTGAGAGACAAGCCGCAGTGCTATTGGAAGAGAAAGAAGCTGAGTCAGAAGTGTTGTTTGAGTTTTTGTTACGAATGCAAAATCAGAAGCAAGAAAATGCCCGAAAGCTGGCGCATGATGTGTCACGGTTGAGCGCAGACATTCAAGAAGTTGAAAGAAGACGGCTGGCGTTGAAGAAAAAGCGCGGTCCGATAACAAAGGTGGAGAATAGTGGGCAGAGGCGGGTCACAGGTGCTAACATGCAAGAACGGAAGGGGCTTCAGGGAAAGAGACAGCACCCAGAAGACGGGGTTGGGTTTAGGGAAAAAGGGATTGCTTGTATAGATGGGCGAGGTAAAATATTATCGAAAAGTGCTAGATTTATGAGTAACTTCAATCATCTAGAAAAAGTTTACTTCTCTATGAACTGGAGAGCTTGTGCACCTGGTATGGGTATGTCTAAATCGAGTTCAAGGCAAGGAGCAGAAGGTCTGAGTATTGGTTGTGCCGCGAGTGACGAATTGAAAGCAACCTCAAGATCAGGAGAGGAAAATGAAGAGGATTGGTTGGGCTGTTTCTTTGATAGCTTATGCAAGTATGCGCGCTACAGCCGGTTTGAAGTGAAGGCTACGTTGCGTCATGGCGATTTATTGAACACAGCGAACATGGTTTGTTCATTAAGTTTTGATCGGGACGAAGAATATTTCGCAACTGCTGGGGTGTGTAAACGTATCAAAGTTTTTGAATGTGACACAATACTCAACGAGCATGTAGATATTCACTATCCCGTGGTTGAAATACCGTGCCGATCCAAGTTGAGCAGTGTATGCTGGAATGGTTACATAAAGAGCCACCTAGCCTCCTGTGACTATGAGGGTGTTGTTCAGGTGGGTTTACCTTGCTTGGATCCCTTCATTTCGGTGGAAACATGTGGTTACAACTGTTGGTGAGGCATGTTTTTACATTGGATATTTTTACATGGGGTTGGCAAATTTTTAGGATGGACATTTAAAGCTTTGAGTATACGGGATTCTTCTGATCCCTTTTCAGTTTATATTTTAAATTGTGTAATCCTGGGACAATTGGTGATTTCATGATTACGTCCGTAATGTTAACCTTGGGCATACTGTTAAATATGCGTTTAGGAAGATATATTGTCAAACTAAGTACTAACTCTCCTTCTTTTTGACAGCAGCTGACGGTTATGTGCAATGCTTGTGCAAATAATTCCTGATTAAAAAATTGACGATGAATACCTTTCTCACTGGAAGTACTTTTGGATCAGTTGTGGGATGCCAGTAACAATCGAGTTCTGAAGGAGTACGAGGAACATGAGAAAAGAGCTTGGTCTGTCGATTTTTCAAAGGCCTACCCAACAAAATTAGCTAGCGGCAGTGATGATGGGACTGTGAAGCTGTGGAGTATCAATCAGGTATTTTTAATTTGGCTTACCCTAGTTATAGTATGATGTACATAGATTCTATTAACCTCGATGATGTCAAGGGCTATTTCCTTCTATATCAGTGTTTTTTGAATTTTATTCGCCGTGCATTTGTTTCGAGTTGGTAGTTTTCTGATGGTTCTCTGACTTCTTATCGACATTGATGTGGAAATACAGGAGAGAAGTATAGGTACGATCAAGACCAAGGCCAACGTATGCTGTATTCAGTTTCCACCTGACTCAGGGCACCTTCTGACGTTCGGATCAGCTGACTACAAGGTTTATGTTTATGATTTACGTACTACTAAGCTGCCGTTGTGTATTTTAGCGAGTCATCAGAAGGCTGTGAGCTATGTGAAGTTTGTGGATTCGGTTACTCTTGTCTCCGCATCTACAGACAACACGCTTAAGCTATGGGATTTGACAAGAGCTAACACAGCCCCACATGCCCAGACCGGCTGTTCGCTTACATATACTGGACATACTAATGAGAAGGTAACGCCATCTGCATATGATTACACTTGTTTACTTACGTTTTGTCTGCTTTTAGCCTTTGAAACTGTTTTGTAATCAGCCTTTGAAACTGCCTGCAGCTGTCTTCTTGCGGACTGGTTGCGCCCTGACTCGGAGGTTTGCTGTGGACTATTGTAGTGATTGATTTAACAAGTGTGTTTTAATCTGCAGAATTTCATTGGCCTCTCCATTGCGGATGGTTATATCGCTTGTGGATCGGAAACGAATGCAGTCAGTCCCTCTGCCTTGAAATTAATATTTGAAATTAGTAGATACTTTCATTACCTTGTTTGCTGCTTCTTCCCTCTGTCTTTAATGGTATATTTGATAAGTGTTAAATTGCATTCTTTGTATACCAATATGAGGTTTACAGGAACTTCTCTTGTAGAAAGTTGAGAAAGAGATCTACTAAAGGCGTTTAGAGGATTTAGGGTAGTAGTTGATTGAGTGGTGAAGAAAATTGTGCGATAATAAATGTAGCCAGACTTTGTCCCGTCTCCACCATCATGTGCCAAGTTTTGCTCCCAACTTGTAATGTCTAATCTCCTAGAAACTTAACGGTTGGGATTTTTACGGAAGTATGGTTTTCTTTTTCTTTTTCTTGCAGGTGTTCGCTTATCACAAATCCCTACCTATGGAAATGGCATCCCACAAATTTGGGTGCACAGATCCTATCACAGGCCGGGAAGTTGAAGAAGATGGTGGACAATTCGTTTCGAGTGTGTGTTGGAGAGGGAAGTCGCAAACTCTAGTGGCTGCTAACTCCATGGGTAATATCAAGATTTTGGAAATGGTGTGAGGTTTTTTTTCATGTTTTGACTTTTGCTCCTTGTCTAATTCCAGTAGGGTTAGCCCTTCTGGATGAACCGTTCCATGCACTCAGGTGTAGGTGGTTAAAATTTCTCGTCAGTAAAGCACCTTGTTTTAACTGCCAGATGCCGCTAGAGAGACTGGTAGGATGACGTAATATATTAAAAAAGAACAGATTGATAAAGGGAGAAAGTGCTCTAAATTTATAACTTTCTCTGAAAAAATTTGGTTCACCTCCAGAGTATGCTACTAGATGGAGTGAAGAGGGTCTATACTAAGTACGTTTAATCAAGTCGCAACCTTAACTATTTGGCTTTTCCACGGTCTGTGATGTTGATTTAGGGCAGTACATTGTAGATACTTCACGTTGCTTCATAAGATTCAACTCCATACAGTTCTAGCATCCAGGCGGATGACCAACAAAATATTCAAATTTTTTTTTGGATTCTATTATAGATTGAATGGCTCACCCATTTCCCGCTTGATAGCTGATGTAGTCACTGAACTTTATTGTAATATAAACTTCTTAAAGTGTTTGTAGCATAGTTTTCAGTAATAATATGTGTTGAAAGGATATAAAATTTGTTCTACAGTTCTGAATTTGTAATATTTTTGAATCCTAATAACTGTTCATAAGGTACAAATGCATTCAAAGAAAATACTGACATAAATGTTAATTCTAATGTTGAGTACTGTACATGAGTATTTCTTTTTCTTTTTCTTTTTTGATAAGAAATTCATCTAGACGGGATTTTCCCAAAATCTATAAGAAAAACACATTGTGAGTGTTAGAAATGATATTTCAATGAATGGACCAAAAATAGTTGTATTTTGAATTGAATTTTTAAAAAGTAACTTTTATCCAATGAATCAGTTTAAAACGTAAATATTACTAATTTATTGAGGTATGAAACAACAATAACGATACCATTCATTGAAAATAACAATGAAGTGTAGATTGATGTGTTCTATGTTTGATATATAAGCTTGAAATATCTTTTTCTAAGCTTAACAATTTTTCTAATAAACTACTAGTATTACTAGTATGTTGTTTCAAATACAAACAAATGTTTGCAATACTTGATACCACATTTGAATACAGAATAGATAGTTATTCAACTTCCAATGTAAATTCATCATCTTTTATAGTACTAATTAAAGGCAAAATTTGGTTTACAATTTTCTCTTCTATGTCATCATTAGGACTTGTATTCAAATTAAATTTTGCCTCAATTTGAATACACTCCACAACACCTAGAGTAGGTTGGTTTTTATTGTCAAGTGATAAGTTTGAAAGGTGTTAAAGTATATCATCAATCAATCTTTCTAATAGGAAGAAGCATTAAAGTCCTAGTATCATCATTTAAATCAATTATATGATATAAACCAATGTATCTCCATCAATGGCATATAGTATCAGCTAAGACATTAGTATGCTATGCTTTTACTATCTTAGTAACTGCATCATACACATCAATTTTAGGCTCCACATTTGACATAAAAACATCAATTAATCTTTGTACAAAATCTTTTCAATAATTGTACTTTAAATGATGTTATAATACTAGCATCCATTGGTTGATAATGACTTGTAGTATTTGATGGCAAAAACTCTAGTGTTATAATATAGATTTCTGCTCCAATATTCATAATTTTGTGGTCTAAAAAATTATCAAGTGATAGTAATTTTTTTTTTTTTTCTTTTTGTCTAAGATGCATCCTCTATATATTATCATCTATACTCAAGAATTTTCTCCCTATAAAATTTCCAAATTCTCTAGCCTTACAGCATTTATCACACTAAAAGCTCTTAGATGCAAATTCTTATTGATGACATAAAGAGGCAATTTAAAACTATCATCCATATGGCTTGTTACAACAATAGTAAGTTGTTCTTTATGTCGTTTTATTACTCTTCAATGAATGAGTTGCTAAAGATTGATTAGGCTTTAAAACAATAAAACAATCTAGTCTCATCCATAATATAAATATCAATAAGATCATACTCTCCTATCTAATCCTTAATCTCAAACATTTATAATTAAGTAGGTTTTGATTTATCTACAAAGATATCTTTACCATGTCTTATATAGGATTTAATATCATAACGCTTCTTAAAATCCGCTAACCATCTTTTAAAAAAAAAAAACTCTCTATTACCTTCTCTAGTCTCAATTCTAACATAAAACCTCTTAGCAACTGCAATAACTATGTCTCATCAATGTGGCATTTTTTTCTTGTATTACTTAAATTCACTAGTAAGTAGCCTCTTCAACTAGTAGATATTAAACCTTTTTCCTTCTCTTTTTATCATTGAAAGACTTCAACATAGTAGAGATCTACTTTTTCTTTTTGAAAAGTTTAAAAATAATCATTTTTTAATTAAAAATCTTACCTTAGAAGATGCTAATATTGCCAATGTACAATTAGTTATAGATTTTGCACCATTTATTTCTCTCTCATAAGCTTTACAATCAATTGTTTTGCTCAAAAGTCAATTTTTAATGCTTCACTCTATTATTAGGCTCAAATAATCTTGTTGCATTCATTAGAAGTGATATCTTTAAAATATACTTAAATCATCTTGTCGAAAATATAGTTATGACAATATAACATCTATATAATCATAAACATAAATTTGAGTTTGAATTAAGTGATTTTAGAAGTTGATAAAAACATAAATTGTAATATTGTATAATAGTCTTATGAGTGAGTTTTAGTTTAAATTCTAACTTTATACTATCAATCACACACCAATTCAATATACCATTTCAATGGTGTACTTTACACGACACTCTACTAAACTAATTACATTCCTATAAACTCAAATCTATAATGAAAACAGCCATACAAAAAGCATTGCAATAATAATGGATAGAAAAAAGAAAAAAGAAAAAAAAAATTGTTTAAAAATAAATAAATTAATCAAAATTTGACTTCAACTCAATACATTCTACATTAATTGGATCATTTTGAATCCAACTCTACAAAAAAAAAAAAAAAAAAAAATCCTCAATTGTAGTTGTATTTTGATAGATGTGGGATCCAAAAAATAAAAATCAGAATAGTTTTAAATTTTTTGGCGCCTATATCTACTAAAATACAACTCTAATTGGCAATTGTTTTTGCAAATTTGGACTCAAAATGATTCAATTAGTCTTGATAACATGTATCTACAAGAAAATTTAGGAAGAAAAAAAAAAAAAAAAAAAAAAAAAACCCCCCTAAATCATGTAAATAGAGATGTGTAAATTACAGTATTGATTCACCAAAGAAGAGCAACGCACTCTCCAAATTCATCCTTGTACATAATCAATCAAATGCAAGGACTTCTATAGTATTAAATCTATTAGTTTATAGTATGGAGATTTCAAGTCCTTTGTTTAATTTATACATCTATCTCTATTGTGATTTTTAGATCTAAGTTTTCTACTACATACAAAAGTACATTGTAATCCTACTTGTAATAACAAGAGGGCTCTATATCTTTAGTTGTTGTAAGTTAGTGAAAATGCTAACAACAAACAAATGGTTTCTACTTGCAATGATTGGAAAGCCTACTTGTATTATCTATTTTTTTGCAGAAAAATTGAGTATGTTTGACTAGTGTAGAAGGGTTCTAACTATTATCAAGTTACACTCAACACTAGAGAGAGTATAAAAAGCTAATTATTAATAACTTAACTATTAACCTTGTAATATTTTAGAAAGTATATATATTAACTTATAGAGTGAAATAACTTATATTGTGGTAAAATTTATTGAGATTCAATTGTATAATTTTTTTTAAATAAAAATAAATAAAAATTTATAATTATAGAAAGATAAGATTGTATTTTAAAAAAAGACCAACATTTTTAATGTTTCTATAATGCTATAAGAAATGTAATATTTAATGGAAGCTATTTATTTTCAAAAATCTCAAATTAAAATCTAAGTTGTTTTGAAATTGAATTAAATATTCTTATGTATTTTTTAGAAATTATTATTGTATTTTTTAATCTATAAATTAAAATACTAGATCTCTTAAAACTACTTTTTAGAAGAATATTTTTTTAGTAATTCTTTTTGGAATCATAATTTACCATAGATATAAAAGAAGCAAGACATTGATGATTATAGTATTTTTTTATAATTTTTCTTATTTTGATGAATAATAATTAATTAATTATAAACTTATTTTTTATTTTTAAAATAATTTAGCTTATTTATCTAGATTTAACAAATTTCTTTTGTCAATATACTCTTTAATATAAATTAGTTGAAGAATATAAAGTATTAATAATTGTATATACATTATCTAACTATTAGGATTTTTTTCTTTTTGCACCAATAATTAAAAAATCCCTTGTATTTCTCAAAACATTTATGGCTTCTAAAAATCTTATAAAGTTATATTTTTTTAATATTTAAATTCTTAATTAACTAGTTATAAACCCTAAAATCCTGAACCTATTATGCAAAGTTAAAACTTATAAGAAGGTAAAATTCTTCAAAAAAAATGTTTCTTTACTTACTATTATTTTTAAAAAAATCATATACATATATATTTGCAACAACTAAATTACATTAGAATGCTTACTTAATTCAAATACAAATCTATTGAAAATGCTTTATTTCAAAAGAATTCCAAATTTATTTCAAATTATTTCAATTATTCATTCATTAAATTTAAATATTCATTATATTTATTTTGTGAAAAAGAAAAAAGTAAAGAAAAAATTGTAAAAATAAAACTTAAAATTTCAACATATAAACAAACAAATTGTATACAACATGTTTATCCAAAGTTTACAATTATTATTGAATGGGTGCATGCAAGATCCCACAATGAAGACTAAAAAAATGAGTTTTGTGCCACACAAGACTGAGTGACCATGACTCTTACTATGGTTTAATTTACAATAGAACCTTACCACTTCTGACTCCCACCAAGATGATAATTTCAAACAAGGTTTACAGTGTTGCTCAAAAAAAGACAGGCTCAACTGAAATGGGAAGTAGCAGAGTGATTATATCATTAAGAAGAGTTAAACTCACAGTGGAATATTGTCGTAAAATGAGCAAATGGATTTTGCCTCAACGTTGACCACGCTAGTGTGTGTCGAAAAACTACTCTTACAAACGAATACTGGAACTGAATAGATGGCTGGGTAATAACTTGACAAGTGAATGGCATGTGCAAGATTTGTAATAAATGATTATTGTGGAAAATTTAGAGATGCCATTAACACCAATTGCAACATAATATGTTCAATTTGCTCAAACCAACTTAAAACAACCCTGAACCTGGTTTCGAAACCCCTGAAGCAACTGGACCTGCTACCCAAGAATTTCGAGCATTCTGTAATTATTGACTTCGACCTTTGATTCAAGAGTGAGAAGCAACGCAAGTTAATCGAAACAAAAGAACAAACAAAACAACTAACAAAACAAATACGATGTAAAGAACTGGCAGCCACACGGATATCAAAATGGACTCAACTAATTAAACATTTTGTCAAATAAATAGAGAATACTGGTTACATGGTCATTAACACCCACCTAAGTACAACTAACAATCACGACTTTAACTTGTCATTGGGTACCCAAAAGCTAGTTGAATGAAGCAGGCAGACCAGAATCACAAGCTAACATACAGCAGGTAGCTCCCAGACCATATTCCATACAGTTGTAATCCCATCAATATAAAAACCGCGGGATACAGAGTCACTTTATCAAAAGATCGCTGTGACAAAACTCAAGTTACCGAAATTTCAACTTTTTATCATGCTTAAATTGATCTCTCATCCTGCATATTGAAAGGAAGCATTACCCACAATCTACAGCAAAACTGCTAGACAGCCTTGGCCCTTTATCCTAACGCTATCAAAGACTGTAATGGAGTTGGTTCTATGGAGGAGAAACAACTTCACACGAATATTCTCTTACTGTATAGATTCGTGGCTCTGGGTGAGCTATACACAACTATTGTGCTCAACAAAGTGAACCGCAGGGACACAAGAAAATCATGTTCTCCATCTTTGTTTCTTTTCGGAGAAGCAAGCGACTGAGTTCAGAGAGGAAAGAATACCTTGACATATTTAATGAGGATTAAGAATTCGAACAACCTTCGAACCTGACACTCACAGTGAAGGTAAGAAGCCATGGGGTCACAAAGTGATGGCGGGGCCTGTCAACCATTTATTGTTGCTTCTTGACGTTGATGACTTTAATTTTGGATGAAAACCACCAATCTCGAATCCAATAGGGGCAGTAGAACAGGATGCGATAAATACGAGACAGGAAACCATATGTGTAGCACGCAGTAGAGGATTTCGCTACAATAGCGTTGACAGCCTTCTTAGCGAAAAGGGGAGCGGGGGTTGACTTCGGGTGGTGTGACAACATTGCCCGCTGCAGCAAGTACTCCTCGTAAGGCTTGAAGATTTTTAACATGCTCAAATTGTTCTTCAGAATTTCGTATCCCTTGGATGCGATACCAGTGACCACGCCACCCGGAACAAGAAGCATGACGTCGATGTTGAATGGTTTTAACTCCAATCTACCAACATGTGAGTATACGTTAAAAATCTTCAAGCCATCTAATTAGATTTTCAATCTACATGAAGTCAAGAGTTCCAGCTGGAAGGAACTACAGAGCTCTATCGTTTGATTTGTCTTTCATATAAATCAGACAGCTGATCCGCCAACTGCGACAACAGAAGATGATTCCATCCAACTCTGCTCTAAAGCTTGTGCGGGGTTTTGCTGCACTATGGTAAATCAAGATATTCCTGTAACAAAACTTGTTTTCACAGACGTGGACAGATGAAACAACCGTACGTTTTGTAAAAAAACTGGAAAAGCGAGACTAAAAAGTGGTGACAAATTCCTAACATCTTTCTATGCTCTCTAATCCAATTCAACTCACCTCAAAGCATCAGTGCTGTAATGCAACGCTGCCTTAGAAGCACTATAGGCTCCAGTAAATGGACCAGTTGCATAAACTGCTATACTGCTTACATTCACAATCTTGCCTTTCCCTTTCGCCACCATGTGCGGCACAACCGCTTGAATCATCATAATGGGACCTACGTGAACAATGTGGTTGTACATTGTAAAAATCCACAAGGGCAGACTAGTTCGCTAATCACGCATCTTGAACTAGTTGGCAAACATCTCAGGAGTGCAGTCAAATCTATGGCGCCGAACATGCATTTCTAAAGGACAATGAAAAGCCATATCCTGCAAGCTAGATTTAAATTCCCGCGCGAGAAACTGTAAAGCTCTTCTTCGTTGAATGTAGCGATCAATCACTTCGAGGAAAAATTCAACGCAAAAACAATGCCAGAATCCAAAAACCGCCTATCTCATGTCAAACGCAAGCCCAATCACAAAACATGTACACCATCAAATGTCATTTCCACTTGCTCGATTTCTGAAACAAGAAATCTTACGACCATGCATAAATGGCCTGCACCTGGCGACACTTTCAAAGTGATTGGGTCAAACACTTTACACATAGCCCCACTCATTGAGAAAGAGACGATTGAAGCCGTCATACCAAGGTAGTTGGTTCTGTAGACTTGGTCCACTATTGCAATGGGGACTTCCACCAGGGGAGCAGTACAAGGCATGCCTGCATTGTTGACGAGGATGTCAATTCGGCCATATAAGGCCATGACCGATGCCACGGCCTCCTTGATGCTCTCCTCCGACAGCAAATCAAGAGCAAGAACCGCAATATACTGGTGACCTTCGAACCTCTTCATAGTTTCCAAAGACCTAGAGGTGGCAACAACCGTAAATCCGCAATCACAAAATTCTAAGGCAAGTGCAGACCCAATCCCCCCATCGGAACAGCCCGTAATGAGGACAACCTCTTCTCGTCGTCCTGGTGACACCGGCCCTCCACCCATGTCTGCCACAGCTTGGAAAACCACCCTCTTAAGCTCCTCGAAATGGCTTTCACGCACGCACACCCCCAACCGACAGGCCACAGAAAAAGGACACAATTTTTTGGTTCAAAGCTGCAAAAACAGATTCAACTGGCAACTGTATGCCGCGTTCGAAGCGACTAGCAGTGTACACTGAGCAAATTGAAGAGCAGATTGCAGTAGGAGTCAGCTAAGGAGCAAAACCCACATGATGCATTTGCTTGCAAGGGCACCATCGACGCATCTGCAATTGGTCGCGCACTGTCACCGGCCTACGCTACACTGCGGGATGCTTGCGAAGCCCAATCCTCCGAAGACTCTGCTCTTGGGGAACGGGCCGGGTGGCGCTGAGCCTGTCCCTCCCACCTCGGCCCGGCCCGGCCCGACCCGAACCTACCCTGCCGTGCTTTCCATGAACTTTGCCTTTAAAGTTACCTTGTTAGGGCATCGTCATTTTCCCACAAGCCAACAATTCAACTCTTTAATACTATTTCGGATGAAGTCATCTTACAATGTATGATTATTAATTTTCTATATGCACCCTTTTTGTAACATGTACTGCAGAAGCGGATGATTTTTCAAGTTATTTTTTTGGATATAAAGATCAAAAAAGTTTTATCACAAAACTTTCCAGTAAAATACAAATATTATTTTATTTAATATTTTTAACCTATTCTCAAATATAGATATTTTGAGGGTTTTCTTTTCTTTTCTTTTTTCTTTTTTGTAAAACTTTGTGATTCATCATCATTGTACATGATAGACTTTGGTTTTCAAATAATAACAATGATAATAACTGTATACCTTGCTGAACTTAAAAATCAAAAAAGATAGATTTCTATGGTAATAATTTTAAATCGGTGTTACTTTCTGAAACTCTTCAATTATTATAAAAATAAATAAAAATAACTATGATCGATTTTATTCTTAAAGTGGAAGTTAACATCAAACAAAATTTTGCAAACAACATTAACATTATATAGAAAGATAAATTGACTAAAATGACAGCTAAACATTTGACAGAGTTGTACTATATTATGAATTTAATATACATTGAGAGAGGAAATGATTTATCTTATTGCCACTTGCAACATCTACAAATCATCATGCAGTATGTATATATATATATATATATACAATCAATTTTAAAATGTAAAGTATAAGATTATGCACATATTTAAGGTTTTGTAACAGTACATCATCAAGTAATTTGATCACCTTTGCAAATGCCACCAATCCATTAGTAGACGGAAATATAAAATTCTTTAAGGAGCTCTCAGTCACAGCAAATTTAAGACATTTAGAACAGTAGATGTTTGATAATTAATGATTACATTTTTAATTTATAATTAGCATAGTATGAAATAAGTCAATATTCCTTCTTGATTCATACAAATGGAAAAAAAATACTATCAATATTGTCAAAATCATAAACATATTACCTTTTATTGTTACAGACATTTGTATATTAACAATATCAATATTATTAGGACAAAAAGATTTTGTCCCCTTGTGATGTTTTTTGAAATTTTATCAGTCTCTCTTTTTCTCCTATTTTAATTAGATAAATTTCAATTGATTTACTTATTCATTATTTCTTAATCATATAACTCATTGTGTAGATTTTACCTTGAAATGTATGAATGCCACATTGCTAGAACTTGATCATTTCAAACATTGATATATTGGTTGTCCTGATAATTTATGACATCTATTAAATTTGTTTCTTAGATGTCAATGTGGTTTATCTCCTTTAAAATAATATTTTTACTATTATAAACATAAAATAAATGAATCGTACAATGTGAATATTATTTATTTTATTTTATCTTTTAAACATTTATTATTATTAAATCAAACAAAAGTGAAAATTTTGAAGGTCTAAGTGAACTACTAGTTGATTAAAAAAATGAGTGTTTTAAACCAAGTAACTTACGATTCAAAGTTCCAATTTTAAAAAATCAAAAATTTAATTTAAATATATACATATAAAAATTTAAATACATAAAAAGTCGTATATACATCATTATAAACTGGTTTATTTAAAATAATTTTGAGATCTAAAAAGATTATTTTTTAAAAGTCTTTGTTTAAAATGTGAAAAGAGGCTTAAAAGATATTATCATTACCATTGATATTAATTGTTTATTACTTAAAACATTCGTCAATGTGGATTCAAATGCAAATAAAATTTCAAATGGAAGAACACTTTTGCAAATAAAAAATTCAACGAGCTTAAAAATAATAGTTTCTCAAGAAAATAAGGAACTAGGGTATTGCCCAATACATTGACTTGTATATGAGAAAGAACCCTCCACCACAATGTATTGCATGTATGCATAATAATATTACTTGGATATATACAAGACTGAGATGTACATTGGCCTTGTATTCCAATTGGCACGATTGCATAAACTGCACGTATTTAGAATTTGAGTGGAGATGATTATGAAATAATTCTAAACCTCACTTGCACCACAGCACTTTTCTATAGAAAAATAAGAGGTTAGGGCAACATTAGAAGCCATCCCAGTGCCCTATAAAAATCCCATCTGCATGCATTTTTCTAAAGCTCTTTTTTGCAGAAGAGGACCCATTAGCACAAAAAATCAACGTTGATTGCATGCATATTAGTTGCCACTACTTCCAAGAGAATAAGATTTTATTCTTAGATGCTTGTGGAATAATTCCTTGTAGAGCTTTGCATCAATTTTACCATATAATGTGGATTATCTGGTAGCTACTGTTGAAAAGTTTGTTCCATTTTTTTATTTTATTTTTAATATTTTTGTCTTTTAAACCCAATAATTTTAAAGCATTCCTCTGGCACCCATGTGAGATTATAATGAGGATGAGAAAAACCCTAAATAGTGAATTTTCTAAAGGCAATGCTGCACTCCTTAAGCTGCGTTTGGATGAGTTTCCAAGATATTTGTCTATCATCCACGAAGTCTGATTCTCATCCTTGGATGGGTCTTTTTTGGAGGATGTGATTTTATTTTTATTTTTAATTTTAATTTTTTAACTGTTCAGCTGGAGGCTCTCAATCAGAAATATAAAGGGGTTGTATATGAACCTTTTGAAAACCATGGTAGAGCTTAAAAAGTCAGTTTTTAATGGCTCCTCAAGCATCAAATACCTAACCTAGCAAAAAAAAAAAAAAAAAAAAAAAAACAAACAAACAAACAAACAAACAAACAAACAAACAAAAAAAAAATACATCTAAAGTTTGTGCCACTAAGTCCAATGAATGACGAGATTCATTTCTGAAAATTAGTGGGTTTAGGTAAGATTCCATTATATTCCATTGAATCACCTATGCCTCTTTACAGCTGTGGTTCATATTTTTTTTTCTTCTAACATCGTCACTACATTTACTCTTTCAAAACTTGTACATTTTCACATATCAAAACAACAAAAAAATAATAATAATAAACAATCAATAATATTTTTATGTTTTAAATAAAGTGGTAAATTGTATTGCCTTCCTGTTGCGTATGTATATATGTATATCCACACTGAAAAGGTTGTAGTAATAGAGCTCATACAACATGGATTATTAAAAAATTATAAAAACGATTGTTTTAGTATTACAAGATACTAATACATCCATGTTTTATGAGTTTTTTACAATAAATCCATGTATTACCATAAATAAATAAAATAAAAAATTATTGCACTACAAGAACATTATAAAGCATGAGAACATAAAAAGATACTTGAAAATTTTAAAAGCACTGGAACATGGACAAATATGGAGCAGCTGTGTGACCTGGTCATGCCCCCCCTGCATGCTGCTCTGCATTAGGATGGATGAATATGAGGATGAATTCGATCGTTCGTTGAATGGATGATAATAGAAGGCATAGCTTTCCATGGAGTAAATATATCCAAAGGAAACCGGGTTATTTATGGGTTATCCTTTATAGATGCTGAAGCTTAAACTCATGTGTACTAACTTCTATATTGCAATAAAGTAATAATAATAGTGTTAGACAAATAATAAGTAAATGAATTTGGTAAGTTTTTAAATTGTTTCTCAAAGCATTGTGAAAAAAAAAAAACAAAATGGACTTGAGCAAGCTAACTATGCTTCAAGATAATTTTCAAAGCTACATGTATATGGCATATATTAAGAGGATTATAAATCCAACAGTTTTTTGCTTAATAATCTCTACCATGTTATACAATTACATTATTTTTCTTTAGAAAATTCAACTCACAATATTCAAAGTCCAATTTGCAAAACATACACCAGTAGAATTTAAAATTTTAAAAATTAGTCATGTGGTTCATGTTAAAAAGCATGTGCAGACATACAAGCTTACATTTATATATTCACACAATTGTTATAATAGAATTCCAAATTTCAAAACCCTAAAAGACCAGTATTTAATTACATTAATAAAACCATCTTACATTTTAAGTTTGAAACGTTATAACCTTTAACTTTCACATTTGAGTCCACCACATTGTATCATAGATGAACATTGAATAATTTATTCTTTTTGTAATCCATGGAATATTAATTTCAACTGATAGAGGATATGCACTTGTGTGAGAGTTGTATTCTGTCTAAATGGTATCCCTGGATGGTTTTAAAATTTTGAATAGAAAAATTGAGTGTCATAATCTGAAATTCGCCTTACGATTAAGTCGATTGGAATGTTATTGCAGAGTTTACATACAAGGTGAGATCCTTGTACAATAGGGTTTTGTGAGAAAGGAATCAGGAAAAAAAAAGAAAAAGAAAAAAACACGAGTATCAGAAGCAGAAGCAGAAGCGTTTTTGAGGATGAGAAATCGTAACAGGGGGGGAGAGTTCGTTGGATGAAAGCCGTGCTCTCATAATGTGTCTTTTAATGCGGAAGGTCCTGGGGTAGGCGAAGGAGGGAGGAAGCTTCCGCAGATGGGATCCTAAATATGGCAGCAGGAGGGGAGGGGAGGGAGGGGAAAGGAAGAGGCGGAATGTGATCAAGAGGGGGGTTAGACTTGGACTTGGACTTGGGCCTGAGTCCCTGTCGGCTGGCAGGCAAGGGGGGCAGGCCGGGTTGGGCCGGGTGCGGTGGGGGTTCGCATGAGAGAGAGGCTCTCGTCTCGAGGAGGGGTGACGGTCCCAGCGCAGGCGCGACGAGTGGAGAAGATTCGTGACGGGGGCGGGGGGGGGGGGGGGGGCTTGACATCGATTCCATTGCCATGGGCTTGAGGAAAAGGAGGCTCACTCCTGCTCTCACCTTGAGCTTTGGTCGCCGTAGCTCGTCGTCCAAAAGCGCAAGATAGAGCAGGCGAGCTTGCTGCAGATCGCGTGCTGCTGCGGGGCTGCGTGCGTGGTGGCAGATTGCTTCTCTCGGCTTGTTGGAATTGTGTGAGTGAGTGAGGATTGATGGAGCGAACGGGGGAGCGGAGGGGCGAGACGCGAGGGCGAGGCGCGTATAGCGAGGAGGTGTATGAACGAGGGAAGAGAAGCCGGGAGGATGATGGCCGGGACGATTGGCGCGGGGGCGGGGGCGTGAAGCGGTCGGTGCGGGTTGGCGAGCGAGGCGGATTTCGGAGTGGTGGAGATTTTCGGTCTATGTCGAGGTCTAGGTCGAGGTCCAGAGAGATAGAGCGAGAGCGTGTAGGGAAAGAGGCGGAGGATGGTGAGCGGAAGGGTGAGCGCAGACGGAGGTCTTCTTTCGAATATGACTCTGATGATTGGCGCACGGAGAAGAGGAGGCGGTATCATCGTGAATTGGACAGTAGTCGGCATTATCACGGGTCCAGAGGGGGCCGCGATAGGCAGTGGATTGGTAGAGTGGATTACGACCGGCGGGAGCGATTTGTTGCACCGTCTCGCGATCGCGACAGGGAAGGTGAGCGGTCGCATGTTGGAAAGGAGAGAATTAAGGATGGGGTGGAGGACTCGAAAGTGGAGTTGGAAAATGGACAGAATGGGGACAATGAAGAAGAGGAGAAGGCGCGTACTTATCAGCTTGAAGTACTAGCACAAGCGAAGATGAAGAATACCATCGCATTCCTTGAAACAGGCGCTGGGAAGACCCTGATTGCGGTGCTATTGATGAAGCATAAGTACCAGGTGTTGCGGGAGCAGGGAAGGCGTATGCTCGCCGTCTTTCTCGTCCCCAAAGTACCACTTGTCTACCAGGTGCTGTGAAATCCTTTGCGCAGCAGTCCTCATTTGTTTTTATCCGTCCTGAAATTGGTGCTTTCATTTACAACTGTTGGAGGTGTGAATTACTAATCCTCTATCTCAGGTCTTGTGAAGCTTGACTCGTTAGGTTCTTTCTGATTCACTCTGTTTCTTAGGCTTGATTCTACTTCTCTTAACTTACTTTCGTTGATTTTTAAGCCAATTTTGCTCACGCTATGGATTGTCGTGCTGTCGTGGATATTCCGATGTTCTGTATGTATATCGCAGCAAGCAGAGGTGATTCGCAACGGCACAAATTTCGTTGTTGGACATTATTGCGGGGAAATGGGTCAAGATTTCTGGGATGCTCGGAGGTGGCAGCGAGAATTCGACACCAGAGATGTACATTTTTTACATTTGACATTTGACATTTTTCAGAATAGATCTAAATATTTTGAATTTATTCTCGTTTATCTTCTCGTTTATCTCGTTGTTCTCTGACAACGAATCTCTTATAATTGGGAAATATTCTGTTTCTTCTGCGAATTCTGTGTTAGACATAATGCAAGCTCTTTTTGCTGCAGATTTTTGTAATGACCGCACAGATTCTCTTGAACATCCTTAGGCACAGCATTGTAAGAATGGAAGCTATTCACCTACTCATTTTAGACGAGTGTCACCATGCCGTGAAGAAACATCCTTACTCGTTGGTGATGTCTGAATTCTATCATGTTACACCTAAAGACAAACGACCGTGTGTTTTTGGGATGACAGCGTCGCCCGTGAATCTTAAAGGTATGAAGGGATGTGAGGGTTCGATTGGTAATTGTATGATTTGGGTTGCAAGTCATGTACGGCGTTATGCCTCACACTCGGATGTTGTCGGTTAAGTTGAATCAGTGGTCTTTAGCTTTTATTAAACATGTTTACTGAGGTTCTTAATTGAAAAATAAAACAACATAAGTTTTATTTTTTTGAATATAAAGTGCCTGATCTTTGGCTTTTTGCTGGGCAGGAGTGTCGAATCAGGAGGATTGTGCAATAAAGATTCGAAACTTAGAAAGTAAACTGGATTCGATAGTGTGCACAATTAAGGATCGGAAGGAGCTTGAGAAGCACGTGCCCATGCCATCAGAGATAATGGTCCTATATGATAAGCCGGCCTTGCTTTTCTCATTGCGGGAGGAGATAAAACTGATGGAGTCTACTGTAGAGGAGGCTGCTAATGCAAGTGTCAGACGCAGCAAATGGAAATTCATGGGCGCTCGGGACGCGGGTGCTAAAGAGGAATTGCGTCTCGTATATGGTGTTGCAGAGAGGACAGAAAGCGACGGCGCAGCTAGTCTTTCTCAAAAGCTCAGAGCTATTATATATGCGCTTGATGAGTTGGGTCAATGGTGTGCATACAAGGTTTGTTCGAGCTCTTCTTAGGAATATATTACTTATGAGGTGCGATATCAAAATATTTTTGTGAGGTGTTACTGCCAAGCTTTTGGTTTTGGTGTAGTACATAATGCTGTATGTTGTCTTTATTTTCACAGGTTTCTCTCACATATCTTACGAGTCTACGTAATGATGAAAGAATTAGTCATCAATTAGATGTAAAATTTCAAGAGATGTACTTGAAGAAGGTTTGCGCCCTTCTGCGCTGCAATCTACATGAAGGCGCTGTAGCTAGTAAAGCTCCTGCTGAAATTGGAGAGTCTGTGGCTGTTGAGGGCGATAAAGCACAAGATCCAATGGATGTGGAAGAAGGAGAGCTTCCTGACTCTCAAGGTGAGTATTTGTCTCTACCATATTTGAAGAGAAATTGCGTCTTCCAAGTTGAAGGATGACCACTTTGTCCTTCAGATTTCTTTTGACCCGTCATCTTGTACTTCTTAATCGATTACCTGGTGAGGACGAGATCTTCTTGCTGGTCATGACTGCTTTGAAAAAGTTTTACACAGAGTTCACTGGTTTTGGTGGTTAAAGTCTTACCATTTTGGCGTCTTTGCGATTTTGTGAATGCAGCGGTATCAGTTGGTGAACATGTGGATGAGATCCTTGGAGCTGCTGTAGCAGATGGAAAGGTGACTCCGAAGGTGCAGTCCCTAATTAAGATCTTGCTACGGTATCAGCACACCGATGACTTCCGAGCTATCATATTTGTAGAGCGGGTAGTTGCCGCGCAGGTGTTGCCCAAGGTACTGTGAATCTTGTGTTTTAACAGACCGACAATTCAAAGTGGTCAAAACCTCATTATGATTTTGTTTAAAGCTTTGAATTCTATTATGATTTTGATTTTTTGGTTCTTTGCATTCTATTATTTGGAGAGATTGTGCTTTGAATGCTTTCCTTGATAATCTATGCGGAAGTCCTACTTGCCATCGCTGCTTTAAGCTTTTTCCGAGAACACTGAAAATTTGGACAGGATATTGTTGTAAATTCTAATTTTGATTATGGCATGGAAGTTTTACAGTGATACTTTTTGTTCCATTGAATTTTATTTGATAGCGGACCTTGGAGGTGGAGAGTAGGTTCTCATTAGTTGGTACGCTTTGCAGGTCTTCGCAGAATTGCCTTCATTGAAGTTTGTGAAATGTGCCAGTCTGATAGGGCATAACAACAATCAAGATATGCGGACACGGCAGATGCAGGAGACAATTTCCCAGTTTCGAGATGGACGGGTGTGCTATAACCTTAGTCCACTATGGCTTGAGTGCGTGCATTGCTTTCTTTGCGTTATGTGTGACCTATGACCTCTTGGATCACTAGGTAGTCCTTGATTACAAAGGCCTTAATTCTTTACAGCAAACGAGTTAAGGCCCCTGTGATCAGCGATGACCTAGTTGCTCAATTGGGCACAGTGTCTCTTCGCGAGGGTCCCCTCCGGATTGTTCTAAGTTTCTGGGTGTCCAGGTTTGCTCTTCATCGAGTGGCTAATGTTGGATTTACAGGCACTTGTGAGATCTGCACCGCTCATACGTACTTATCGTTATCATGACGCATTTACTGGTTGCAATGGTTTGCAATTCAGCTGTGTTTGGTGGATAATGTTTTCAGCTGGTAGAAAGTATATTTTAACATGTAGCGGAAAGTAAGCAATCATTATACATGAACATCTTGTCGAGCTGGTTTGCTCAGCTGTCAAGGTGGAAAAAATCTCTTTGGAAACATTTGCACATTGTACCGAAAAGTGGTCTTCTTGTTGATAATGTTTTTGGACATGCATCAAATTATAAGGGCTGAGTGATGATAGTGAGGATGGCTTGTTTCTCATGATTCATATTGTTATAATGCAATACTCAGTTGCCGCCTTCAATTTTCTTAACATTAATTGTTGGCCTAAGGTTTAAAGTTGGTTGGGCTAGGTGACGTTGCTGGTGGCTACAAGCGTGGCTGAGGAGGGATTAGATATTCGCCAATGTAATGTGGTCATTCGTTTTGATCTCGCCAAAACTGTGCTAGCTTACATTCAGTCTCGTGGTCGTGCTCGGAAGCCGGGTTCAGATTACATTCTCATGCTTGAGAGGTATGTTGAAAGTTTCTCATTTTTCGCGCAAATGCTTCCTCTTTCCAGGAGGAAAAAATGCCAATGTTCGTGATATGTACATTTACGTCACATTCATTTTACATATCAGGATTGTGAGCCTGGAACGGTCTTGTTTTTGTTCTTCAGAAGGTAGGCGTAAAATTCTAACAAGTATTTGAATGAAACAATTTTTTTTTATAGCAGCTAGGTCATCCAAGTGTGTTTGACAGATGTTCTCCTCACATGGTTTTGTTGTCGGGTAATGTTTCTCGTGTCTTCGATGCATGTTGAGACTAGTTTAAACGCTGTGTTGTTTAATTGTGTCAATACCGCGAGAAGGATTGATCATGTGCTAATACTTCGACAGAGGAAATCAGCAACATAAGGTGTTTTTGCGGAATGCAAAAAACAGTGAGGAGACTTTACGGAAGGAGGCCATTGAAAGAACTGATCTGGGTGAAAGGAGAGAAAATGCAATTCTGGCCTCCATGGATTTAGGGGATAGGGAGATTTACCAGGTGCCAGCCACTGGGGCAGTAGTGAGCATGAACTCAGCTGTAGGTCTTATTCACTTCTACTGCTCTCAGCTTCCTAGTGACAGGTATTTAACTTTTCCTGGCTTCTGTTGTAACTTTACGGATCGCTTTGTGTTTCTTAGTTTTCCCTCTCGAAGGGAATCATAGTTGGTTTTGTGTGGAAGTTTACCCCAACGATTTTGTAGGTACTCTATTTTGCGCCCCGAGTTTATCATGAACAAGATTGAGAGTCAAGGGGGTGCTGTAAGATATTCATGCAAACTTCAGTTGCCTTGCAATGCTCCACTTGAGAATGTTGATGGGCCAGAATGCAATTCGTTACGAGGAGCGCAGCAGGTGGATATAATTTAATCATTTTCTTCAGTTTTGTCGATTTTGACTGCTACAGTGCAGACTGTTATAGGTGTGATCTGTCTTCATGGTAGGAAATATTTTCTTCATCTATATAGTTCAATGTCCAGTAAAATGACTTGATTTCTTGGATGCAGTCTGTGTGCTTGGAGGCATGTAAAAGACTTCATGAGATGGGGGCCTTTACCGACATGCTACTACCTGATAAAGGTAGTGGGGAAGAGGCTGCAAAGGTGGAGGGTAGTGAAGAAGGAGAGCCTCTTCCTGGCACATCCCGCCATCGAGAATACTATCCTGAGGGCATTGCCGATATACTGAAGGTACAGCAGACCTTGCTTTACGAATTAATCTGCATCGGGTAGTACTCTTGCTTTTCTTGGATCGTTGGATCTGTAGTTCTCATGAATGTGATATTAGCATGCGTATGTACCTTGTGAAATGACACTTCACAATTTGTGACAGGGCGATTGGATTTTGGCTGATAAAGATCCCGATGCTAAACCAGGCAGCAATGTATTAGTATATGTATACATGGTCAAATGTGAAAATGTTGGCTTTTCGAAAGACAATCTATTGACTGAGACATCTGATTTCGTCATACTCGTTGGTCAAAAGCTCCAAGATGAGGTAAATTATCGTTTGCCCTAGTACAGAAATTTATAATTGAGTACTTCTTTTGGCTGACTTCAAGAAGTTGGGTCGTAGAGTTGCATGCAACTCGAAGGTTGGAAGTGTGACATCAAATTTCACATCCACAAGAATAAGTTTGCTGTTTTTGGCATACAAATTGTGTTCGATATTCGTCTGTTAAGAACCCGTTTTCAATGCAGGTGTTAGACATGACAATGGATCTTTTTGTTGCACGAACAATGATTACTAGAGCGTCTCTCGAGTTTTGTGGTAACTTGGACTTGAGTCTACACGAGGTAATGTGACTATCTATCCCCTCTTTACTCTTTGTTTCTCAATGCTGGAAAGACATAATCTGGGATGAGGGTATAATTTGGCATTCTACTGCATGTGAACATATGACCACGAAAAAACTGCATGTGGCAGTATATTGATGGGAATAATTTGAGGATTATCAAAGTGTTTTGGAAGGATGATACATCTATTCTGCATGCCTTCTTCGTGAATTTTTTGGAAGCGTATCTTGTTCAGAAAATGTGCTCTGCTTTAGGTCGCCGAAATGTGAGCCGTTGTTCTCTAGTTAAATCACTTTGACTTCTATTGATAAGCTATGAACTATTTCCATTCTTATTGATTGTTAAAAAGATTCAAGTTCCATTTCACGAAGAAAATTTCCATGAATTTGAATGGAACCTCCCTGGTGCTATATTTGCCGGATAGACAGATGTTCAATTCATTGCAGTCGTTACTGCGTTAAAGAATTTGGTTACTTGTTGTATTTGCAGTTGACTGACCTCAAGAGTTTTCATGTGAGGCTTATGAGCATTGTTTTAGACGTCAATGTCGATCCAGCAACTACTCCTTGGGATCCTGCTAAAGCGTACCTTTTTGCGCCAGTTGCGCATAAAGTTGATTCCGATCCTTTAGAGATGGTGGATTGGGGCTTGGTGAGAAAGACGATAGAAACAGATTCGTGGAGCAATCCATTGCAGCGCGCACGGCCTGATGTATATTTAGGAACTGATGAACGTGCTCTCGGCGGAGATCGTAGGGAGTACGGATTTGGAAAGCTGCGATGCGGCTTGGCCTTCGGTCAAAGAGCACATCCAACTTATGGAATTCGTGGTGCGGTAGCCCAATTTGATGTGGTGAAAGCCACAGGTCTTCTCTCTTCTCAAGATATTGTGGAGAAGACAGTTGTCCAGGAAGTACCCCCAGAGGGCAAGCTGCTGATAGCGGATGGTTTTGTTGAAGTCGAAGGATTGGTTGGACGGATTGTTACTGCGGTGCACTCAGGAAAGAGGTTTTATGTGGATTCAGTGCGCTTCGACATGACAGCTGATAGCTCTTTTCCTCAAAAGGATGGGTACCTTGGTCCGTTGGAATACACATCTTACGCTGATTATTACAAACAAAAGTAAGGTCTACAGCCATTGTTACGCCATTTCATTTATTGCAACTAGCCAACTCGTTTGAGATATTGAAATGTAAATGTTGCCCCTTAGAACATGAAACTTGTGATATCACATGAATCTTAAGGTCATTCACTGCCGGAAATAAGTAGAATGGGTAGTTTATTATCATCCTTGAGGGCTACTGCTTTATGCTCATTCAACTAGTAGATCCTTTATTACGTTTGTGGACTCTTTTGGGATCTGATTCAGAGTCGATTTGACTGGTTTGGCTAAGTCGATGGCTCCGCCTGTACAATCCTGGTTATTACATTTCATCAAATTCACTTTTGGATGAATGTTGCTTTATCACTTGATGTATTGCAACACTATTTTGTGAATTGTTGAGCATCAGCTACGGTGATTTTATTCTGTTTCAGGTATGGGGTCGAGTTGGTTTGCAAGAAACAGCCTCTGTTGAGGGGTCGTGGGGTTTCTCATTGCAAAAATTTATTGTCGCCACGTTTTGAGACCTCTACTGGTATGTTTTTCAACCTACCGTTTGCTTATATTTCGTACAGCACTAAGCTGTTATACGAGCGAGATTCCAGATTGAGTATGTTCATGGTTGTTAGATACAGATACTTCAATCACAAAAGGTTTATGTAGCTAGAGAGAAGGATCCTACTGGCGCTTTTGATTATTCACTAGTATCGCATTGAGGATGTGATGTACTGAAAAGAAACTTAGAAGTTCTGCTTTAATATCTCGCAACTTGTGCTGAATTGTGCAGGTGGAACACTCGACTCTCTGGATGCCTTGGATAAGACGTATTATGTGATGCTGCCACCTGAGCTTTGCCTTATACATCCTCTTCCGGGATCCTTGGTGAGAGGCGCACAAAGATTGCCATCGGTCATGAGACGTGTAGAGAGCATGTTGCTTGCCATACAACTAAAGCACCAAATCGATTACCCTATTGCTGCTTCGAAGGTATGTGCATCCGGTGCCCTGAGTCCTGACTGATACTAGTGCTAGTTCTAACTCCACCAAGTTGACTTCAAGTCTGTGTATCCTTTTTAGTGCATATGTAGATTGAAATGAGTTGTAACTCTACATGAAGTGTTGTCAGTTATGATATTACTCTGGCAGTTTGAGTCTGATCATCTATAGATCTTGCTCTTTGGAGCCCGTTTGCTTAACATGAATGAATAATGCGACAGGTTTTGGAGGCATTGACAGCTGCGTCTTGTCAAGAGACCTTCAGCTATGAGCGTGCAGAACTTCTTGGAGACGCGTACCTGAAATGGGTTGTTAGTCGTCGATTGTTCCTGAAGTATCCTTGTAAACATGAGGGGCAGCTTACACGTATGAGACAGCAGATTGTCAGTAATTCTGTCCTGTATCAATATGCTCTTGATAAAGGACTTCAGAGTTACATTCAAGCCGACCGCTTCGCACCATCCCGGTGGGCCGCACCGGGGGTGCCTCCTGTGTTTGATGAGGATATAAAAGATGGCGATGATTCAGACAAATCTTTGAAGGCTGAAGCTTCAAGAGAAGTTGTGGAGATCGTCAGTGAGGAAGGTGAAATTGTCGTCAAGGAGCTGAGTACCGAAAGTGCAAGCATGGAAGATGGTGAAATTGAAGGTGATTCCAGCGCCTATCGAGTGTTGTCAAGTAAAACACTGGCAGATGTAGTCGAAGCATTCATAGGAATATACTATGTGGAGGGGGGCCAGGACGCTGCAACCCACTTGATGAATTGGATAGGCATCCCCGTTGAGTTTGATGACGCAGAAGCAGAGTTGGCCATTGGAGGATGTGAAGTTCCTGAAACCGTCATGTTGAGTATAGACTTCGACTCATTAGAGGCAAGTATTGGCCATAAATTTCGTAAGCGAAGCCTGTTGGTAGAAGCCATAACACATGCGTCTAGACCATCGTCGGGAGTTCCTTGCTACCAAAGACTGGAGTTTGTGGGGGACGCCGTGTTGGACTATCTAATTACCCGTTTCCTATTCTTCAAATACACTGATTTACCGCCAGGTCGATTGACCGATTTGCGAGCTGCTGCAGTGAATAATGAGAATTTCGCACGTGTTGCCGTGAAGCACTCGTTTCACCTTCATTTGCGGCATGGTTCTAGTGCCTTAGAGACGCAGGTAATAATCCCTGACCTTTAATGGATATATCCAACTATTGATACTACGGACCTGCACTCTTCTGTCTTATGTGCTAAGTATTATTTGTTATATAGCGGGATTTTGCGGCTGTTTATTTGGTTACTGTCTCCGTTTTTATACAATGAAAATATTCTAGCTTTGGAACCTACATTGTACTTCAGTGCCATTAATGAGGTTTTTGGTATTGACGGCACAATGTCTTTGTGTGTCTCAGATACGCAACTTTGTGAATGATATACAGACCGAATTAGATAAGCCTGGAGTTAACTCTTTTGGACTCGGAGATTTTAAGGCCCCTAAAGTGCTGGGCGACATTCTCGAGTCCATTGCAGGAGCTCTATTCCTGGATGCTTGTCTAGAAACAGACCATGTGTGGAAGGTACGCATTCACTTTATTTGGTTCTCCTCACTTGAATTAAACTGTTCTATTTTTGTTTGGAAGTAGATCACTTTGATCGAAATCATTTGTGGATTATCGGCTTTTGGGGATTAATAGTAACATGCATGCGTGAGTGGGATGTTGCTCTTTTGAAGGCACTTAAATTATAAGGATTCGGATTTTGGGCGTGCGTATGTTTAGATTGGTAAATTGAAGGTGGTTGATCTTCATGTGCACTGGTAAATCTCAATGCAATAGTATACGATCTCGATCTCCTTACCATTACACACTATGCACAGGTTTTTGAGCCCTTATTACAGCCGATGGTGACCCCTGAAACATTGCCGATGCATCCAGTACGAGAGTTGCAGGAGCGTTGTCAACAACAAGCTGAAGCTTTGGAGTATAAAGCGTCACGTGCAGGTAACGTTGCAACTGTGGAGGTTTATGTGGACGGTGTACAGATTGGATCTGCGCAAAATGCTCAGAAGAAAATGGCGCAGAAATTAGCTGCTCGTAATGCGTTGGTCATATTGAAGGAAAAGGAGGTAACGAAAGAAAAATCCGAAGCAGAGAATAGTGAGGCCAATAATGGAAAATCCAGTAAGAATGGCCATACCAATTTCACTCGCCAAACGCTTAATGACCTTTGCTTAAAGAGACAGTGGCCTATGCCGCAGTACAGGTAAGCTTATAATCTGTCATTTACATTGTTTCGTCATTCTCCTTTACTTATCTGCGATACGGTAGTGTTCTTCCAGGTTTCGGTATGTGTCAACCTCAAGCTGGTAGTGTAGATTGTGTTGCTCGAATATTTGCTGTATCCTTCAGTGGTTTCCTGGATTGTTTATGAAACAGCGAATCTTCTGATTCTTCATTTTGAAATTCCAATAGGTGCGTCTTGGAAGGAGGGCCAGCGCACGCTAAGAAATTTACGTTTTCTGTCCGTGTGCTTACCACCACGGATGGATGGACTGAAGAATGTGTTGGAGATCCCATGCCGAGCGTGAAGAAAGCCAAAGACTCTGCAGCACTTTTACTTCTGGCTTTACTGAAGCGTTCTTAGTTTATGGGTAATAGTGATATACACTACCAAAGTAATTCGAGTTATCAGTAAACTCACGAGATCAAATATCTGGTTTTGGACAATCTAGGATTGAATCCATAGCGCCCTGTTGACAGCAAATTACATATCAATGATTTGCAGCTGCGATATACACCCATTACAAGGTTTGGATAGCACTAGCGCCAGCTTGTCTAAGACATGGCAATTGGCAGAGTCTTCACGTTGGGTACACAATATTTATTGCGTAAGTATTCGATTAGAAGGATGGATTACACAATTCGTCAATCCGTACTATATGAAAAAAGTAGGATTGGTACTTTAGGAAAAAAATTCCTTCCAGGAAAGCCCAAGTTGCCTTATTCCTGGTGTATCCGAGTTTCAGGTACGTGACGCTTTTTTCTTTTATTAGAGAACTCATTATATGACGAAAGTTGGTATAATTCTACCAATTTACTCTACGTTTTATCTTTCAAATTGAAATGTCGTACACATCCGGCCAAGTGAGTTTCTCATGAAACTTTGTTTTTGTGTATTTTTTTGGTCTACAATCATAGACAGTTATCTTTAACAAATACCTCATGAAATACCCGTTTGATATGACGTCACACAACTACGTCATTCGTTCTCTTGTACCGCAACTGCGACTGAAGATTATTCGATATTAATTGGTCAGGAATGATCTGATTGATTTATGCCAGCATTGGTATTCTTGACTTCACTAGTTGAATATACTACGATGTTCAAGTACACAATGCAGCAACTGATGGTTGTAGCTACTTAACACTGGTTTCAAAGTAAGGAAATGAAATGATCAACGTAAAACAGGCATCAACGGCGTCACCAAGCATCTACCAAGTCTAATGAAGAACAGCTACAAGTTCACACTTTGGCAAACAGATACGTAGCTGTCGGGCTTTCAAATCAGGGTTAACAGAAATCAGATGCTACTTCCGTAGTGATAACTGTGTCCCGTAATGCCGTAATAGCGACATAATAGGGTGTACCGGTAAATGACCATGCAAATGTAACTTAAACAAACATTTTGGTTGGTATCATTATGATGATCGTGATGCCCACAGCTATTTTGTTACCCACAAATTTCAGTTATTAAAAGGCGATGCGAAAATAACCACTCAAGAAACGCCAGTGTGATATGTGAAATGTAAATCATGGGGCCTAATAGAAGTATGAATTGAACCTACATGGAATGGTACAAATCTACTAATGCGACCAAAACTAAATGATACAGCAAAAGAAATCCAAACAAAAGCTGACCTTGAAGTCCATACAAGACCTCTTCGCTCAATAAGAAGATAATTGTAAGGGTGAAGGCCAGTGAGTGATTTGATTAAAAGACTTACAAGCAATACATTTCCATGACGAGTGCACTCTTCCTAGTCGTGAGTGGCATAATCTAATCGACTTCTTGAAGAGGAGGAGCCACATCCGCATCACTGAACTTGCCCTTGCCCTTATCAGCGTCACGACCCTTACCCTTCCTCTCAAGAAGGGCCTTCCGGTCCTTGTCAAGCTTCAGCTTCGTGATCACCACCTTCGATGTGTCAATACCAACATCAACAGTTGCACCTGGAACGACACATTATCATAATTAGGGTGACGTTCGAGACTCGTTGCAATATAAGTAATCAAGGAGCGGAAAAGGAAAGTACTATGCTAATAAAACAACTAAACGTTATCAAAGAACAACTTCACCCATATATAAAATTTATTACATACCATTGACCTTCTCACGAGTGATTCGCTCAATATGGATCACCCACTTGCGCCTGTAAACTTGGACGACCTTTCCTTCTCGGCCCTTGTATGTGCCTCGAACAACCATGACCTCGTCATCTTTCCTTACGGGAACAGAGCGTACCTGAAAATAGACGGTACTGCAAATTATACGCTTTCCCAGGAAAAATTAAAAAAAGCTTCGGTGCTTTACAAATCGGCACCACAATTTAAACGATGCAACGCATTTGTTCTGTACAGAGTTCCATCTCAAAGCGCAGCACGATGGAATGCGATGAGGATGCCTGGTAAGATCAACTATGCATCGAGGAACAAAATTAAAGCTTACATTGTACTTGTTCTTAAGTTCAGACGAAAGGGGAGCACTCATAAGAATGCGGCGTTCACTAGATGGCGCACTAAAATGCGCCTTCCGCGACTTGCGCCTGGAGCTGCTCACACCTACACAAGATAATCAAGTACACGAAGAGAGTTGGAAGTCTAGTTCGCAGGCAGTACTTTGAGCTGAAACAGTGACAGAGAAAAAGAACTTGACAAGATCAATAAACACCTTAACAGACGGGTACTAAAACATAGGTTTCAACTTACAAAACCAACCAGGCCCAGTACCGTATTAGAGCAAAAGAAAGTGATTTCAAAAACATTGTCGGAGAAGGGTAATTTCATTACTAAACAATTTCCTACATTAAAAATCCTCGACAAGGGATCCTAACTCCTAGGTCTTAAACGAGAAGTGATCGAACCACAACTGGACGTAGTAAAGGGGATAACCTAAACATCCCAACCTATCCAGTGGTCTTCCAATTCAACACCCTAAAAAAAATAAAAAATGATACCAAAATCACCTGCATATTGTTAAACCCTGTGTACATGCGCTACTAAGCAACACATACCTCGACATTTCGGAAAAACCGTCACTGATCAACTAAGAACACTCATTATAGGTCTCAAAGTGCATACGCTACAGGAGCGAGCCACAACAGAGCCCAGTAAAAAACATAACAAAAAACTGGTAGGCATTCCATGTCCAAGTGGACCCGGTTTGCAAGCGACTCGTTCTCTTGGTATTGCAAATGAAAAGGAAAAGCAGACGGTTCATGAACAAGGAGAAGACAACGCTTACGCGGAGAGAATTTCATGGTGGCTGGCGTGTGGTATCGCGTCCACTTCTGCTCCGATTGCGAGGCCCTGGTGATGGCTGCAAAGAGAGAGAGTTTCTGCAACTGCGGCAACGTTTAGGTTTCGGAGACTGTCTCCGAGCCAACTGGTTCGGGACGAAGCTACAGCTTCGTGATTTGGATGTATGAACATAGTACATTCATCGAATCTCATCCTGTGACCACCCGGTTTGTAAATCCTATTCATTAATTGATTTTTAAAACATAGTTTTTTTTTCTGTTAAATCAAATTGAAATCGTCTTTATTGGTATGTTTTATATATATACATTTGTGGGTAGTTTATGCGATTCTGTAAAATTTATTGACTTTTCTGAATTTCTCTTAAAAGTAGAAAGATTTGTAGGAGTGGCGAACCTACTCAATGCTTACTATAATATTGGCTCTCTTCCTATAAAAGATAGTGTATTAATAATTCATTTACTGTAACCGACATGACGTTATACTCAGACGTTTCTATTAAAACCATTACTATAATTGATGGCATTTTACTTAATTATGACTTTTTATAATCAAATATGATAAGTAAATAGAAAGGTTTTTATCATCCAGTAATTCGTTTCAACAATACTTGTGTTGACCTTTTGACCTTAATGTCTCCGGAGACATGCATGGGTGTCATTCAAGAGAAAAGAACCAAAACTAGCTAATTTCCAAACCATGTTCAAAATACGACAGCAAATAATAAACATACAAATGTCAGCTTCTCATCAGTCCACAAGTCTTAGATGTTTTGCTTTCGATACAGGTGAAAGCAACAGTCTACCCATGAATACTCCTCTCAAGGCCACATGAAATGCTTCCAGAAAAGAATTACACCTCGTCAATGCCTAGACTAGAAAATAAAAAAAGAATTCCTATGTGCCTGACTGTGTTTATCACTCTCGCTTCTTCTCTGACTCAACTACAGTCTTTTTGTGAGCACTTCGTTTCCTCCATTTGAGGTAGATTTGATACATTAGCCCTGTGAATACCATTATCACCCCAGCCCACTGCTGGAGAGAAAGATGGTTCCCATTCCAGATTGAGGAGACCAGGATGCTGACAAACTTGCGGGTAGTAGTGATGGTAGTGTTGGTAAGAGCTCCGAACCTACTTATGGTGAGAAAGATGAAGTTCTGCCCAACAGCACCGCACAAACAGAACAGCATGATGTCCCAAGCGGCAACAGGATGGTGTTGCATGAACTTCACTGCCTCCCAGCCACCACCGCCAGGTAAACCAAACATGTAGATTGACATATAGATTGAGCCCCACAAATTCATGGCGTACATAATATGCCACGCATTTGTTCCTGGGTACCTGTCATGAATGGATACGATTCAGTTCACATGTACTCAGTGGAACTCAACATGAACTAAAGTTTGGCTACACCCGCTTGGTGACACTCGAATGAAAGTAACGGAGCACCAATATGCAAATAACGACCCCACCATATCAAGAGTACTAGCAAGGCATTAACAAATGAACTAAGTAAAAAGGAAAGTGAACGAAGTAAGATCTGTACTTCTTTGTGATTGAATCTTGTGCAGCGTTTGTAAATCCATCCAATCCCAGATTCAGAAAACACAGAGTGTATCCCAAAGGCGCGTTGGGACTTGAAAGTTTGCTAGCAACCTTTTTGCTGCTCTGCATTTAGCACTCCGAAGGGCAGTTAGTTACACTGAGGACAAACATTGAACGCTCTAAACCATATAGATCGTAATGCACGAGTTTAATTATGGCTTGGATTGATCATTCCCAAGAAGGCGCACCATCCCTAGATGTATGCATCTCGAGAAAATAGTACGACCGTAGACATTGCTATGTGTGTTATTTACAAACAGTACCAAAAAAATCCCAAAATGCATCCAATGAACCTATATCTTAGATGTCTCCTAATTCTCTTGACCTGTAACAGCTAGACTGCTCAAGAAATCACCAAACCTGTTAAGATTTACCTTGAACAAAGCAAACATAGATACACCGCCAGCAACCAAAAATGTGGATAGGTATTCTGAAAGGCTGTACTGAACTCCATATACAAGGGCTCCCATAAACATTACTGCCACATACGAAATGACAGCAGTGGGTTTCATGAAAAATCTCAGGCTGCGAATATCCTTCATAACATTTTCACAAGGACAATTTCAAGAACATCCAGATGCGGCTCTTGCTATTTGAGAAATTTAAGGAATGGATGAGAGAAAGTGATGTTATAAAGTGAAACCTGGGATCATCTTTGATGATTTAGCCAACACCTGCAACATAGAAGCAAAACAAAAATGAATATTTAGACATATGAAATGCCAGTTGAAAATTGATACCGAGTGCAGCACATGAAAGTATAAGGACCGACACCCTTTCTGGTAGGTGAGATATCACGATTCGATGAACGAGGCAAATGCATGAGTTGTGGGCTAACGTAGAAAAAGTGCGACTGATGACTGTTCGTAACCTTCTAGAACAATCATACCCGACTTGGATGCGACAATGAACAATTGTCCTGCAATAGCTAAATGAATGTGACTCTAGGTTGTTAAAGACTATTTAATACATCACAATCGTATCTTTTACAACTAATTATGCGCATGAACAATCCTCGAAAATTCAAGCCAAGCCAATGCCCACGTGGTGCTGTTTGAACCACAGAGAAAACAGGAATTCACAATCCCAAAGGTAGGTTGTCAATACCTGCGCGGGATAGCTAATATACTTCAAAGCGACAATACCACAAGCAGGACCGATGGCATTCGACAGGCTGGCCTTCAAGTATGCTGCAGCTGGAGCTTGACTGCCCTTCGTGTTTGGCCACACTTGCAACACTGTCGCATGCAATCACGATACATAGTCTCAAGTGCCTTGAAAAACTATCATCCAACAGCAAGTTTCTCATGCCAGTTCGTATTAATTTTTTGAAAAAAAGCAGCGGATTCAATAATAAGCGTAAGTCTTCGCACAGACTTCAATTTTTCAATCAGCTTATCGTCCGATTGCGCTACTGTTATCCAGCTTCTAGGGCGAGAAACAAATATTGAGAGTGGTATTGTTTAGTATGTCTTACTCAATAAAGACCAGAATAGACATACTACACTTTGGGCCAATTGTAAGAACGTGAGATGTTCGAATCTTTCCCCTTTCTCTCCATATTTCCTTGTCGACCTGCAAAATAAAAGCCGCTGCCCGAATCAATCTGGAGAATCTAAGAAAAAAAGGCTGCACTCCACATATTTTTATCATTCATAAAAGAAATAATTTTAAGCAATGCCGAAATGCTAAGGTAACCATCAATGAGAATTATAATTCCATCCATAGACGACGATGCTGTCTCCAGCCTCGCCAGAAAGTATTCACTGTGCATGTGTCTTTACCCCATAAAAACAGTTTAGACCAACAATGATTAAAATCACCTATCACGCTCATGAGGAACCCTAATATGACAAGATTAATGTTATAATAATAATGATAATAATAATAATAAATCCCGCTACTGCCAAGGCAAACACATAGTCACAAATTGAGGGCGAGCTTTTCACACACGCCGAAATCAGGCACTCATGAACAAAAACCATCGCCCAATCAGGATACCCGAACGGCCACTTCACGCCACCGAAACAATGCAGCACCCACAGCACCGATCGAAACAAGCAAGGTCAACCAGCTACAAACACACCACACAAAGTGTGTGAAACTCACACATTCTCCTGAACCACACCCTGCGTGATGTATGCAGCGTAAATCGCCCCCACACAAAGGCCCAGCATCAGAATCTGGCTCCCGCCTCCCCGACTCTCCATCGCTCTAGCTCCACTCAACCACAAAAGCTCCTGTCTCGCTCTCGCTCTCGCTCTGGCTCTCTGTTGGGTCCCTCAGATGGAAGCTTTGCAATCCTACTTTAAGAACGACCACCGAGCTGACCCCGATTGCAAGGTGCTCAATACATCAGGGTTCCATTACGCGGCTCCGACTACAGAACCCACGATGCATCGGAGTCGTGAGAATGCACGTCGGGAGGAAGGGCGTGATGCACACTAGTCCTCAGCAAGGAAAGGCGGCCTACCAGTCTCTACTCTCGCGGAGTCACGCTCCCGTAGTTATGGGGTCGGGTTCTCGGACACCGTCGCCCGTGGTCAATGATCCAGCGTGGCCGCCACGGAAGAGCTCCGGTTGCCGTGGATGGTGACCATCTTCTTCCAAGTTGGAATTCTGTTCATCCAACTCAAACAAATGGAATAACTTAGTTGTTAGACATTTACAATTGTCGTGATTGCATGTGTTTTTGTTTAAGCAATGACATCCACAAAAAGGAGTGGTTTATTTTATTTTATTTCATTTTGCTCACACACGAATTAATCAATTATTTTTTGAGAGAGTAAAATATTAAAGCAAACTATTGAAGTATGATAATCGACACACATGAAAAAATCTGGTTGCAAATGATGTAACTATGAGTCGAAATCACAAAAATATGTAACAGCATCTAAATCAAATGCATATGAATACATAAGATATAGTAATCGTAAAAAAAAAATTATGCAACTATTTGAAACGAATAGATCTTTTGTGGTACATTTATAAACGATGTACATACAAAAGTTTATTTTATTATATATCAATCTTGATAAATATTCGTGATTTTTTCTTTTCTTTTTCTATTTTTTTTAAAGTGTGCATGTATGTATTTATACATACACACGCATACATCCATACATACTATATATGTATATATATATTTAGAAAGGTTATGATAGAGAAAAAAGAAAAAAATTGAGGCAAGTGCTACAAGGGCCCACACATGCCCAAGCTCAAATTAAAAGGTACAACACCCCCTTTCACATGGCCCATTAAGGCTCCCCAATCCGGAACACGGGAAAGGGTCCTCATCAATAGATCGGAAATAGGTGGTGGACCTTTAACCGGGCATGAGAGGAAACGACGAAGAACATTCAGGGCATACTTGTCGGGGCAGTTCGGTTGGAAATGCGGAGACCGTAGGTGCCTGTTGTCCAGCCGAAGCTGGAGTCTTGGAGCCCCAATTCAGATCCCCTCGTCGTCGAAGTTGTTGTGTGTATTGTCACGCAATTCAGTTCCATGCACTCACGGCTTCAATTGCTGCGCGTGTGGTGTGTGGAGTGGCGAATATTCTGTGCTGGATTGTTGGGCTTGGGCGCGGGATGATCGGTAGGTGGTGCTAGACGTGCTGATTGATTGCTGGGGGCGGGTATGAAATCCTTGAATTAGGGTTTTAGGGTGTAGCAGCAGCAGCAGTCGCCATGGAACGCAAGGCGGTGACGAGGACGGTACCACCACCGCCTGAAGGGTCGAACAAGAAGGTGCAGCCACCGGGACCAGCTGCAACGCCTCTGACATTGTCTGCGGAAGCTTACACCCACGGGGGTGTGAAAAAGACCAAATTCGAACCTAAAGTGCCGGCGCGGCGATTGAAGAAGTTGTCCGAGAAGGTGAAGAGTGAGCCTAGGGAAGGGGAAGGTGGCGGAGAGATCCCCAAGGAGTTGCAGAGGTTGTTGCAGCAGGCGGAGAATGATGGCCGGGGCACGTTTCGCCCGAACCAGCGAACCTCGAAGGTCGCCTTTGGGTTCGGTGGGTTTTCTTCGCGGAGCTCTCTATCATCTGCCGGGTTTCAACACAGGAGTAGTAGTGGTGGCGGTAAAGGAGGAGGTGGTGGAGGAGGAGGAGGTGGTGGAGGTGGTGGAGGTGGTGGAGGAGGAGGAGGTGGTGGTGGTGGTGGAGGAGGTGGTAGCAGTGGTGGTGGTGGTGGTGGAGCTAGCCGAGGTGTGGAGAAGCACGAGTTTCTGCATGCGGATGGGATTGGCGGGGATTCGAAGAGAGGAGTACGAAAGAACGTCGAGGTTTTCGATCTTGAAAGGTATTTTCCTGTGACGTTGCCGCTGCGGAGGCCATTCGCCGGAGACTCACAAGTATTGGACGAAGAGGAGTTTGGAGAAGATGATGAAGTGCCAGAGGAAGATGAAGAGGACGTGACGGAGGCTGCGAAGGAGTTAGGGCTCACGGAGAAGCAGGAAGGAGATCAGCTGTTCTTTTTCCAGCTTCCCAAGGGACTGCCGGTTTCCTTAAACGCTAGTGGAAAGAAGGAGGCGGCGGGGTCAGCGAAACTAGAGGACTTGGGTAAAGCAGGGGCTATGGGCAAGCTTTTGATTTATGAAAGCGGCGCGGTGAAATTCAAGGTCGGAGATGTCATATTTGATGCGTTGCCCGGAACTGAAGTCACATTTGCTCAGGAATTGGCTGCTGTGAACATAACGACGAAGCATTGTGGATTTCTTGGGGAAGTGTATAAGCGCGTTGTTCTCACGCCCGACATCAGCAATGTGTTGCCGGACATGACAGATTTGAACACTGGTCCATAAATCGTAGCCCCATGGATTGTGAAGTTCCACTTGTTACCCATCTCCCTTCACTCATAATTTGTTCTCTGTTGCTCGTGTTTGGATCATACCTTTGTTCAGATTCTACCCTGACCATTCGCCTGTTGCCTACTTTCGGGTTTGATTTGTGTTGCTTTCTCGCCTTCATACTTCACTTTGCCTTGCGATTTCCCTCTTCCCTTTCCTCTCTGACTTTGCCCCGATGCTGTCCTCCTGGAATCTAGTTCATTGATTCTCCTCGAATCTAGTTTACTGATTCTCCTCGAATCTAGTTTACTGATTCTCCTCGCTATTCTGATTATCTTGTTTTTGCTGGATTCTCCACCCAGCTTCAGTTTCCCTTAGTTTCTCAGCTCACTCTTGCACAGCACTCACTCCTTGTTCTGACTTCTTCACGCCGCGCTTCTGGTTTAGTTTACTTGTTCGTGTTCATTTTTTGTTTGTGACTCCGGCTCCCTTCTCACCTCCTTTGTTTAGCTTCTTTTGAGCGAATACCCTCACTGAAGCGTGTTCTGGAGGAAATCTCAGCCTACTTCCGTGTCATGCGGGCTTAGGGGAATGTATTATTCCCATGGCCTTGAGAAGATGGCTGGGATACGTTTTCGTGCCCATACCTTGTACTTTATCGGAAAGGGGTATGTGCTTCTTCGCTGTGCCCTCGGGAAGCCAAGGCTATTTGTTACAATAGGGTTCATTCCGTCATAGCTCAGAGCTCCCCGCTCCGCCCTACCTGCTCCCTGATTGCCAATTCCCGTGTGTCGTAAAGAGTCGTCGCATTGTCGTGGGAGGCTGTGTTGCCCATGGGCATCATTTCTGCCATGATTTTTGTCATGCGGACGTCGCAGTACGTGATCTACACGTCCATCTATGGCAAGGTTTGTACCTTTTGATACTCTGCGGTGATCCTTGAGCTCGGCAGATCGTTTTGAAGGGACGTTGAGATGCAGTAATGTTTTTTCCTGTTAGAAACCTCTGTGTAATTTTTCCACTTTTCTGACTCAGTTGTGATTTGTGGGGAGAGCAGCCAAAACATCCTAGACACGATGCATGAGACCAAGCGATGGACGTCAGGGATGCTCGACTGAAAGAGGAGTATGAAAAATCTCAAGTGAGCGTTCGTTTCGTCTTTCCTGTCATGGCATTGTTCCTAGATTGTTTTTTCAGATGTGCTTGTGGTTGGAGGTTTTACCCTTCAGTTTGACTATTTTATGACAAATCCATTCCGTGTTGGGATTTGTTATTTCTTGTTTTATTGAAGAAGAACGCCACTGGTCTTTAATATGCAAGTCTCTCGCGGAATCACAAAACTTGATCTGGATGTTTCTTTCAGTTTCCGTCATTTTCAGATTGAAGGTTTTGGGTGTGCATTTAAATCACTTGTTTATCTGGTCAAAATGATACAGAGTTTCTAGGTTTTACCTCTCTCACATAGATTATGTCATTCTGTGACGTTTGGAGGATTAGGACGGAGTCCGTTTTTCTTGACGGCTGCGGTGGAATCATGAGTCTACGTACAGTATTTGCACAGCTAGTGCATCCAACACTGGTTTAAGCTTGTTCAAGTTGCTTAATACGTTAAAGCGCACTTTGATGCTGTCAAGCTTCTACATTTGTTGAACACTGGAAACAGGGGCGGATTTCTGAGTCAGAATGAATCGTTTTGTGGAAATTTATACCATCGATACCAGGCTTTACTGAAAGTCTTTTTCCCGCGACCATAAGATTGACTATTTAGAGCCCACATGAGGTTTACATACCGTCATGTAGCATGATATTGCTTCTTTTATCAGTCAATTATTACGCAATAAAGAGGGATTTTAATTATGTTTATCATTGTATGTGCTTATGCAGAAGTAGTTGCACTCCCTCTGGGAAAGGCATTTGACAAGTAGCTGGGGAAACTTCATAAGGCCTCACAACCTTTGGTAGCTTCACAAGCTTCTGCATGCAATTGCATGGTGAATTTTGTGCGCTCGTAGAGTACGTGTTTGTAGCCTTTTATGGTGTTCATCTTCTCCATCTGATGCTGGAAGCAGTTCAATGGGGTGTGCAGAAATAGCGTGTGTGATTCTTCCCTTCCATGTGCATCTGTGGAGGTTCTTAACAACCTCAAATTCCTTGTCATTCATTTTCAGCTTTTCAAACATTCAATGTTCATTATTCGTTAGCACCACTAGTGCTTTTTCAGCTCAAAATAAGAATGTCTCACTTTGGCTTACTTTGCCAACGATTGGGAGTGTGGTCACGTCTATCTGCGATCTGTATGCCTTATATGGGAACACATAATTTCAATGTTCTGGCATGCATTTTGTTTTAAATATTATCACACTGTACTCCATAATGATACATAGTGTTGTCTTTTTGACAACAATAGTCAGCAGTTGATACTTCTATTTGTATTTAATAGTTGTTAAGATGGTGTGTGAAAGGGATTTGACTGTTTTTAAGTCAGCATTTCTGTTCTTTAGTTCCTATCCAAATTATTAGAATTATTTTATAAATTTATCTGATGTACGTACGAAAAATAATGTTAAATTCTTGTGTGTGTATATGCATATATATGTTAAAGGAATAACATGTTTTTTTGTTTTTATAAAAAATAAAATAAGTAGTGTTTGTTTGAAATATGTTAATTTATAGATATGATTTAAAAATTGGGAAAATATCATAAATACCCTTGAAATTTGCCAAAATATCAAAATCAAGAATATCCATGAATTCTTGATAATATCAAACCTACTTCCTTTTTTGTATTACTTGGAAATCTGCCCTTCAATGTGATAAGTTATAATTTTCATGTTTTTTTTAGTTGCAGTTGGGGCCCAAATAGTGTGCCACATAGATTTTGGCATGTCACTTTGCTTCATATCTTGGGCACCTCACAAAATAAACACCACCTCTACCTTATCCAGTATGGATGCTTATATGAGCTACATCAATTAGTCATATATGAATCAATTTTGGCATTTTCTTTGGTAATGATGTGTTGATTAGGGACCAAGGGTGTTCTTGCAACATGTAAGAAACACAACTCAGTGTTAGCAACAACATTTGACACATCATTCTTGAAAACAAATGCATGGCTAAGTGTAGTGGCAATTAGAAGGATTCTCTTCATATTTCCTTCAACCAAAGCAAGTAGCAAGGATCTGTCACGGCCATAATCATGTAAGCTAATAATTACATATAGAAATAGGTAGAAGTAAGTAAGAGTAGATAAAAATAAGTTAATTCTATAATATTTAATATAGAAGCTTCCTAGAAACTTCTTAGACGCTGCTTTGACTTCATAGGTGTCTTTAATTGACTTTTTGGATTAGAAACGTGGTCAACAAGTTGGCTATGTGCCACACATGTTGTTAGCTTGAAGATCAAGCTAACTATGTAGCCCACACGTAGAAAAACTTGCCTTGTAAGTCAAGGCATGTGTCCTACAAAGTCAACACATATTGGAGGTCCTATAGAACGTCGCCACGTAGCCCCTAGTTAGATAGTATATATAGAGACAAGAGTGAAGGCTTCTTCACTCTTGTCAACTCCTTTCTTGCTTCTAGTCCAGGTTCAAGAGTCTTTAGTTTCTTGTTTTGTGGCAATAGCCATTCCAGTTTCTTTTTAATATACCTACTTGTTTATATTTTGACTTATTATATCGAGATAGCTTTTTGGTGTATATTTTCCCTCATCGAGTCTTTGTCCTTGACAGATTGACAAGAGTACACTTACAAAATCAGAGCTTTGTTTTTTCTTGAGTAAGAGTGGATTACCCCTTTCTCTTGACAAGACATAAGCGTATTAGAAGTTTGCGGATTACCCACTTCTAAACTGATATTGTTCTTAGTATCTTCTTTGTTATCAAGTCTTTCTTTTCTTTTGTCTTGAGCAATATCAAACAAATTTTTCTTCTTAGTGTCATTATGGCAGAGCTTGTTGAAATGAAGAGTGCAATGGCACAAATGCAAGAGCAAATGAGGGAGTTAATGCTTGCGATGCATCAACTCAATTCACCAACACAGGAAAGAACAAGAATAGCAGAAAGTGGAGATATAGAGATGATCGGAGCTGCTTCAACATCTACAACAAATCACGTTCCTTCTCCAATTGTACAACACCCTATAAGCACTAGAGAACCAAGAATTGCCTTACCTAAGAAATTTGATGGTACGAGATCAAAGTTTCGAAGGTTCATCAATCAAGTACAATTGGCAATTGAACTTCAATTGCAAAGCTATCCAACTCCAGGATCACAAGTCACGTTTATTGGCACTCTACTTTCTGGTTCTGCATTATCGTGGTTTTCGTCTTTTCTTGAACAACGAAATCCAATATTGGATAATTTGGAAGCTTTTTTGGCGGAGTTTCGATCTATGTATGGTGAACACGATGCAACTCGTGTTGCAACAAATAAGATCCGAATTCTATGACAAGGAAATCGCTCAGTAACAGTATATGCTTCACAATTTCGACAACTTGCAATTGACATCAAGTGGGATGATGCTGCACTCATCAGTCAATTTCTTTATGGATTGCAATACGAAGTAAAGAAATTGATGCTCAACTTACCTGATCCTCAAACTATGAGTCAAGCAATCGATTTTGCGGTAAAATGTGATAATCGACTTTTCGAATTTCGATCCGAGAATCATTCACGGGAACCTCAACATTATTACTCAATGGCAACATCAACATCTTTGCCAAACGTACATTCAGAAGTAGAAGACATGCAAATTGACGCGGTACGTTTTAAACCCCTAACTGAGCAAGAAAAGATTCATCGTCGTCAAGAAGGATTATGTTTATATTGCGGAGAACCTAAGCACACTGCTCAACATTGTCCAAAGAAACGACGCAACTATAAAATGAGGGGTACGACGGTCAAAGAAGACAATATGTCAGAAAACGGATTCGTCCAGCTACAATAGGGACCGTGCAGCTGGAACCTTGTACAATTCCTAATGAAGGTCCTATCCTCTCCTCAAAACCCTCTCCTTGTTTTATAATAGACTTATATTTAGGACCTAAGAATTACAAAGCCTCTGCTTTATTAGATTCGGGAGCCTCAGCATATTTTTTAGATGAACAATTTGTTAAAAGTCGTAAAATACCCTTTGTACAGAAACCTAAACCAGTACATGTAGAAGTCATAGATGGTCGTCCCTTGTCTTCTGGAGATGTCACTCATGAAACTCATCCTATAAAAGTAACAATAGACAGTCATGATAGCTACATAGCTTTTAACATAATTAAATCCCCATTCAATCCAGTTATTTTAGGTTTATCCTGGCTAGAAAAATATAACCCTCGAATAGATTGGAATTCGCGTAAACTTGACTTTTCCCAAAGCGTTATTAATAGTTCTACCAACCAAGTAAAAAATTATAAGTCTAGTATAGTAAAACCCGTACTAATAGGTGCAAAAGCATTTATACACGCAGCAAAAGAAGGATCAACTTTTGCTATTTATACTGCACCTATTTCTGAAAACATAAAGACTTCAATTGGCATTCCAAGTCAATATCAGGAGTATCAAGACGTTTTTGAGAAAAAGAATGCAGATATTCTTCCTGAGCATCGCCCATATGATTGTTCAATCGACCTCAAGGAAGGAACTCAGCCACAATTTGGACCAATTTACAGTTTATCGCAAGATGAGATGGTTGAACTCAAGACATATATTGACGAGAATTTAGCGAAGAATTTCATACGCCATTCAAAATCTCCAGCAGGAGCTCCAATTCTATTCGTAAAGAAAAAAGATGGATCTTTATGAATGTGTGTTGATTATCGAGGACTCAACAAGATCACAATCAAGAACAGGTATCCATTACCTTTGATATCAGGACTCCTTGACCAGTTGAATCAAGCTAAGATCTATACAAAAATAGATCTAAGAGGAGCATATAATCTAGTACGGATCAAAGAAGGAGATGAATGGAAGACTGCGTTTCGAACCAGGTATGGACATTTCGAATATAATATCATGCCCTTTGGACTCACGAATGCACCAGCTGCTTTTCAACATCTCATGAATGATGTATTTCGTGAATTCTTAGACAATTTTGTCGTCTGCTATCTAGACGATATCCTGATCTATTCTAAGAACGTCGAAGAACATGAAATACATGTTCGTCAAGTATTACAAAAACTTAGAGATGCAGGATTGTACGCCAAGATGGAAAAGTGTGTATTTCACACTACTCAAGTTGACTTTTTAGGATACATCATTTCAAATGATGGTCTCATGATGGATTCTAAGAAAGTCCAAATAATCATGGATTGGAAGATTCCAAGGACAGTAAGAGATGTCCAATGTTTCTTGGGATTTGCCAATTACTATCGGATCTTCATCAAAGATTTCTCACGAGTTACAGCTCCACTTACACGCTTGACTAGTAAAGATAAATTCCAATGGAATCAAGAAGCGGAAGCAGCATTTGAAGCCTTGAAGACATCGTTTGTCTCTGCACCAGTCTTATATCGTGTTGATTTTTCCAAGGTATTTTTTATGGAAACAGATGCATCAGATTTTGCCTTGGGTGCAGTTTTATCACAAATGGGAACAGATGACAAACTTCATCCGATAGCTTTTCATTCAAGAAAATTCTCAGCAGCCGAGATCAATTATGAGATCCACGATAAAGAACTTCTTGCGATCGTGGATTCCTTTCAAGAATGGCGTCATTATCTAGAAGGCGCTTCTAGTCCAATCACTGTGTATATAGATCACAAGAACCTCGAGTATTTCATGTCAGCACGCGTGTTGAATCGTCGTCAAGCTCGTTGGAGTATGTCTTTGTCAAGATTTGAGTTCATTATCACTTATCGGCTAGGAAAACAACAAGGTTTGTCTGATGCCCTATCTAGACGTTCTTATTTTGCACCAAAAGAAGGAGATGCAGATTTTGAGCAACAAAGAACGGTCCTCTTGAAACCGGAGCAATTTCATCTCCGAGCAATGAAATCAACATTGACTGTTGATTCAACTTTTCTCAAGCAAATCCAGTCCAGTATGTCCTCAGACCCTCTTGTTTATGATATCGAGAATAATTCTTCCAAGTCTCATGATCCTTCTAAGTTCGAGTTCAAGAATAATCTATTATATTTTGAAAGACGCCTATATGTTCCAGAAGGAGAAGCACGTTTACGTGTTCTTCAAGCACGTCATAACTTTCCAGCAGCAGGGCACTTTGGATATAATAAGACTTTGGAACTCATATCAAGAGATTTTTGGTGGCCACAAATGTGGAAGTCAGTCAAAGACTTTGTACAATCATGTGATATTTGTTCAAGATAAAAAATTCCTCGTCATCGACCTTATAGACTTCTTCAGCCATTACCTATACCAGAACAACCATGGTCTTCTGTTTCTATGGATTTCATCACAGATCTTCCAAGCTCAAGATCTTATGTTTCTATATTTGTGATAGTAGATCGTTTCACCAAGATGGCACATTTTGTGCCATATACAAAATCTATCACAGGTGAAGAAACAGCTAAGCTTTTCATTGATAATATCTATCGCTATCATGGATTACCTAAAGATATCATATCAGATAGGGGAACTCAATTTGTGTCAAGATTTTGGAGGACCCTTTTCAAGATTTTAAAAGTGGACATAAAGCTATCTTCGGCTTTCCATCCTCAAACTGATGGACAAACAGAGCGCTTAAACCAAGTCTTGGAGAAATATTTAAGGTGTACTATCAACTACCAACAAGATGATTGGACAACCCTTCTGCCATTGGAAGAGTTTGCTTATAATAATACGGTACATTCTTCCATGCAACAAACACCTTTCTTTGCCAATTATGGCTATCATCCATGACTTGATACTTTTGATTTTTCAAAAGTTGATAATCGTGGAGCAGAAGATATGGCAAATCGGTTGTCAGAGTTACATGCAATAATGAAGACGCAATCGAAGGAAGCTCAAGAACGACAAAAGATAAACGCAGACCTATATCGTAAGGAGCAACCACAAATCAACGTGGGTGATAAGATATGGCTACTTCGTCGCAATATCAAGACTACTCGACCTTGTGACAAGTTGGACTATCGTAGGCTTGGCCCCTTTTCTGTTTCTGAACAGATCAACCCAGTTGCATATCGGTTACATCTACCGGAGTCAATGAAGATCCATCATGTATTCCACGTGTCTCTTCTTGAACCATATAAGACAGTGGATATACAAGGAAGAAGACAAATGCCACCGCCTCCTATAGAAGTAGATAATAATGAAGAATTTGAGGTGGAAGAGATATTAGACTCAAGGTGGCGCCAAAATAAGCTGGAATATCTTGTTCATTGGCGCGGATATGATATTAGTGAACGCACATGGGAGCCATCCAGGAATCTAGGAAATGCATCAGCTAAAGTCAAAGTTTTTCATCAACGACATCCATCAAAACCAAGATGAAAATCTCTCTTATAAAAGAGACAAGATTGAGGCAAGATAACATTCAATTTCCTATCCTTGTTTGTAACTTCTTTGCATTTGTGACGCTAATTAGATGGAAAGCCAACAACCAGCGGATTCAACTCAAGAACCTTCGTTTGCTGACTTGCCGGACGAGACATTACGATTGTCACAACCTTCAAGATGACGCAATCGAGATGAAGATCTTCAAGAACGACATGTTCTTCCTCGAACAGATGGTGAGATACAACGCGTTTGGTATCACGATTTGGGAAGGGACTCTCGATGTTTGGTGATTTTGCTAGAGGTAGGAACAACTCCTGATGGTGTTCCGAATATTCTATTCGAAGGAAGTTACAAAGGCCTCAACAATGATCAAATAACTGGGTGGTCTTCCCGCCCTGGTATGGGACACTACCGATGGTTGAGAGGCCCTATCAATCATCTTCGAAGAGAACAGAGATCAAAATATGTGGCGAATACAATTCGTCGCATCATAGATTTCCTCAACATATGATGACCGCTCCTCGTGGAACTCGTCTCTAGAAGGGGGGGGTAATGTCACGGCCATAATCATGTAAGCTAATAATTACATATAGAAATAGGTAGAAGTAAGTAAAAGTAGATAAAAATAAGTTAATTCTATAATATTTAATATAGAAGCTTCCTAGAAACTTCTTAGACGCTGCTTTGACTTCATAGGTGTCTTTAATTGACTTTTTGGATTAGAAACGTGGTCAACAAGTTGGCCATGTGCCACACATGTTGTTAGCTTGAAGATCAAGCTAACTATGTAGCCCACACGTAGAAAAACTTGCCTTGTAAGTCAAGGCATGTGTCCTACAAAGTAAACACATATTGGAGGTCCTATAGAACGTCGCCACGTAGCCCGTAGTTAGATAGTATATATAGAGACAAGAGTGAAGGCTTCTTCACTCTTGTCAACTCCTTTCTTGCTTCTAGTCCAGGTTCAAGAGTCTTTAGTTTCTTGTTTTGTGGCAATAGCCATTCCAGTTTCCTTTTAATATACCTACTTGTTTATATTTTGACTTATTATATCGAGATAGCCTTTTGGTGTATATTTTCCCTCATCGAGTCTTTGTCCTTGACAGGATCTTAACCCCACTAGCAATAACAACATTTCAATCATCAATTCATCTTCATCTAAATACAATCCTACAAACATAATCAAGAATTCTTCAATCTTGTCAATGGATATCAAGTCACTCTACAAATTTAGCTATTCTTGAATACCTATACTTGCTTCTTCTTTCAAGGCTTAAATAAAAAAAATAAAAAAATAAAAAAAATACTAACTAAAGTTTGATATGATATCAAGATTGGTAAAGTTAATTGTGCTTCTTTTATCTATGGCAATGATACCTGAATAATCGTACTGTTGTAGATAATTTAACTCATGGTCATAAATTCTAGCACTAATGTAAGGAGCATAGTCTTTAAGTTCTTTCCTATCTTTGAGATTATTCGAGTTGAGACTATTTCAAAGAGTAGGTGATATGACTTAGGTTTGTCAATTGAAAGAGACCATATTTGAAATATAAAAAGAGAGCTTGGCACCACAGATGAATTTTAAAAAAAAGAAGAAATTTGCTAACTTTTTTTTAGGATATTTAAAAAGGACTTCACAAAAGATGAATATACAAGGTTGTTGTCTTTTTGAAGCTTACAATACTCTTAAAGAGAGAAGCTAGTGAGGTCAAAGGCATCTTTACAAAGAGCTTGTAAGCATAGTAAAGGAAGTTTGAGCTTTATTGGGAACCACTTGAAGAGTCCTATCGTCAATTGTTGCATATAATAAAGCAAGGCGACATCCATTTTGTGAGGTGTCCAAGATGTGAGGCAAAGTGTCGGCACATGCTTTGGGCCCTAGTTGCAACTAAAAAAAAACAAGGAAGTTATAGCTTATTATGTTGAAGGGTAGATTTACAATTATCACCAAAGGGAGGGATAGATTTGATATTATCAAGAATACAAGGATATTCTTGATATTTCAGCAAATTTCAAGGAAATTCTTGATATTTTCTCTTTAAAGTTTTGAATTAACAAAGAATTATGAACAATGAACCATGAACTATGTTATGATATTTTTTTGTGACATATATATGTAAGAAGATCCTATAATAATACTTTAGATGTTTAGTGTTGTGGTAAAGTTAAACAAAAGAAATGATCTATTAATAAAAAATTTATTCTTTTTTTTGAGTAATTTTAAAAATATTTCTATTCCTATATTTTATATTTTATTTAATTTTCAATAAACATAATTTTATATAACATAATATTAAAAAAAAATGTGAGAATAATTATTTGTAAATCCATCAATCTATTAAAAATTTGTTAAGAATTCTGACTCAGCCTATTCATTTGCATAAAAAAATCGAATAACAATTGGTGAAAAGTTTTGTTCACATTGTATCAATAGACCACCTTTTTTATTGCAAGTCTTTAAAAACTTATACAAAAAATTAAGGAAGTACAAGGCAAATAAAATTTTGTAAACAACAAGTGTAATCTTGGATATCTTTACATATATACTTAAGAAATAAATAATAAATAAAAAACTACAATTTGAATATTTAACATATTGTTAATCTTTATTTATTTTTTTTTATTGATAGAATCTAAAAATTATTAAACTTTAAACTTTCTCACATACACACACACATACATATCTATATATATATATATATATATACACACTTATATTCAATGATTTTTAAAATCAAGATTTTATTTTTTGTAAAGTTCATATAAAAAACACATCAATCAACTGTTGCTAATATTAAACATGTAATATAAAATTTACCACAAAAAGAAATTGCATCTATAATAGAAGAAAAGCACCACGTCATAAACGAGAGTACTCTGAGGTAATCACTCTATTTTCTTTTCGATACTCTTCAACCAAAAGGTGTGAAAGGAGCAGAAGAATTAGACTTGGAACGGCGTCGTGACCACCCGACATGAGGCGGGGGTGACACTAGTCGGGCGCAAACGCACGTCTGCGGTACGAAAGGGGAGCAGTAGACGCCGTCAAGCTTGGATTGATTGGCGCCGTGTGAACAGAGCTCATTGACATTCGACGCTCATGGGTTCTATCGCCGTGCCTCGGTTCTAACATCCCCTCTCCTGTTGTGCTGCAGAAGCGCTGATTTGCTTTAGCAGGTTCGTTTGTGGCTCTTCTCTTTTGCTTCTTACCATTGTAATCGTTGGGCAATGTTGGGGAGGACATTTCGGACACGAGCTTGAGAGTCGTATCAGAATGGCAGTCTAAACCCCTCAAATCCATCGGGGACAATTCGATGAAGCGGAGTGCATGGCAGGGAGCCTGCTCTAGAGCTTAAGTAGATCACGTCTCTAGCGTTTAGGGTTTTTTTAGTTTTCGATACGCGGATTTGCAGTATGGTTTTTCGTCGTTTTTACTGATATGGAATTCGCTTGACACATTCTATGCATGATATGCAAAAGTTCATGCACATATTGTGTATGAAGTTCTCTGAGCGTGATTGAAATGAAAGTTTTGCATTGTTAGTGGACTATTTCTGTAGTGTTTGATCCTCTGCACACTGGTGTATGATTGTCATTGGATTGATTCAACAGGTATTGTAGGGGTTAGAATTGACATTACCATGGCAGCCTGCTTTGGAGCTAAGCTGTCCTTGAGCTCCTGCTCGTCTGTCAGTATTCGCGGACCTAAGTCATTACCCTCCACTTCTAGGATCAAATCTCAACACCCCTATGCTGCTTTCCCAATCAAGACGGCTCCCTTAAGGATAGAGGGACAGAGGAAGCTATGGGTTGCATTCAATTCTCTCGAATCTGCCTCCTCTGTGCAAAAAGAGAAGGAGAATGAGGCTGTATCGCCAGATGGCGCAGAGCATGTGGGGTTATCGCAGAGTGCTAAGGAAATGGTCATGAGGAAAATTAAAAACAAATACTCCAAGGACGAGGACGAGGACGAGATTCCAGTGCAGGATGGCGCAGAAGAAGGTGCACCTCTGCAGGTTACACAGGAGCAGGTGATGGAGTTGGTGAAAGAACGATACGCTGAGATGGACTTGGAAGAGGCAGCAGAAAAGTATGATTTGGAGGAGGAGCTGTTCGCGGAAGTTGATTACGCCCAGGTTTAGCATTCGCCACTCCCTGCGAATTCAACCATTGTTTGCATAGGGTTTCAGCGTGTTAGTTATTTGGCTGGTTTCAAAGTCTTGCGGGCTCTTTCGGTATATTGATCTTAATCGATTTATATTCAATCAAGGTGGAATCCTGGTTATCTCCTCAATCTGCGTAACCTTATTATCTTATCTGATTAACTTTATGATCAGAATTTCGCGTTCAAGAGATAAGAGCGGTCTTTGAAAACAATATGTAAAGAGTCGGGCCGACTTCTGAACATTGAATATTTGGTAATGAATCAACAGATCGATGCATTCACAGATCAACCATTTAGCGGCAATCCGGCAGTTGTATGTTATATCCCCTATGAAAGAGACGACAGATGGCTGCAAACAATCGCACGTGAGTTCAACCTTCCTGCGACTGCATTTTTGGTTAAAAGACGTCACACGAGGAGCGACCTCAAATCTCAGATGGATACTCAGAGGGATAGTGGCTCTGTGCAAGTCGATGAAAGCGGTACAAGTCTGGAAGCTACCACCATGGACGACTCTCTGTCGGAAGAGAATGAGTTCGACCTCCGCGTGTTTACGCCTACATACGAGGTGCCTCTTTTAGTTATCCAACGTTTTCTTCCTTTAAGATGTTTGAGCTCTGTTGGACAGGTACGTATAAGCCTCAATAGAATTTTGATTCCTGTGTCCCTCTAACATGACGTTGAGGATGTGATTTCCCGCAGGTTGTCTTTTGTGGACATGGAACATTGGCATCTGCACATTTATTGTTCACATCGGGGATAGTGGAAGGAGATATAGCAGTGTTTCACACAAAATCGGGGATTTTGAAAGCCAAGAAAGTGTCTGGCTATGAGGAATACGAGCAATCCTCTGCAGCCGAGGAATCCGGTGCGCAGAGAAAACCCTCTAGCAAGGGTGTGATTGAACTAGACCTTCCTTTAGCACCACCCTCTGTTTGTAACGACATGTCTTTTCTTTCGGAGGCCTTGGGGGGGGTTGAGGTCAAGTGGGTTGGACGAAGCAACTTGGGTGACTATCTGGTATGAATTCTAGAATTCCTTACCTTATGTGATACGGATAAGCTGTAACTCTTTCCGTAATATATGCATTCCAGCTTTGGTATATTTTGCGCATTTCTCCTATTTTTACTTTGAAAGACATTCTTAAGTGAGGACGAGCCTTAGCAATTCTTTCAAAATTAACTCTTATATATAGATGGGGTAGTTTCCTCTTTGTATGTAAAGTAAATACAATGTAGCAGTTGGTTACAATGGGTATTTCAAAATCATCCAGTCTCGAATATAACAACTTTTAAGTCTATAGTAAAGATTTGAAAATTAGGGGAATATGATTTTTGACGATCTTCAAACTTAACTGTTAAGTGTTCTGTAATCTGTGAAATATTCGATTTTAGTGCGCCTCATAGGTGGCACATCATTCAAATTGACCTAATGGCTCCGCTGTTTTTCTTTGCAGCTGGAATTGGAATCCAGTGAGGATGTAGTGAATTTAACTCCCAGATTTGAAAGGATGCTAGATTTTCCTGGTCGAGGTGGTGTAATAGTTACAGCCTCTGCGGCTGGAAGTAGTGAGTACGACTTCGTATCACGTTTTTTCTGTGCTAAAATGGGACTAAACGAGGTACTCCCTCTTGACTGATTGTCGTTCATCTGGTACACTTGATGTCTTTGATTTTGAAAACAATTACATGAACTATCTAGCACTTGAGACTGCGGTTGAACCACCATAGATAGTTGTTAGTCTTTTTGTTCTTTATTTTATTGAAAAGTCATCTCATTTGCAGTCGAGGACCAAACACTAAGCAAGTTGTTTGGCAAGGTTGCAACATCATGGTGACTGGTTGAACCTCGCTGATACTCTTCCGAACGCTGTTGTAGCTTGCGCACTGTTCTTATATACGTTTTCCATCAATACTTCTATCAGCATCTCTCAGGTTGATTCTAGCATTTTCTAGAATCCGTTCTGTGGATTTTACAATTATCCTTTTCTTCTCACCAGGATTCAGCAACGGGAAGTGCCCATTGCACGTTGGGACCATACTGGGCATCTAAATTGGGCAAAACGGAATTGAATGCTTATCAAGTGAGTGCCTTTCTAGTATGCATTTCTTTTGTTTTTGTCTGTCATCTACCATGATTTCTTGCTCTGAAGTTCATGCTCGTACAGGATTCCTTGTGTCGCAAAGTCGGAGGTGTCTCTTCAAGTTTTCTTGTTTATTTTTCTTTTATGAAAGTTTGTCGTTGAAACTCAAATATTCTAGTTGTTAAAACCCAATCACTGAAATCAATGTTTCAGACGTACAAAGACCTACAGAGACCATGGTTCATATTCTTTAGAATCATCTAATCACATGTTTTGAGCCCCTAATTCAAAGTTAATAACGGTTGCTGTAAGGCTCATAATTTTCTTTTGTACGCTCCGATTTTGAACAGGCATCAGTACGGGGAGGCAAGTTTAAAGTTCGTGTTGACGAGGACGCAGGACGTTGTTACTTACTGGGTGATGCCGTTTTTATCATGGGTGGAGTCCTCCTTAATAGTAAATATGCTGGATACACTTGCTGAACTTAATCAAGTAGAGTAGATGGGCCCAGTGAAGTCCGATGGTCTGTGACTCTTAAACCTAGTTGATGAGATTCTGAACCAAGTAGAATCATAATTGCTTTACTGCAGGCCGCTTTAATCTGGCTTTTACTGTAACATGGGTTATTTTTGTTTTGATGAAATCAAGAGTGCCAAAGAGTGCGTCTGCATCTACCTACCTTGCAAGCTAAGTGTTCTAAAAGCTTCCAGTGAGTCTTAGATTGTGGATTGAAAAAAATTGATAACTTTACTGGAGCTGGTACCAAGATTCTGATCATTAATTGAATTTTTTAAGAATTAAAACCTCAAAAACCCAAAAGCTTGTTTCCTAATTTACATTGTAGAATCTGTAAAACGATAATCTTGAGTTAAAAGATGGACATGTTTTTTGGGTATTGCAAACGCCACCACAGTATTTGTCAAAATACCACCTCAGTCTCTCATCCAACACATGCCATCTTTGTTCAATACCAAAAATCATAAGCAAGATTGAACAAAAATCTTGCTTGAAGCAAAAAACAATACAAAAGAAATATGTCAAGTGGGTGGTAGGTTGTGGTATTGCTAATCCACCATAGTTTTTTTGCCACTACTACCACTTGACATATTTTGTTATCTTGTTATTTTAATTTTAATAAAAAATATTAGTATTTCTAATATGTTTTCTTTTTCTTTTTTTCAAATTAGATAGAAAATAAATATAATTTTAATATAATATAATTGAAAAACCAATATGAATAAGTTGTGGTAATAGCAATAACTATGGTAGCATCAAAAGTCTATTATTTAGTTCTTTTAAGAAATTTAGTAATATTTTAATTTTTTAAAATATAAATTTAAATATAAAAAATAATAAAACATGATGTGTATTGCTTCAAAGCTTTTATGAATAAACAATACAATGTAAAGTTACATTAAAGCTTTTAGAGATAAATGAGATAATGAACAGTTTGATTTTAAATCAAAGAAACCACTAGTTGGATACTTTGCTTTTATTGCATGGATCCCTCTTCTCCACCTTCCTCCTCTTGAGTGCCACACACCCTTGCATATACACAATAATACCATCATCTTATTATTATTTGTATTTCACGGCCTTATTCCTCTAATAATTATTTACATATATATTAAAATATTATTAATTTATGATTATTTTTTATGCTTATATATATATATATATATGTTTTAAAAACTTCACATTTCAAATATTTGAAATATAATTATTAATAATATAAAATTTCTAAAATTTAACAATAAAAAAATTATTATTTTTTAAATACAAATTTGTTAAAAAAGTTTTTGAAACTAAGATATTAGAATATGAAATTTTAATAAAAAATATTTTTTTCTTACAAAGCTTAAGCATATTCCAATCTTTGAATATCTCTATAGTCATACATTTAGAAAAAAAAAGAAAAAAAAAGTAAAAAGTGAAAAATAATAATAATAAAAAAATCATTAAAAAAGTTGATGATTTAAATTCTAGATATAATATTCTATTCTAGATCGGTGGAAAATATCAAAGAAGATATCTCATTGCTTTTAAAAACTACTTGAAGGTGGAACTTTGTGTTGAAATTTGGGCTCCACCTCAAGTAGTTGTCAACTACTTTATCACTTTCATAACCTTCATGGGTTTCGAATCTTTTAGACGTAGAAGACAGGAAACAAAGAGGTGAACCTTTGATCATAACAACCTTTAGCTGATGTATCAATTGGAGAAAGACTACCCACCCAACACCAAACCAGAAAAAGCCAAAAATGACAACGACTAAGCTCACATTGGCCGTTACAGAGTCCATCTCTCGACAGAACACTGGCGGTATTCTTTACTGCACATGGACCATATACACTGTAAGGAAGTGCCCATTTGTCAGGACTGAGAAATAATAATTCTGGTCCTACTCTTAATAAACTAACACACACACCAAGACTGTCGCTATGTGTTGTTTGGTTCATAGCCAATCTGGCATTTTTACTAAGCCCCAGGCTGGAGCAACGGATTAACAAATGGACTCAAAGGTCACAGGTCTGCACACACTTCGCATTCACGCCTAATTCGTGGAACAACGTAACAGTTCGGCGTTCTAGCTGGGTCCCAGAAAGAAACGAAGGAAAGAAGACCAAAGATTCCCAACATGGACATGCGGAGGAGGAGGAATCCCAAAATTACTGTTGATTCTTGGAATGTCTAGATTTGTGGGTCAATCTATGGTGCAACAGTGATGCAGTTACACCTCGTGCTCATTTCCTGCTGCAGTGCTTAGACACCAAAAGAGAGAACTGGTGATGAGTTTTGAGGAAGGAGAAGGCGAGAGAGTGAGAGATGGGATTGTGGATGCTCCAAGCAGGGAAGATGCTAAACTTAGCGTGCCCGGAAAGGAAGCAAGGTGGGGGCAGTTACAGCATGGCTTCTACTCCAGCATTGAAGGCATGCTTTTCGCAGGCAACTGAGGTGCTGCCAGGTTTTATTCTCGTACTTGACGTTGCATCTACGTCCTTGCCAATCAAAGTCCTTTGTTCTTGGACTTTTGCGGGACGTTCGGTCCGTGTCCGTCATGGACCTCATGAGCCAGTTGAAATTTAGGTGGAGGATCTGTCAGCTTTTTGGGCGACAGATCAATAATCTCCATGTTAGAGTTGCAGGTGCAGATCGAATTGCGGCAGTTTGCGTATTAGGTGAGATGGTTTGGTGAGGGATTGAGGAAGGATCAGTGCATGGTGCGTATGAACCTGCTGCAACATTTTGAGGACAGCAGGTACTTCTAGACGAGAGTTTGCTGGAGGCCATGGAATTTGGTTATGGTCAAATTGGGGGCATGACGCTTGTGATGCTCAGTTGCTGCTGGGCTGCACTTGCGAAAGAGGAGTGCCCTCAAGCGATCTTTGCATTCGGAGCATCAATGTCAGATACTGGCAACTCGGAGGCTGCTTTTCCTTATCAATCTGTCGCACAATCGAATCCTCCCTACGGAAACACCTTCTTCGGCAGGCCCGCAAATCGATTCTCTGACGGCCGAGTGGTATTGGACTTTTTCGGTGAGTCTACCCGCAAACAGACAAATCATGCAGCAAAGGCTTTCCACTATGAAGAGAGTTCTCGTCTGAGTGGTGTGTAAACTGTGAGTGCAGCGCAGGCTCTAAAAATTCCACTACTGAGCCCTTACCTGCAGTCTGTGGGGTATGACTTCAGTCACGGCGCAAATTTTGCATTCGCTGGAGTCACCACGCAGAACATCACGTATCCTGCCACAGTGACTGCTCCCTTCTACTATTGGGTCCAGACGAAGCAATTCCAACTTTTCAAAGAGCGAACACTGGCCTTGTGGACGATAGCTAGTTCGAGGAAAGGTATGGTAACTTCATAATCCTCAAATCCGGATCAAATTGCCTGGCATTTCAAGTTCCGTTCACTGACAAGCTATGATTTTTTTCCTTTTCTTCCAAACGAAAAATAGGTCAGAATTTCTTTACTAAAACAGGAGAGGTTCCCAACGAATCTGTTCGCAGGGGCTCAAAGAAGCTACGTGAAGCTTTTGACGAAGCCGAAACACTTCCAGACTGCCCTATACTTCACGACATTCGGCGCCAATGACTTCATAGTTCCCTTATTCAGACTGGGTCTCTCAATCCAACAAGTTCAATCCAACGTCTCGATCATTTCCAACGCGATGGTGCAAAACACAGAAGTAAGCCTTAATCCCGTCTACTCTTGAATGCTTTTCCAAGACATAGCACCCCTTCTCTAGTCTCATTTGATTTTTCTTTTTCAATTTTTTTGCTTTGTTAGTTTTGATGTCTTTTACCATCTCACAAACTGTGGTTTACTGAGAATTCACAACTGGCTTGTTCATCAGGAGCTGTACAACCAAGGGGCACGGACATTGATGGTGTTCAATGTGCCACCACTCGGGTGCTATCCAGCCTTCTTAGCCTCACCACGGATCCGCAACATGTCAACAGTGGATCCACATGGGTGCCTTGCAACTGTGAATGAAGCCGTAGAAACCACAAACTCTTTAATACGCTCTGGTCTAAAAGACTTGCGATCAAAGCACCCAGATGCTACAATCATCTACGCGGATCTCTATACGATTCTTAAGGATCTTATCGTGAACGGCACATCTTATGGTGTGTGCAACATGTTCATGCAATCGCCTACTCTTGCAATCACTTTTCTTTCCAAGTTGGGTTTCCGTGATACTAATGGGTGTGTGCTGTCTGCAAACACGGCAGGCTTTAAAGAGACTTTCAAGGCGTGTTGTGGAGCTGGTGGGGGAGCATACAACCTGAACCCAAATGTTAGCTGTGGATTGAGTGCACTTGTAAATGGGCAACTAATTCAAGGGACATCGTGCTCAGATCCAGGATCATACGTTAACTGGGATGGCGTTCACGTTACTGATGCTGCAGCTAGCTTTATAGCAAGAGCGGTTTTGCAAGGGAAGCACACTGAACCAGTTTACAAACTCACGGAGCTGTGCAGACTGAGTTTTGAGCAGTTCAGTCCATCTCCGCCATAATAGTTGATGTGATATTCCAAAAGCTTTGCTGGAAACACCAGTTTTTGTAACGATGGTAGTTGCGTATTACAATTCGCCTTTTGTTCTTGTGTTTGAGGACGGAGACAAAGGGTCACTCCAAAAAGTATGTTGATGTGAATTAGTAGACTATATATTTGTCTATACCTTGTGAGTGTGTGTTTATATATTTACATATAATACTCACACCAGAGTTAGTGTTTGTTTTTTTGTTTTTTTGTTTTTTTTGTTTTTTTTTTAAAATTGTAATTTGGTCTTGAAATTATTTTACTAATATTGGATTGGTGAAACTTTTCTATCTCTTAGATAGTTAAGTGAAGCAGTTTTTTGGTTTTTTGGTTTTTTGGTTTTTTTTTTTTTTTTATTTTATTTTTTATATTTGTGTATTTTTTGGCTTGCTCTTCTTTAGGTATAACTCGTGTATGTATGTGTGTTTGTTTGTTTGTTTGTTTGCTTCTTTTTTTTCTTTTTTTTTTTTTTTTCGCCTCTACATCACTTTTTATTTTAATGACAAATGTCTACATGTACAACAAGTATGTTATTGTAATATTAGTCATGTATGGCGTATTTAATAGTGCATTATTTTTATTCTTATTTTAAGAAAGTAATTTTAAAAAATAATTGTACATTTTTTATTTTAATTTTTTTGAAAAGCTTTCTCTAATTTACAGGGTTGATACTTTTTTCTTTATTTACATTAAAAAAATTATAAGCATTATCTCTTAAATGATATTGATTTATTAAAATTTTAATTTAATCCTTAATTTTTTTTATAAACATTTTAAAATAAAATTTTGACTTGAGTTTTAGTACTCAATTAAATTATAGATTTCTCTAATTATCTACTCTAATAGCTTTGGTAATTCATACCACATTTTTCTAATCTCTTTTTCATTTAAAACCATGAAAACTCTACTAATGTTACAATGTAGACATAATACATGCAATTAAGAATCACCAAAATTTGTTTTCTTTCTAAATTTAATATGTGTTAGATTTATTTTTCTAATTAAATCTGCAATCTGAAAATAATCCAACTTGTGCACTTATTCCACATGCTTGGCTTATACAAACATCAATCAAAAATTGTCTGCAATATTTCAATCCAAAAAGCTTTTGGAATATAAAGCCATATACACTGCATTGACGTTGTTTTAGTACACTTCCATCAATACTAAAAAAAGAGAATATGATCTTTCAAATCTCTGTTTTTATCTTTCTCAGCATCAAATGAATGAAAGGATGGCTTCTCGAAGACAAGTGTTGGATATAACTTTCTTCACCATTATTTCAATGGAGATGGTATGTCCACTTATTATTATCACTTTGCAAATGGGTACAAGAAGAATGTTAAAAATATTGCACAATGAAAAGCTACACACTTAAAATACTACATGGGAGGTAATGAAGCAGCAAGATCTACAGCCCTTTGCCTTTACTCTCACATCCAAATATCTTACTGAATTTTGTATGTTCTTTTTGCTTCCTGAAGAATTGTTTGTTAATTTATACAACACTTACACTGGTTATATTTTATTTCATTTGCAAATAGAAGGAGATGAAACTCTTCACCAAGTAGTAAAGAATTTTGGTACAGTTTTATGAGTCTTGATTGAAGACTCAACTTCAAGATGTACTGTGCATATCTTGGGGGTAAAATTCCACCTTGTGTATGGGTTTGCATCTGAATTTATCAGGAATTTATGAAGCACATAAAAGGAAAAGATTTATTGATGTGTTTTTCTAGAATGTTGTCTTCATGTACTGATTTTATTTATTTATTTATTTATTTATTTAATGACAAATCAATTAGATTAGAATATATATATATATATAATTATATTTATATGGTTTTGTTTGTGCCATACAAAGATATCCAATTAATATTATGATCTAGGAGGAGGCTCCAATTTATTTTATTTTATTTTATTTAAATAGAAATAAAAGAGTCATGTTTACATTATAATTTTTAGCATTTTTTTCATTTTACTTTGTTAAAAAAAACATTTCTTTCTCTGTGAAAAAGTTTATTGAAACAAATTCAAGTTTGTATATATGAACAAAAAGTATCAAAAGATTGTGCTGTATGAAAAAGAGACCCTACCATTCTGTTACTTTGTATTGTAGTATGTATGAAGAATATCATAATTTGTAGAAAGTATAATATTTTTTATTAAACATATAAAATATAGCATATTTTGAATATGATTTTTTTTTTTTTTTTTTCTACATAACTATTTTAGATTATGTGATATTCTACCAAAAATAGATCACCATCTTTGCTTCTTATTTTACATAGAAAGGCTTAATTTTTTTTTTCAAAGATTTAATTTATATCAGTCATAAAGTCCAATCAAATCTTTAATTTTAAAACCTTAACAGTCCAGTTGTAGTGCTTGTATTAATTCTTAAAAAAATCAAAGAAATTTAAAATATCCTCTCTCTCTCTCTCTCTCTATATATATATATATATATATATATATATATATTTTAGAAGATTAAACTCAAAGGTGGTTAAATCCCACTTTATGTGGATTCTACTTTGTTTACACTAAAAGTTTGATAATAAGTAAAAATTGTCTAAGGGTTATCTTTTGATTTCTTTGTTACAAGCTACTATGTCTTATAAACTCTTTTCTATTACTTTGATTTAGAGAAGTATCTTACATATATGAGAATGTTAAATAAACCTAGGCTTTCACTAAGTTGACCCACCTATCCTAACTATCATAGAAAGAAAAAAAAAAAAAAAAAAAAAAAACCTCTAGATTCATTTCTCCATACTTGATCCAAAACCAATGAAAACCAATCACATTTATAATGATTACCATATTCTTTATCATGGGTAGATCAATTTAGTAAAAACCTAGGTCTATTTAATATTTTCCTAAAGATAATGTAGTTATCTAAAGTATATCTAAAGGCTATCTTTTAATATCTTTAAAAACATTGTATACAATGAAATTTGTAATATAAGATGTTTAGAAGAAGAGAATATCTTGGTATACAAGCTTTTAGCATCTATCTCATAGTCAATGTGTTTAAAGTGATTTTTAGATTTAGAAGATTGAGTTCTTTATTTATACACATTAATTTGTTATTTTCCATAGCATCCTTTTAATAATATTGTTGTCTTTGTTAGTCCAAAGATAATTTCTTTTTAGGCTTTCGGTTGCAATATGACTTATCAAGATATATTTTGTATTACAATAGAATAAAAAAAGTAAAGCAAAGATACCAAAGTTTATAATCAAAATATTTTTTCTAAATTTGATATTATAGAATTTTTATAATTCATTTTGTTTTTTATTAGTTATATAAGAAAATTAATTATTGTAATTAATTCAATATATATATATTTATATATATATATATATATATATATATATATATATATATATAATAGTTTTTATTTTCTATCATTTGCCTAATTCCATAGATATTTACTAATTTATAAAAATTTAGGATTTATTTTAAAAAAACTTACTGAAAAGTGATAGGATAATTTTGTATCATTTTTTGAATTTTTTTTTAAAATGTAGGTTTGTTAAAAATGCTATGATTCAGTGAATGTTTTTTCAAGTCTAGCCAACACATGTACATTATTCTTTTTATTATTCCATGAAGACTTGAATAAATAAGAGAATACGAAATAGTAATATAAATTAAAATTTCTTTTGAAAACTTTCAAGTTATGTTTTTTATAATTAAAATTTCTCTATTGCAATAAAATGATTTAGCTTTTATTCTTTGACATATTCCAATCTATACCATAATCCGCATAATATTTTTTGAAAATATAAAGTTTATATTTTTCTATAGTCTAATTTTTTCTTATGAATTTTTAGCAATATATATATATATATATATATATATATATATATATTATTCTTATATATTTTAGGATATAATTTTAAATATAATTTAAAAGACCATAGTATCTAATAAAAAAACCATGGACAAATTTAAGTTTTTATTTAAAATATTAATGGTAATAATATATGTATATATAATTTAGCATGATATTTAATATAACTATATCTAATTACAACTTCTAATTTAGAATGGTCAACTAACTTCTATTAACAATGGCCAAATTCTAAAGCATTAATTCTACTTAATTTTTATTTTTGTGGTAATAAGGTATTATATAATGGATAAAAGTATCTATTTTATTTTTATTTTTGAATTATCTTAGACATATTATTTATTTTCTTGGTATTAAAAAATATTATATTAATTTAATTATTATTAATTATCAGATAGAAAAAATAAACTTGGCCTTAATTAAAAATATTCATTATGTGAAACAAGAAGTGATTAGTTTTTTTGATATACATATATGAATTCACTTTAAATAATTACATCATAGTTTTTTTAATTTATTATTTAGGAATTTAAATTTAAATCTTAGTTTATTGTATTGCAGCTCCAATTATGATAGGGCATTATAATGCTAGAATGAGTGTTAATTCTTCTTAAATGTTGATAAAAAATCTCCACGTTATATTTATAATAATCCTTTTTATATTATTATCTTTATAATTTTAAAAAAAATGTGTAAATAAAATCTTTTGTTTTTAAGAAAAAAATAAAAAAAATCTATTCTATGTTTTATATTTTTAGTTTTATTATTAATATTATTTTATCACATTTTATCACAATTAAGACTCTAATCAACAAGATTTTTGGATTTAAATTTTTTTTAATATATTTTTTAATATTTATTTATATAATTCATCATATATCTCCAAATATAATTTAAATATTTTTTTAAAAAAATTTATTTATAATTATTTATTTAATACATATAATTTAAATATTTATATCAAAATAAGCATTATGTAGCTCAATAGTTAGAATAGATGTATAATATTTTAGTTATCTTTAATAATCTTTGTATCGCTAATATTTCATTTCTTTTAATATTCTTACAACTATACCAATAGAAGTTTTTTTTTTTTTTTTTTTTTTTTTTTTTTATATTGATGGGCTTTAATAGCTAGAATATTTGTTATAACATGTTCTTATGGCCAAAGTGTACAATTACAATGTTAATCTTTAAGACAAGTCTTTGAGATCTTCTCTCCTTTCTCTATATGTTGTTTCTAACAAGTCTTTAGTTATTTTTGAAATTTGGGATTTGTTAGAGATTGATGAAATACCTTACAAACATTATTAGTAGAATACAACTTGGTATTGGTGTAGCAAAAAACCTACCTGATTTTGCATCATTCAATGGTTATGTAGTTAAATGACTTTATAAAATTTAAAAAGGAGGTATATAGCGCTCTATTGTAACAAAATTACTTTGTTTGAACAAATCTAAAACTGAGTTAACTTACCTAACCTACCCTAATCCAAAATTTGATTAATGAATCTTGTTTAGTCTATAAAACTTTGAAACACCAACAATTAATTAGTAGTTAAAAAGAAAGAATCAATGGTCAATATATTGTAACTATTATTAATCAATAAAGAGATTTGAAAACTTTAACTGCAGCAACTGTCAGTGCTAAGCACCATTTTATTTTTTCATTTTTTAGACCAAGTTGATAGTGATTATCTAGTTGTATTTTATTATTTTATGTTTTTATTAATAATAAAAAATATTTATTTATTTCTAATTATTATTATTAAAAAATAAAATTTCATTTTATATTACCGTAAAATATTGTAGTACACAACTAAAGCCAAACTAAATTATAGAAAGAAATTAATCAAAATCAAAAAAGTAAAAATGCTATTTATTTATTTATTTATTTATTTCCATTGATTGACAATGCAAGATCATGTTGTTATGTCAATACCATTAAATAATGATGATAATACTGATGTAAATCAAATTAAAAAGCTTATCAAAAACTATTAATATTGCTTTATTTATAAGCATGACATGATTTTGATTACTAAACCAAAAGAATAATATTGTTATGTTTCATGCAATATTCGATAACATTCTTAAAAAAAAAAAGATGTAATCGATTTGCAATTATTAATAATTTAACTTTGATAATTAATATATAAGTTTTATTTCTAGTAATTTTTTTCAAACCTACAAACTACTAACAATCAAAATCTTTTAGAGAATCTAAATTACAACATTAGAGATATAAGTTTGTCCTTTAATGAGCAATAAAACAAGATATGTCCAATGTCTCTATTTAATGTAATGGATGTAATAATGACCAATTATAACTTGGAGAAGAAAAATAAATAAAACATAACACTAATAAAGTTGAAAATAATATACTACATCAAATGTACTATGCAATTACAAACAACATCTAAAATTGATCAAGAAACTCACTATTTTACAAAAACAATTTACTTCTGATTAAAAACACTCTTTCAGGGTCTGGAGGAGCTATTGACTCAAGATTGATAAAATAAAATAAAATAAAATAACTGATAAAATAATTGATAAAATAAAATAAAATAAAATAATTTTGTTCAACTTACCTGCACAATGGGAAAATTGCATAAAATTGACCATTTTGACATTTCTTGACCAATCCAAGGCCAAGTTTATAAAGAAAACTTTGCTAACCAACAATAAATTTGTACCGAAGTTTCAACTTGATACAAACCCTTGATTTACGCTAAAAGCTTGTTGCGTTTCTTTGACAATATTCAAAAACGCAAAAACACATAACACAACACTGGCAATTTACGTTCAGTAATTGTGAGAGACAATAATTGACAAAATTTCTATTGCTCAGATAAATTGCACAAGGACTTGTTCTGACCAATGTTACCAGCCTTCAGCTCCTTTTTAAAAAAATCTCACCTTTCTACAGCTGTACAGTACATACAAGCCAGACCTGTTCGGTTGAAATACTTGAATCACTGATCAAGTTTATAAATAGTTCTCATGTTTTGCTCTAATATCTCCATCGACATAATCGGCAGCCGGTTGTCGGCATCTGGCCCAATATTGATCTTCACAAAGGGCCATGCCAACCACTGAGCAGCTTCACACTCATCAATGCCATCTCCAACAACACAAAACCTCACAGGCAATCCCTGCACCCGTTCTCTGATCCAATAAAAGCATTGGAGCTTGCCAACCTCCCGAGAGCTGTAAACTGCAATTTCACACGATACGAAAGAATTTAAACCCCATCTTTGCCGATATGAAAAACACGATGAAACTAACATCTTATACCACACAATTAAGAATAAAACATAATCCAACGGTTTTGACAATCAGATGGAACTGCGAAAAAAAAAATCGAATTACTTCTGCTTAGGCCAAAAGTCATATGAAGTAAGTTTAAGTCCAGAGAAGAAATGGAGGCGATAACTTACTGTTAAGGTGATGGAAGTAACTGTCAAGTCGGAACAGCATGCATTTGACAAGGCTTGGGACCAAAGTTCCTGATGTGACTAAGATATTGTAATTTTTTACACAAGTACTCGCTTGAAGTATAGGATCACAATTTCCTGTATTCAGGGATTCAGCTTTGTGTTGTTTTTCATTCAGATGTTGATTTGCTCTCTGGCATGCTTCCAGTAGCTCCCTCCCTGTACCACCAGAATGAGATCAAATCATTCGAGATTCAATGACTTAAATTTCACAAGTCCCACAATCGTGAGGCGTCTATCCCCTCTCTTTGACGACTCAATTACAAAGTAATTGAAAACTAAACGAGAATCCTCAAAGCTATTGTATAATCGGTCAGAACACGCCATAAACAGAGGGTGAATATGGAAAATAACCTGGAAAAAAAAAACATGATCATGACATGTAGACTCCATCATTACCTGCTGTAAGCCAGCCGTCTGTAAAAATATCTGTAGCCTCATAGAGATTGTTCCACTCTGTCAACTGATCTTGAGTCAATAGCTTCTCCAGACCCTGAATGAAAGAGTCACAAATTCCAGCTCAACTGCGGCTTTAAAGTAAATATCAAGCTAAAAACACAACCAAGGACATCTAAAGTTTATGGATTTAAGTGGCTCTCAGACCTTTTCATAAAGCTCTCCAATGAAACGATGGCGGTATGCCAACTTATTTTTATTGGCAGTATCCACGGGTACGGTCAGATTGTCGCCGTCAAAATTGTATTGGCTTAGGTCAGCCCCATCGTCAAAATCCTGTAAAGATAATAAACTAGGCTCATTGTAATTTTCTACCTGATTCAAACAAATAAAAAAAATAGAATTAGTAAATCTACTCTCAAAAAGATTACATTTTTCAACATATAAATCTAAATTGCACATCTAAAGACACAAATTCACAAGACTCGCAGCCTCCAAGCTCCACAACTCCAACTGCTTTACATTCATTGTCACAAATAAGAAAAAGGAAGGCAGGTATGAGAACTACTGATGAGTTCGAAGCTCCAATTACTTAAAAATAATAACTTTCAAATCAAGAAGCGATATGAAACATGGAATGCACGACAAATATGGTCAAAGGAAGACAAGCAGAGAATTAAATTAATGAGGAGTATATGTAGCACAGTAGAGTCTTCTGCGAGTAATCTGACCTGCTTGTAAAAGAAGTAGTCATCACAAATGTCAAGTATAAGTGACTCCCAGCGTCTTCCGAGTTCACACGCCTCCCTCGGATCCTTGGATCCTTTATACAACTCAGCATATCTTCCGTTCCGAAGAGTCTGGAATATTATTAGAGTCTCATCCAAATCCCAAACGTAAAGAGTTGGATCAGTAGATTTCACTGGCCTCGTCGAGCCTTCAACTTCAGGTAACTTTGGTGGGGTCTCGGAGCCACTCCGAACCTCGTTGATATCCTCTGATCGATCGGATCCTCCAGATTCTTAGTCCCACAAAGCCAGCATAAGATCTTGCCTGTCCGCATCACTACTGACCTCACCATACACTTGTTGCTCATGAAAAACCCTACCCTAAAGTACAGAGACTATGCTTGCCACTTGAAATAGCACTATCACTCTCTTTATCTAATCATTAAGAATGGGAACCAGTAAAACCAGCTAAAATCAAACATCGCAGCATTGATTTGTTTGCATAAAGAAACAGCAAATTATGTCATTATGGTCTTAAACAGTGTCCAAACCAAGAATGAAAGCTGTCGAAAGCTGAGGACAATTATTCCAAACTAAGTGGAGAGAATTCACAAGTCATTGAGATCTTACTTGGGGAATGGTACTTGGGCGGAGGCGGTGAAGTCAAAGCTGCGGGAGCACAGTTAAGCCACTCTGCAATTCCGAGTAATGGCTCTGCTGCCAGTTGCTCTTCAGTATACCTAAGAGCATAGAGGGTCAAAAAGAACGTTATTAGGGCTTAATCTAAAGATTCAAGAGGAACATGTTAGAATTCAATAAATCGTGAATGTAAGCATTTGAGTCTAAACTTCACACATATACTTCGAACGTACAAACATGGAAAGAAAAAGTAAACTACTTTAAGTGATATAACTTAAGCCCCAAGTCCGAAGTGAAGGTCCTAGAATCCTACTTGGAATGAATAATTTTGCTGTCAAGCAGATGCTCTTCATTGTTTGGTTGTAATCCATTGGTTTCATTTGGTAGTGCGCTTATTCCCGACAACTTCTCTGTTCGAGGCGTTTCTTTTAAATTATTGCTATGTGGATCGTACACAGGACCCACTCCCTTCAAACATCCCACCAATTTCGAATCAGTCTTTAAGGACGATTTCCAAAACTTAGCCTTCACAGCGTTCCGAGATCTTCACCGTTTTGACTCCTAGGTTTCTTATTCCTGTCTCAATCGAAGAGATCGAGACACACAAACACACACACACACACACAACTGTACTTGCTTACATGGATCACCTCCCCAATCAACAAACATTAACACGCTCTCAACTTCGAAGGAGCGAATGAATAGACCTTCAAAGTCGTTTCAGCTTGGAAACTAATAGAATTGAAATACATGCTCAAACGCAATAAAAACAAAGCAATGGAACCACCTCATCATTGTTGGCCATTCCTGAGAGAATTTGATCGCTCATAGGAGTAAGACGAGCTCGTTTAGCCTGCAACAAGAACACGATGGACCAATTCCGCAATTAAGTAATATGATCACCACCCGAATGCAGCCCTCTGGCCGCAACCTACGTCCATCCGCACACCTATAAATCAAAAACCGCCTTGTCCCAGCACCAAAAAACACACACACACACACACACACAAGAATCCGAGGGGGCGGACCATTCCAAAACAAGTGAACTCAAACCTGGCAGAGCGACGGAGGGGACGAAGGAGCAGGAGGAGGAGCGAGCGGGCGAGTAGACGAAGCAGCAGGCAAGGGCGTGGAAGCGTCTTGGCGTGGAAGCTGCAAATCCATGGCGATGCATATCACGAATAGAATTGGACGCTGGTGGCGCTCCCAAGAGGAGAGCTTGAGGAGGTGGGGAGGGGGAGTCAGTGGAGATCGAGGCCGAGGCCGAGACGGAAGGGGAGCAATGAGATGAGCCCTGGTGTTCTGCTTGCAGGACCTGGGACCTGGAGCTGGCGCAAGGGCCTGCACAAACGGCACCACGAGGATGGCCCCACCAGCGAGCGGGCGTTGCACTTGTCGCTCTCCCGCGGCTCCAGGGTGTTCATCCGTTCGGAGCAGGGCTCGTCCTGTGGCGAACTCGTCATCCTGTCCCAGATTTGTCCCGCATCTGGGCCTCACGAGCCAAAGCGAGGTGTCTCCACCGATTTAACGACGTGGCCCCGCGGCATCGCCCTACTACCCCCCCCTCCTCCCTGCACCTCTCTGCACCCCAAAACCGCCTGACTCCATCTCGCTGTGGCTCGCCCTCTCTCGCCCTCTCTCTTGTTCGATCTCTCTTGTAAAACTCACAATCTAATGAGACGCCAATCATTAGACAACATGTAGTTATTGAGCTTTAAATGTGAGGTTGTCCCTTACGTCCAACTCCAGTATGCATAAGAATTGAAGCCTTCTCTATTCATAGACATATGATTCCCTACTCCTCCTCCACATCCTCGCTCAACTTTCATGTTATTTATTAGTAGAAATTAGTATCTTACATTACTTAATATACGACAAGAAAGACAATGTCTTACATTAGAAGGGCCTAATTATGATGGATAAGATAGATACAGTTTTAATTTAATTTAATTTAATTTTTTATATTATTTTTAAAAAAGTGATTTTTAAATTTATATATTTTTACTATTAAATCTAAAAATAAGCACAAATAGCCTATAAATAATGAATGCTCCAATTTTAAGTTCTTAATACATTTGGACAAAATCAAATTACATCTTTAATTGTTGAATTTTTTGGATTTTGTGCCATGGAAAGATAAGAAGCTTCGATTGACATTGCACAATAAATTTGAGAATCTATTTCACTACTAATGTTTTAAAGATAAATTTTAAATTAATAAGGTTGGGTCACTATTTAGTTGTCCACTAGATTGTTATATGCTAAGATATTTTTATCCTTGAATTTGTATTTATGTCTATTTGTAAGAAGTTTTTAGCCATTTTTCTAATTATTTGCATTGTCTTAAGATAGCTAGTTCAAACCATAATGAAGGAAAAAGTGAATGAAAAAATTATGTGTTTCATAATAAGAAGTTTTTCTGAAAAATAATTATATTTAGGAAACGTATATTTTATTTTTGGTGTATTCTTTGGATAGAAAATTTGTAAAAAATTAAAAAGTTGTTATTAATTTTAACAAGAGTACTAAGAAACATGTTGTTCTAATCAATGTCAGACCACTTCTATGCATGTTTGTCAATCCAAAAGGTTTATGTGTTTATTGAGTAATAAATCATATTTGACTTTAGTTAATCAACTTTGAGTCTAAAATCAAATTTAAACATAAATATTGCCTCAAGAGTGGTATCTACATTGGTTTTTTTACTTGTAAAGAATGTAGTGGAATCATTAGTATATTCACTAAGAATAATTTGGTTTGTACAAAGTAGAAGCATAAGCCTTATAATCTTTTTAATTCCACTTGATTTATTTGATTATAATTTAGAATTTCTTTAATAATAAAGTAAAATAAAGATATTAAAGAATATCCTTATTTAACACTTCTTTAAATATTAAAAATAAAATAGTATTGATGTTAATATTATTTCAATAAATAATGGCTTATCTACTAAAATATAGTGACAACCAAAGCCAATTTTTTCCATGGATTTTAATATAAAGCTTCTAAGATATATAATTTTTTATTTTTATAAATTTTATTTTGAGCATTAATAAATAAATATAAGAGAATTCATTATATTAATTTCTTTATTAGAAAGTAACACATCATCTAATATTTATTAAAAGATAAAAAAGAAAAGTTTATTTTATTTAATAATATTTACCTAAATAGATTATATTATAAAATAGAATTTTCAGAAGAATTTTTTTTGGTAGTATTTAAAAATAATATATTTTAGAGAATAATTTCTTTTTATCTTTTATTTTAATAATCAAGACTATAAAGTCTTTAATATAGATTTGAATGTATTCTTCTATCAATCAAATCATAGGATTAATTTTACATAATTTTTTTAGTATAAGAAGCTAAAAGGATTTAACAAATTAAATTTTTATAATTTATATGCCATTTATCTTTGTATTTCTATTATAGAAGTAATACTTTGCTTGAAGATAAGGAATTAAATCTTTTGAGCTAATATAAACCTCCACTAGTTGAAAGTTTATTCTACTTTACAATAAGTGAATTAATTATGGAAATCTTAGAAATTCTAATTCTTATCTAAATTTTAATCAATTCACACTTAACCTCCTTAAATCATCCAAGTATAAGATAAATAATGCTCCACTACTTAGATATTTATATTTGTTCATAATAAGTAAATTAATTATGCAAGTTCTATAAGTTGTAGCTCTTTATGAAATCCTAATTAAATCATTCTTTAATCTTCTTAAACACCTATGTAATCAAGTCCAACTTCTACCATTAATTCTTATTTATAAACAATATTTTTTAAATAAATTCATATTCAAAATCTTCTTTTCTTAATTCTTAATTTTTTATTTTTTTGTTTGTTTTTTTGTTTTATTTTATTTTACATTTTATTTTATATTAATTTTCATCCATTAACAAAAAGTCATTCAAGTGTGAGGTATCATCTGTGAATAATTTTGCATCCACAAATGATTTCTCATCTTCTCATCCACTCTTAAAATTTATCTATACTCAAAATTCATCCATGCCTTAAAAAATCATCCTTGATTGAAACTTCATTCACTTAATTGATTTTCATCCAATAATAATTCATTCAATTTTAATCTAAACTTATTCTAACCTATTCAACCAAATCAAACATAGATCCATCTAACGTAAAAGTCAAAGTTATACACCTTCATCCACCCATGAATTGCTTTTGTCAACGGCAATTTGGTGCTCCTAATGCAGTCCGCTCCGCTCTTAGCAGCAAAGTATGCCCTGTTGCGGATGATGTGCTAACGACTTCTGCGCACTAGAGCTGTTGAAGTTTTGGTTCTCAGTAGCGTCCCTTTAGAGCCTTCGACCTCCAAACATTCATGACCACTTAGAGGTGCAGGAGCGGTTCTTTTCTTAGGCTATTGTGTTGCAATAATAGAATGTGGTACTAAATGGTAATATGGACCACAATATAGACACAACTTTTACAACTGAGAACATCCACGCTAAGAATACGAGGTTCTTAATACATTCCAATTGGTTGACATCTACATGTGCTGAGGGAAAGATCTCGTCTAATAGTTGTCGTAGTGCTCGTGGCAACCAACAAGGAGTTCTATTCTAACCTCCTAGCATTACAAAAATCAGAGATATGAATAGGTAATGCGAGCCTTGCGACCCAAGCATACTCGCTGGTGAATTATTGGCCACTAAACGGAAGCATGAGTACTTGGAGTGCAACACGTCCCAGCATCACCGCCAGTCAGAATTTGGGACGACATGGCACCACCGCCGAGTTTGCTCGCTTCTCTTACAATGAAGCCACCTTTCTAATGTGTAAAATTTAGCCTAGGAATGGAGCCTTTAATGCGACAGACAAAAAACTTGCACCCATGTGTTGGGATCGATATCTCCACCTCGCATCTTATATGTAACCTGATCTTTGACGCTCAACAGCCTCCTTAGTCATGGTCGAAGCACGTGACCCTCTTCTACTCATTTAAGGGCGAATGGGATCGTTGATAGGAGAACGATAGAACAATACAACCTTCCTTTATTATAGTAGATCCACTTCAGCCATGGCCGCAACGACGACCTCTAGTAGCACAATGCCGCACCACTCGAGCTTGTCCTTTGTGCTACAAGAATAGGATTAAAAATAAATAAATAAATAAACACAACAAAGTGTGCACACCCACGTGGGAAGCATCTTTGCAAACTCCGCTTAGTGCAAAGCCCTCCAACTACACGCAAAACCAAAAGAGGAAGAATAAATAACAATCGAATCTCGCCCATTGCATGGCTGCGAAGAAGAAGGTCTAGATCCAAATCACCAAGCCTCTACATTGCCATCCTAGTTGACACAATTGGGGAGCTTTCCGCTGACCACAAAAAATAAAATTGCTGCCCAGCACCTCAACGGAATAGAGAAAAGAGAATGCAGCCGGAACGCACAGCCGCCACAGCAAAACACCAAAGGGCCAGCTTCCGTCGCCCTCCAAAAGAGACAAAATAAAAAATAAATAAAAATACAAACCAACTGGGTGTGGCTTCTCCGCACATCCATGCCCACAATATGAACATCGTAGTAAGGAAGCGCACTTACAGACTCTGCCTCATGCGGAGCTCTCTACTCAATTACGGAACAGAAAATGAAGAAAGCGGCCGAAGAAATCCGCTGGGGCTCCAAACTATCCTGGACCAGCAGCTCCTCAGCGATCACCAGCCACATCCAATCAGTAGGTAAAGATTTGGATTGTTTTAAATCTAAGATTCCTCCTTATTTTCTACCATAATAAAAAAAAAATCCATGACAATAAACTACCTTTATCAACTGTAATCTGATATTAGCTAAATTAAGAAGAAAAAAATATTTTCATCTTAAAAATCTAAATGTTAGCCATCTTGCCTTAGCTCACTCTAATAGTCTTGTCTTTTTACAATCTCTCACTCTATAAAACATGACTAGTCTATTTCGAGAGTCCAAGTCTCTTCTAATTGATAGCAACATAAAACCTCATCACAAAGTAGGACAAAATGGACCTAAACAAAACTGAACAGAGCTAAATAAAATAGGAGATGAAAGACAAAACTATATAAACAAAAATATAACAAAACAGAATTAAACATAAAGATGCAAAACCAAACTTTATTAAGAGAGAAGGTCCAAAGCCATACATGATCAAATGCCTCAAAAGGCCCTGGCCAGTCCTATTTATACTTTATTTTAATACTTTAGACTTTTTAAAATATTTTTAGATAATAGACCCCACTTAGATAACTACCTTAAATTCTTTTCAAAAGATTCTATGGTAGACCTCATCTAAATAACTATCCTAATCCTTTTTAAGAATATTTCATGGTAGATCCTATATAGTCTACTAACCTAGCTTTAATTTTAGAAACTTCTATAACTTCTCAAACATGGTTCCAACTATCTATTTCTATGTGTTAATAATACAAATATCTTATCTATACCTTATTACAATTAATTCCCCTCCACTAATGTAGAACATCCCTATTTTGCTTCCAATGGTATTTCCAAATT